GCGTATCGAATTAGATGATATAATTTCTTAATTTTTAAAAAGAAAATTGAGTGTTTTATTTTAATTCCAAAAAAAGTTTAATCTATTCAAATACAAAATAGTGAAAATACAATATAAATTGTTCATAAATGCGTGATACCATTAAATGTTTGATTTTAAATAAGATTTCTCTAAAGTCTTATGAACTGTTATATAAGTTTATTTTAATGAATTTCACACCAATAATGTTATTTAAAGTACAAGATGTAGGAAAACAAATACTTTAATCAAGAGTTAAGGAATATGTTAGGGAAATAAACCCTTGCTTATTTGTGTATTTTTGTGTTTATCAAAATAGATATATTGGGAAATAAAAATATAAAGGATCACTTCTAGGTAAATATATGTGTTGACCTATAGGGCCGATATTGGTTTCATTCTTTAGAAAAAGCTTATCGATATCCGTTCCGGTCGCTGACTTTAGGCCACATGCGTGTAGTTTCTTGTTTCTCATGTATCGTTTTAGTTCTAGTCAACTGTGTGTCCATATGACCCTACATCGGTATTTACATATACATCCTTTGTATGAATCCTTACTTGATGCCTGGGTAATGGCAACGGGACATAAAACATTAAATGACCTTACCACGTTCTTTTCTAATCTGTAAACCTTCCTCCTGCATTTTTGACATAACATGTCGCCAATGCACTCAATTTTCCCGAGGAATGAACTGCATCTACTCTGCATAGCGCAGTATCTCTCCCACTGGCACAACACTACTACTAACCAGAGATGTTCTTGAAAGACAAACACAGCAATTTTTGCTCGTCGTGATTTTTTTTTTCGTGAGACCTGCAGTATCGAGTAACACAAAGTGAATGATTCGTGTCCTCGAACAAAGTGTGCTTACACTGAGGTATACAGTTTCGGTTGATTGTGTTTGGTTAAAGAGAATTTATAATCTGCATTTCCATAAATGTCTTTTATATCAACAGCAAACATACATTTAAAGAAGAAAGTGGAAGTAAAATGCAAAAGCCTGTATAAAAAATTTAAGTTCGTGTTTATCCAGGTGTAAAATTTGAAAAAAAAAAATAAAAGTTTGCCAACAGGTGGATTCGAACCAGGACATAAAAAAGGTCATTGTAAGAAACTGCGGTCTATCTCTCTGACCTATAATGACTATGAAAATGCACTCCATAAATGTAATCCAGTATGATAGAACTAGGTTTTTCGCATTTTTGTAGGTTTTTCACGAATTTCGACCCTAAGGCAGGGGTGCCCCTAAAAAAATCTCGTTTTAAATCATTCTTTAGATCAAAATCTATCAAAATTTCATAATTTAATTTAGGGGCAGGCCTGCCTTGAAGGACTTCTATGCCAAAATTCACACAAAAATTAGTGCTTTAACGGACAAAATACTGTTTTGACCAACTTTGGAGGTTAATTTCAAAGTTGCAAATAATAAAAATTACGTTTAAAATGCAAATTTGAAAAATTTTAGACAAATATACAATAGACATATGATAGAAAACAACTAAAGAACATTGATTTTTAAATGTGACTTTTTCCGGAAAATAGTTCTTTCCCATAGGTCAAATCTTTTGTTATAACGAATATATCCTTTGTGAAATCCCTGCATTTCATTTTTTTGAAAATCCCAACATTGATTTTCATCAACAAAAATAGCATACGATTAAGTCAAACAATGATATAAAGAAAATTTGACAAAGAGAAAAAAAGAGCATATTATTATCAATATATAAAATCAAAAATATATAATGTAGATATAACAATAATATCAAATATTACTTCTTTTTTTCGGCTTTACCATGTGTGTTTTCACGTAAGTATTCGACGATTGGTACTAGCTTGAAAATACGGATGCATATATGATTGCTGTAAAATCTAGAAATTTTCAAAATTAAGGATTATCTCCCTCATGCAAAGCTCTGATCCGTCGACGTATTTGGCTCTAGTCTTTGCATACCCTTTTTCAGGTCTTCAAAGTTCTTTTTTCAAAATATTTCGGATTTCCAACGTTTTGGCATGAGCAACAGAGACATGATAGTTTGTCAAAATGCGCACCTGGTGTATCAAAATTGGTAGCATAAGATTTATTTTTATCAATTAACTTACGACTTGGTTTTTGCTTTAAATACATAAATGTGAAGATAAGGAACTGCAATCATGTTCAAAATTCCATATTTTCAAATGCTGTTAGTTAAAGTGATATGTTTCTGATATAGTAGTATCATATATGTGCAAAATTAGACTATCGACCGATAAATTGATTTTATGAACAAAATAAAGTAATTTATGACAACAAGATTAGATATAAGTATTTTATTGTCTTTATGTCATATTGTTTATTCAACTTAAGCATCTAGAGTTTACGCGTACTTAATTACCGGAAATAAAACATGACTCAATGCGAGTAAATTTTAGCTGTCAGCCGCAGTTTACTCTGCATCATTCTGCACACCTCGGACTCTGGCTGTTTATAATGTAGGAGTACATTGTTTGGTTCAGAATTAGTTTCAATTTCTTTGCCATTGTTTATCATAACTATTTACTTGGGAAAAATTATGTTTCCATTATGTTACTATTACATAAACCTGAGTACAAGAGTTTTTACTTATTGAAGATAAGAGCAATGATGAGCAATACAATCCACTTCTAAAATTGTTGTTTCCAGTTGATATCTTGCAATTGTTTTGGTACTTGCAATTTGAATAGTATGTTATGTCATCCTATCATTAATGATACCATTCTTATTGTGTTATAAAGAATAGCAATATAAATTTAAAAAAAAAATGAAATAATGTTGAAATGACAAAATGTTCATTCAGCAAAAGAACAAAACCAGTGTGTAGGTAATTTGTACATTATCACTTTTATTTGTCTCTATTTGAACAACATTTTCTGCTTTCTGTGTGGATGAAATTATATATCTCAGGAAATTTTCAAATTTCTAGAATTCATTTTAAGTATTGATGATTTTTAAAACTGATATTATTTAGACAGTCTTATTGCCTTGTTGTGTCTGTAATGTTACTAACGGTCAAAATTATTAGAGATCGAAACTCTGACAAGGAGAGATGTATATGCATGTATCATTTCTTCACATACAATAAAATACATTACATGAGATATTTCTTCAAAAATATTGAAATTTATTTAAAAATATAAAAACCCTTTTGAAAAGAAAACAAAGCATATCATTTTTTTTTCTTAGTTTGTTTTTTATATATATGTAATTATTTTTAAAAAAGTAAAAATCGAAGAAATACACTTCCTATATCTATGCTTCATAAATGCGACTGGTGTCACTTTTATTGCGAATAATGCATACAGTAACTCTCTCTCTCTCTCTCTCTCTCTCTCTCTCTCTCTCTCTCTCTCTCTCAGAAAACATACATCCATTTACTTTCCTTATTGATATTCAAACCGAAATGCATGTATACAGGTTATAGGCCAAATTATACTTAAAAGACAAAAGAATTCATTATAACAAAAAGATGAATTCTGCTACAGAAACATGTATGAAGTCGTAAATCATTAAAAACAGATAGTTTGCATTTTCAATATTGAATCTAATAAAAACAATAAAGCAAAAGTTGTGAAACTGTTTAATCAAAGCAATTACCAGTTCTTGTTATATTAAAAATGATTGAATGATTTATGTGATTTTAAGTCCCTTGCAAGAATTTTTCACTCATACGAGACGTCATCATATGCTGGTGAAGGGCTTCAAATTTAGACCTTTACTCGTCACTCAGGTTCATTGGGCAGTAAGGGTTCTTTTTCGCGCCAACGCCTACCGTGACATGGGCCCTCATTTTATATGCTCTCATCGAAAGACCCGTGATTTTCACCTCTACTGGGTGCTTGGCGAAGGAACAGCCACTACCTACGTTAACTTCTTGTTAACGTCTTAGGTTTGACGAGACGCCGAAAATCGAACCTGGTGCTTCCCAGTCACGAAGCGAGCGCCCTACAACAGGGTTACCGCGACCGGTATGATAACAAAAGAGGAGAAGGTATAAAAATCCATAATGCAAAGAACTTTTTTATTGGAATTTTAAAATATAAAAAAAATAATTATTATTATACATGTAATAATAATGTAAAACTAATAGAACAGTTGACACGAAAGAAAAAGTGGAAGAAAAGACAATTAGAACATATGAAAACAATGACATTTCTGGTTATTTGAATCTGGAATTTACAATTTTGAAACAAGCGACAGGGATTTCAGTCTGTAAGTCCTTTTAAAAGTACAATAAAACTTATTGTTTTTTCTTTATTCAAATGTATTCAGAAGCATTGTCAAATGCCTTTGGTTGAAAAGAAGTATTCAGATATTCAGTAGATGCACGTGGTGTGGCATCCATTCTTAGATATTCACCAGGTGAAACAGAAATTGATACATTTTCAATTGGCTGTGACTGGAAAGAGGCATTTAGATATTCGGTTGATGCATATGGCGTGCCAACCATCTCTGTATAACTACTTGCTTGATCAGGAATAATGTGCACTGTGTAGTTATTTTTTGGGGTTTGTTGTCTTTCCCTGGAATTGTACACTTTCATTAATTTCAAATACCGTATCACAAAAACAAACATCTTGCACGAAGATAAATATTTTAAAAAAAATTAAGAATAATTGACTGTAAAGTTTTTCAAGAAAATTACTTAAATATTGCAAATGTCTAATTACGTTTCATAAATTAATCCTAAAATTTTAAAAATTTGACACAAGTAAATGAAATATTAATTTTGAATTCTTACTTTATATTTCTACTTTTGACAGTCACAATACAACATACGAGCAGGATTAATGTAAAGATAACAACCACAAAGAAAACCATCCAGTGACTTAGTTTAAGATTTCCGATGAAGTCAAATTCTTTTACCGGGCCTTCTGTTACTCCTGTAATAGTAATATACAATTATATTTTATTCAAAACAAAAATTGACATGTGTTAATATATTTTAAATCTTTCAATTACCTTCCAGACAACCTTGTATTTTATCACAGTTGCTTTCCAAACATGGACATTCAAAAGCGCATTTTGGGCCAAAAAACCCCGGCTTACAAGGATGTGAGCAATTAACACCATATGATCCTATACATTCTGAAAGACAATTATACACAGGTCAAGTAAATTCTGCTGATTTTTATCAAGAAGTACCTCCAATCTTTTCAAACGGTCTTTCCTTTCATAAATTTGATTCAAAGTATTTTTAGAGTGATGCTTTTAATGAAAATAGCTATACCTTAAACAATTTTTCTTATGAAGTATGCAAGTGACTAAAACGTAATACTAGTAATGTAGAAATAATGTAGACGAAAAAAAATTCAGGGTAAACCAAACTGAAGCTACGTTTAATGGTGTAAGAATCGACTGATACATATTGCTTTTGTTACTGCCAATTTGTAAAAGATAAAACTATTAAACAAGGATGAGGGTAGCAAAACAATCATTGGCGTTAAAAAAAAATATTTAACTCTGTGAAAAAGAGAAACATTGAAGGTAAAGAAAGATCCTCAACTTTTTGTAAAGACATCGTCTTTTTTAAAAGATCTATCAACATTATGGATGGCAACAAATGAATCAGTTGCTATAACAACAATATGAACTGAAATTACAGGACAACACTTTAGAAATGAAATATCTGTATAACATGTATGCTTAAGGACTTGGGAAAGGACGAGGAATGTAAATTGAAAATATTACATCAGATCTGCAGCGGATTTGCTTATTCGGGGGAGGAAGAACAGAGACAGGTGGAAGCTAGTAGCTACCATACACATACTAAAAACACTGTATTTAAGAAAAATACATATTTCTGGTGTTACTTTCATCTTAGGCTTCATCATAGAAGTCATTTTTTTGTATTGAAGTTCCCCATTAACATTTGTCATTAATCATTGCTTTATTAAAAGTTACATATAACTGCGGCCTACCATGACATGTATTATTTTCCTCATAAAAACTTGTGCAGCATTGTCTTGTTCCACTGTAAAGAAATATAAAATGAAAACTTGTCTTGACTTAATTAAACTGTTTGATATTCAAATAAATGTATCAGTTAATAAACTTAAAACTTACTCTTTTTGCAAACACTTGTTATCCTTGAGAGATACGGTTGTGGCTTGCAGAAAGGAACAGATATTAAGTAGAATTGAAATGAGCAAAACTAAATTTGGTACCATATTTCTGTCCTACAAGTCCTTCAAAGAAGATTTACAGTTTTACGTATTCCTTGAAACGTTAGGAAATCCTAAGGGAATTTATGATAAAGCATAGCTTCATTATATAAGGTACCATATGAACTCCAATATTCCAATTAATATAACTAAGCTTTATTGACTGGACAAGACAAAATTTCCTTATTATTATAAATACAATTTATCATATCCTTGCTCTTTAGATTATTTTGTTCTAGAAACAACGGATATGGAAAATGTTCCAACCCATTTTAGTTACAATATATAAATACATGTTTAGAATGTTGAAATATGATTCTGGGTATTTTAAAAACTAAAGAGATATGTCAATTTTATTGCAAAAATTGAGGAATAAAATGCACTTTAAACATATACTTATATCTATAAATTTCCATTTTACTAAGTATTTTGGTGTCAGCTTAGTATTTTCAAAAGGTTAAGTAAACTATAGTGCTATTTTATTATAGTATCAAAGTTTTCACTCTCACTTTCATGTAAACCAACATTGAGGTCTTGTAGAGTAGGCTTTCCCCTCTAAAATCCCCCCCGGAAAACTGGCTCTAGAGTAGGATTCCCCCCCTCCCCGGAAAATAGGCTCTAGGGTAGGATTTCCCCCAAGGAAAGATGACTCTAGAGTAGGATTTCCCCAACGGAAATCCCACACCAGATCCTACTCTAGTGTACAATTTCTGGGGGGGGGAGCTGGCTATGGGGGAATTTTATTTCACGTGTACAGTGTGCTGATTTCCATCCGTTAAACAAACATGTGATTATGTTAAGATATTATAAAAGAGTTTGATTTCAAAAGTAAAACTTGGACTTACAGCATAGCTTCTAAGTAAATTTATTTTTATAATAAATGTAATTATTTTAAATCCAGCTTTTGAAAAGACAACTTACTGATATTCTACTTTGTTAAATAAAGAAAAACATTATAGAATGTTGAAATAAATATTGTCTTGGTGAGATCAGCAGTGCTGCTTCAGTTTTTGCCATAAAACAACAGTATTTCAAAGCTAGTGAACCTAACTGTATTTAGAAAACTCTACATCGAAAAAAACATCGATCTTAGTCTAGACTGAATATATTTTTTTCTTTAATACCATAGTACTAATAAAAAAAAACATAATATGAAAATAAAGTTGTACTCGTTTTGTAATGCATAGAAATGCAACCTCTTTTAGACATGCAATTCAAAGTGAAAAAAATAGACAAATTTATAGACAAGTTTTTTCTTTCGGTAATTATACGGATAGAATAAGCGGGGGAGGGGGGGATTTGTTCAGACCATGATACAAACACACAAGTATTTGTATCAACATCAACCTTACTATTATTAATGTACATGTAAATATAAGATTAATTATGTGTACATATTAAAGGGTTTTTATCACGCATCTAAATTTCTTAAAAATGAAACACTATTATGTTCTTGAAACATATTATTATCGTTTAATTATGAAAAAATGTTGAAAACGGCCGTAATTAGACGATAAAACGCCCGTAATATAGGGTCCTCGAAGTAAAAATCTCCACTAATTAGATAGGGGTCACGTGGTACTGAAACGTCATAGGTGTCAATGGTCAATAGAACTCGTAAAGCTTATCGTAAGAAAAAATATATTGAATAGATTTTTACGCTAAATAAATAGAATACACAGTATGGCCGGTTGAAATTTTGACATAGACTATATTCCTTTGATTATGGACGGTCAATATTTTAGGTATGAACGTCTAACAGAGAGAAAAAACCCGAAAATATGCCGACAATTGGAGAGAGGTTACCGAAGACGAAGCCGTTGATAACTCGGGACTTCAACTAAACAGAACGAATTACTAAAGTTTAACTTCGTAAACATTTATAAATATGGGAATTTTAAATTCATCTTCATTATTATTTTAATTAATTATAAATAAATAAATCCTGTATATCTTCTATCTGTTCTAGCAGTGAATATCATGTACTAGAAATGACACTTCTTCAATAGCGCCGTACGCCATTACGAAGTTCACAACATTCCTACTAGATTCTGTGCAACTTTTAAAAAATGCATGTTTTTCATTTATTATTTTTTTTAAAAAGTATCTTTCCTTAAAATATTTTATAGGACAGAAAAAAATCGTGATCGATCGGGCATAAACGATTGTTCTGAATGGAGATAAACGCAATCGCATTTGCAGAGAAAGGCCCCCCTTTTATCTCTCGACCAAGTCCAGGAAATGTGGGAAAAAATTCTTCCTAAAACCTTTCTTGTGCACATTTGTGCACCATAAAGCCATAAATTATACCTTACAAGTTATCAATTATTCAATTATCACTTAATTATTTTCTAACAGGTTTAAAAGACACAACAAATGAGCCCTTTTGTATACACAATAAGTACTTCGCTTGACCAGGATTGACACCTATGACGTCAGAGCAATGGCGCGTAACATTGGCGATCAAAATATGCATATTGAGAAATTCAAACTTTGAATCGCTGAAACATCAAAAATATTAATTTTCTAGCAAAGATTTTTAAATATATGATTTTAATAGCATGTAAACTTTGTCATATCAAAAAATTTTGAAACGTGATAAAAACCCTTTAAAATTATTTACCTAATGTACAAACACATTGCAGTCAATATCGGTACAACTTGTTTTTTCTTAATTAATCATATTTAATCTAAATCATTTCACATCTTTCTGTCACTGAAGACCGATAGGGCTAGAGAACTGTTAGCCCTTTTTTGTTTAAAAAATTTCTATGGGATGACTTACGTTATTAACTAAACCTTTGGAGCTACTCTTTTTCTTAAAATACTTGCTCAAACTTATGTGACGTAAAATTCGTGCATTTCTTGATTTTTTTTCTCCTCTAGCGAGTAAAAATTTAATCAAAAAAAAATAAGAATGTACATCTTTGTGAAAGGTCGTATAAGTCTGCCTTAAAATAAAACAAAACAAAAACAAAGTTTATAGACATATTTTATAATTATGAACATTAGCTTGAGTGTTTTTTTTCGGGGGGGGGGGGGTATACATGTTTATAAAAAAGAATTCACTAATTATACTATACTGCCCGTTTTAAAGAAATGATTTATGTTCGTTTCTTAAAACATACACTCGTATCTATGTACATGTACATATTTTATTATCATAAAATATTTCACTTTAAGGTGAAGATCTTACAAACGAAGGGTCCTATAGGTTGTTTTTTTTTTAAATTTTGATAAATGAATTCCTTTTTTTTCTTTTCTTTCTTTCTTTTTTTTTTTTTTTTTTTTTTTTTTTTTTGGATGCTCAATAACTATATAACTATAGCTTGGTTAAATAAGATGTATCGGGCGTAATTGTAAGGTCAATACATTAAAATTACCTTCAAGCTGACATTTTCAATGAAAAATTAAGAAATATACGGGTAGAGATATGCTAGGGTGTTTTTTTTATACCAAAAAAATGAAATACAGATTCCCTACAGTTTCTCAGAAAGCAGTATCTAATATATGTCTTTAAAATTTCTTCTTTAAAATGCTAAAAGAATACGTATATTCTACGGAAGCTCTGGAGGGACACTGACTTACTTGTTATGACTTATTTGTTGTGACTTTTTTGTTGCTGGTTATAACTTAGTTTCACATAGCTATGGAGAACATGTAGCTTGGCTTACGTTTATTATTAAAATGATATGTTTTAGTCCTAGTTTAACTGTACATGTTGTTTTTGATTGATTAATGGTAGTTTAACGTCCAGTACACTTATGATTACTTAATCCTTACCTGTTATATATCTTGTAACTTAGATGTTTTAACTTAATTGTTATTTGTTCATCTTTATTTGGTATTTCTTGTTTCTTAATATTCATTATCTTGTCAATAGTAATAAATTCAAAGGCAAAATATTCCTACGTACAAGATGAAGACTACGTATAGTTTCACAAATGAAGAATGGAATATTTTGCCCTCGAATTTATTTCTAATGACAAGATAAGTTATGTTCATGAGTTCAATCATTATGCACACTGGAAGTTACAAATAAGAATTTAGTATTAACTATTAAGTAACAAAGAATAACAAATAAGAATGAACAAATAACAATTAAGTTATAAGAACTTAGAGACAAAGTATCATAACAGATAAGAATTAATTAAACTACAATTCATCAATCAAAAACCACAGTTAAACTAAGACTAAACATATTTTAATAATGAATTTTAGCCAAAATACACTTTCTCCATAGCTGCATTACACTTAGTGGTAACCAGCAACAAAAAAAGTCATAACAAATAAGTCAAAACAAGTAAGTAAGTGTCCCTCCAGGGCTTCCGTATTATGCACATTGGAAGTTGCAAAAAAGAATTAAGAAAAATCTATTAAGTAACAAGAAATAACAAATGAGAATTAACAAATAACCATTAAGTTATAACAACTAAGTGACAAGATATAACAGATAAGAATTAAGTAATCACAACTGTATTGGACATTAAACTACAATTAATTAATTAAGAAAAACATAGTTAAACTAGGACTAAACATATCATTTTCAAAGAAACGTAAGTCAAGATACACGTTATTCATAGCTACGTTACACTTAGTCATAACCAGAAAAAAAAATGTCATAACAAATAAGTCACAACAGATAAGCTATAACAAATAAGTCATAACAAGTAAGTCAGTGTCCCTCCAGGGCTTCCGTAATATTCAGAATATTTTTAACATGATTCAAAATATCACGCTTCATTTTCTACATATTTCAATTATAGCTGTAAAGTGCAGGGAAAATTGATGGCTTTATAACGGATCCAACACATAAGAGATAGTGTTGAGACATTTTCTTGATCTTTACTTTAATAAAAGTTCCGTGTTGTGTTACCACTCAGAACTAATACAATGGTCTTTTAAGAATGAAGGAAATTCCCCTATATTTCTAGATAGATATTGAACAAAATAAAGAAGTAATTATCTTTAAAGTTGATTCATTAAATGTTTAAATTTAAAACAAAAGACAAAAAAATAATAAAATAAATGTCACCGGGATGTACTTTGGATTGATATTTCTTTTTAAAGGAATATTGAATGTTTTTGTTTTAAATCATCAAAATTAGGTTCAGCAGGTAATATATTCAAATACAAAATTCAATAAATCGATCATAAATGCCTGATGTCATTTACTGTATGATTTTATTTGTCTTTTGAACAGTTGTAATACTCTGTATTTCAAAGAATTTCACACCAATAATGTTATTTAAAGTGCAAGACTTAGGAACACAAGTACTTTAATCAAGCGTTTAGGGATGTGTTAGGGAAATAAACCCTTGTTTATTTATTTGTTTATTTTTGTATTTACCAAAATAGACTATATTAAGGAAATTAAAAATCTAAATGTATGTGAAATTTCTGCTTTTCAGCTAAGAACATTTATGAAGCATGCATCAAAATCAAGTCTGAATGATTTAAAGTATAATGACCCTCTGTTCTGAATTTCATTATCTTATATTTAAAATTCCCAACATAAATTTCCATCAACAACTGTGGCATTAGATTCAAGTGGAAATAGTTTGAATTATGAAGCGGTGCTAACTTTTTAGAAAAGAATTTTATGTCAAACTAAGAAATAAAGAACATTTTCACAAAATGAGCTGAAAGAGCAGCAATTTACTATCATAACATAAAATTAAATATAGGAGGTATATATAAGGTAATAATTAATGTCAAACATAATAAAATCAAATTAGAAAACATAACGAAGCGGTGATATTTAGATCAGAATATACATTATCTAAGTCGGAAAAAAATCTGTAGTTTTTTTTTTTTTTTTTTTGTTTTTTTTTTTTAAGAAAGAGATAGATGTATATACTCTAATTTGTAACAAGTAAAAAAAATGTGCGCAAAAATTTTAGGTCGAATGCAAGAAAAGTTCCTCAAAAATATTGGCAAAAGAAAAGAGGAGTCAATGTTTTCATCATTTCTAAAATGCAAATATGATATGGAATTATTGAACTGGTCATAACGAAAACCTGATAAAACGAACTTTCGGATATTTATGGATTATTTTGTCCGAAAGTTATCTCTCTTATCATAGGGTCGTTATACCTTAAATTCTTACGTCATTTAATTTCTAAACAAAACCACACCATTATATGTCTTAATTTTATCAATAACATACACTTTCTACAAAGTTTCAAAAGTCTTCCTATCGAGATGTTTTTTTTTTCAGATTTGTCCAGAGATATCATCTATGGGTCTTGACTGGAAGGAAACATGTAGAAAGTTTGTTGAGGAGTGAGGGGTAATTCCCGTTCCTAGATCACCATTGTCTCCAGTGTCTAATCTTTCTTTCCGTTCTCTTTTCCTATTAAAAAAAAGTGAGTAATGATCTTTGAAATATCGGATATTTCATATTAAGGAGGTTATCATAAGTATTGAGAATTTTTTTATCAAGTATTTTTTTAGAATCTACACACAAAGCTTAATTAAAAATCAAAACAAAAAATGGGTGTCAATGCGCTTCTTTTGGCGCTACGGAGTATTTAATATGACCTTTTTGCACTGTAATTAAGTCTAACACATCAATTAATTTTTTCAAAGTTTTTCTCTAATATTTTTTATCCAAATAAATTATGGGAACAAACACATGCAGACTTTTTTCATCTTGAATAGTCACATTAAAATTTGTGTCAACAAAAAAGTTTCAAATTACTTCGCATAGTCAATTATTTGACCTTTCTGCACTCAAAATGTCATTTTTCTGGCATTAAACAGTGTTAAAAATTTAACATTCATTTGAAAGTAATGACATTTTTCTGAATTTAAGCAGAATGGTTAAAATTATCTTATATATTTAAGAAAAGAAAATTAAAAGTGGAGATCTGTGATGTTAATTTTAGATATTACTAAAATAGTGTTGATTTTAAGCTTAAATTAAGTAAATTTTTTTTCTGGAGTTATACAATATATTTGCTACATTTGTCAAATAAAATGAAAGAATTAAAGACAGTTAATTCAAAATATAATTTAGGACCAGCATCAAACATTTCACTGCACAAAATAAATCTGTGTGCAGGCTGCATGTAAAAATACTTAATAACAATATTGTAAATACTTCGAAAGAGAAAAATATTAATTGACCATTTTTCTTCTTTAAAAAACCCTTCCGCAACAAAATATAGTTCCTCACTTAATGCTTTCGGTGTGGAATTTAATCATGGGGTTTTTAATTGAATATAGTTTAATTAGTATTGTAGAATCCAAATTTATAGTAAGAACTAAAACATTATGCAGAATCTTTTTAAATGGAGGTGAAGACAAAAATCTGCTCAAAAGCTAAGGAACGGACTTCTCTAACCTACAAAATCAAAATGGAAGTTCACAATGTAATGTATCTCATCAATTAATAATCTTGAGAAATAAATTTTTATTTATCTTTCTTCGAAATTACAACATAGAGAACATATAAAATGCAATAAACATTGATTTAAACAAAGTCTTTCTCTAAGAGTAGCATTTCTTTTAATCGATGCCTACGTTAATTAGTTGGTCATTTGTCACGAAGTTACAGACTCTTTCTACAAACAAAAAAATGGAGGCATGGATGGTATATATTTTTCGGTTAGAATTTAAGAAATTGTGGATTACCTTTCAACAAAATTCACGTTTTTTTTTTTTTTTTGTTTTTTGTTGTTGTTTTTTTTTTTTTTGTTGTTGTTTTTTTTTTTTTTTTTTTTTTTTTTTTTTTTTTTTTTGACGTTCGCCTACAAATCTATACTTTTCTTTATTATTTTTTATAGGACATTTTTGGGAGACTTGAAAATTTGCAGCCTTCCACCAGCGAGTGGTGGCGTCTCCATATGAGTGAAAAACTCTCGAGGGGGGCGGTAAACCACAAACAAACAAAACAAAACTTATATGATATAAAGAAGGAGGGCGCTTTTGATTGACATTCGGCAGGAATCTGGGCGCACTTGAAAAGTGAAAACTTTATTGAACTGTAAAATTAAAATTTAACATTCCTTTGATGTATTATGTTCCCATGAAATAGGAAAGGAAAATGTTTTCCCTGTAGTGTGTTTTTGATTTCCTTGAAAATAACTTGAAACATGGTTAGATGAGTCATTCTGGTACAAAATGTTACATTTTTAAACACGTTTTTCAAAAAATTTGCTATCTCTGGGTCATCTCTCCACGATTTTAAAAAGACATCTGTGTGCATTTGTATTCAAAGAAACGAACAAACATTTGTAAAAAATGGAGAGAAGACCCAGAGACTATAAAAAATGAACTTTTTCCAAAAAAATACCAATGTGTACATGCGTTGCTTTTTTGTCATTTTAAATTCCATATTGTTTGTGTAGCAGTGATAACTCAGTAGTATGCATTACCAGTCCAGCGCACTAAGGAATCGAGAAGTTTTTGGTTCGATCCTCGCATGGAGCAGTTTATTTATTTATTTTTTTTTTTTTAATTTTTTATACAAACAATCAAGTCGTTTATCATTTGAGTTTTATTTACTGATTTATAAGTTTTAAAAGAGATAAAGAAGATGGGCGTGTTTGGCGTGTGATCTGCAGGAATAAGGCGTACGAAACATTTATAGTTTAAATGTCTACGATTTGGTCGGTTGACCACAGCTGGAAATACTTTACAAAGTTACGCACATGGGAAAATGTTACATTCAGTTTGAAATAGTTTGCCAAATTTAATATATCAGTCCGCTTATCTTAATAATTACTACATCTAAAACTTAGTAACGCTTCACATAAATAATAAACACATATAGGGTATAGTTAAATCCAATTACAAGTACATACTTGTATATATTAAAGTATCAGTAGGTTGGAAGAATTGCTTTCGCTTTCGGTGCAACAGAACCAGAATTTATCTATTTGAAAATAAATCAGTTCATAAAATTAAACTGACAAAAGAATTGATTGTTTGTACAAAAAAAAATTATTAACGCTCCATGCGAGGATCGAACCAAAAATATTTCTTTTTTTATTGCACTGGACGGGTAACGCATACAACTGAGCCATCACCGCTAAACACACTTTAAGGTTTTTAAAGCGACAATGAAGCACCGCATTTAAACATTGGAATTTTTTTTGGAAAAAGTTCATTTTTTATCGTCTCTGGGTCTTCTCTCCATTTTTTACAAATGTTTGTTAGTTTCTTTGAATTAAAATGCACACAAATAACGTTTCAAAATCATGGAGAGATGACCCAGAGATAGTAAATCTTTAGAAAAACGTGTTTAAAAATGTAACATTTTGTACCAAATGACTCATCTAGCCAACTTTCAAGTTCTTTTTTAGCAAATCAAAATATAATATCGGGAAAATATTTCCCTTTCCTATTTCACAGGAACCCGATACATCAAAAGAATGCTAAAATTCCATGTGACAGATCAATGAAATTTTCACTTTTCAAGTGCGCCCAGGTTCCTGCCGAATGCCAATCAAAAGCGCCCTCGTTCTTTCAGTTGCACGGGGAGCGAAAGCAATTTTTCAGACCTACTGAAACTTCATTTCATATATCATACCCTATTATCTTGTTAGGTGTTTCTTATTTACGTGAAGTATCAATTGACTGCTTTGTCGTCACTATTAAGATCACAGGACTAAAATATTTCAAATTCGAAAGCTATTTCAATGTAAATCTAAACATTTTCCTATGTGCGTAATTTTGTAAAGTCTGTCCACTTCTGGTCAGCCGACCAAATCGTGGACATTTAAACCACAAATGTTTCGTACGCATGATTCCTGCAGATTGCACGCCAAGTACGCCCATCTTCTTTAGTGCATATTTTGATTTTCGTATCAGGATTTTTGAAACAAACTTGTTTGTAGAGAGTTATTTCTTTCATACATATTCCAGGAACTCTGCGAAATAAAAATATGCATACATCAATATGCATAGTTCTCAATCTTTTTTTCCCCCACAATTTCGAGAAAACGTTATTTCTTATCAAACATTGAGATATATTTACATTATAATTATCTATTTGCATATAAATATAAATTTCCGTTGTCCGCTCATTTTTACCTTTTTATAAAATGAATCTACTGGTAACATGCTAAATGTTACCATGAGGCTTTGTTCTTTTGATCAAAGCGTTGTTCAGTAATAATTTTAATTCAAGATCAATGATACGCAAAGAATTTTATTCACTAACATGATAACAATAGTTCGTTCACTTAAAATAAAAATAACGATAAAAAATCGCATCGACATTTTTTGCTCAATACACAGCCTTAACAGATATAAATATTATTTATCTAATGGAGAGATTTTTGCAGATTTGTCAGAACATCATGATGATACATATAGACAAGTTATCCAAATCTTTACCCCTTGTTTCTATGTCTGACGGTCCCAGCAATAACTAAGAAGACGAACACTATCAGAAGACAAATACTACAGATGATAAACCAGTGACGAAGTTGGAGATTTTTAATGAAGGATACTAATTTTGATGCTGCACTCTTTGAAACTTCTGAAATTTGGTTCCTTCGACTGATGTCAAAAATGTTTGCAGTACTCGTCTCAAGAATTGGGATAGTTGTGTCTGTTGAAATTATACAGTGTATTAGAGATGATAGATAGATAGATGGATGGATGAATATAGATAACTAGATAGATACAGATGGATGGATAGATGGATAACATATACCTTTTGGACAGCCATAGATTTTATCACATTCAGATTCTAGACACTGGCATCGACTTGTGCATTTTGGTCCAAAATAGTTTTGAGGACACGGGCTGGAACAATTTTGGCCATGTGATCCAATACATTCTGAGAAGAAAATGTTTTGGTATTTATAGTGCTTGTGAAGGAATGTTTAAGAATTTTAGTTGATAGATAATGTTTTTATCTTATTTATATATTTATTTACGTATTTTGGTTCTTTAAGCATGTAAAAGTATTAAAATATCCCAAAAATGACATCACCCGTGATTGACTTTTGTTCTTAATTTTATGATGGCAAAAGTGCCTTGAATAATCAAAATCTCCAGTGTACTTTTACGGAAATGAAATATATTGATGTCCAGCCTACCATAACAAGCACCATCCTCTTCAAAATAACTGGTGCAACAGGACATAGTTCCGCTTAAAAATAAAAACAGGTGTAATCTGGTGTTTAAATCTCATGAATCATATGCTTAAGAATTGCTCTTGATATTCAGTTGCTTTTGTCAATTTACATGTATACATGTTAACATGAGTAGTCACAATATGTAGGTCACTTCAAAGAAATATGAACTATGTAAGTGATGCAAAGCCCAGTGCCGGTAGATAGGTCACACGCAGCGCCAAAGGTATACATTGTATGCTTTGACTAGGATGTGTTTAGTGAAAACAATATTGCTCAATCTCAAAAAAAATAAATAAATACAAATCTGTGAATAGGGCACAAAACACGAACCCCAGAAATTCCAGAGGTGGGATCGGGTGCCTTTCTTTCTTTCTCTCTCTCTCTCCATTTTCAGTTATTATAGAATTTTTGTTTTGTTTATTATATTTACAAATGATAACAAAAATGCCTAGGAGGAGTATGCATCCCTTGTCGACCGGACACACCCGCCGTGATCCCTATAAATTGATCAGGTGACAAGTTTTTCCGTAAACAAAGGCCTAAGAATTGGTATGAAACATGACGGCAGAAATACGACCCAATGATAGGTTATATTTACTCGCAAAGTCATTATAACGAATATGGAATTTACGAAATGCTTATTTAAACAAGGTTGTTGAAATCCCTGTAACATCAACTTATCTGTCAGTAGCCTGCCTTGGTATAAAATTTTATCGTACTCAGAGCATACCCTTCAGTATCGAATAAGTTAGGTGACGTTAACACTCTATATGCACGTAATAGCAGAATATAAATTTCTACATAAATAAGGAAAGTTGACGATGAAAAGGTTGAAGTCAATTCGTTTGTCATACAATTAAGGTGTAAGTTGGCGTTTATAGTCAGTAAACATCCAAATATGAAACAGATGTGACAGACAATGATGTCTTTCATTTCTAGTTTAGATGTGTTAGGTTATGCATTTGGCATTGGCTTAAACCTGGCTTTTCTAAAACATTCAAACATGTAACGATTTTATTCGAACACGTTTGCACCAGATAATGATTACTATTACCTGGAAGCGACCTCTGAAGTGAGATACGTGTATAACCAGATCACTCACAAGCATGACAAGGAAGCCGCGTTCAGCATCGGAAACAAGACAGACTGAACGCAGTTTGAGAGGCATCATCCGTGAAAATTTGGATCAGTTAGACTTGTATCTATGGACAAGCATGCAACTACAAGATTGATATCATTTAAACTGTTTAACATTTATCTATACATTTTCAAACCCGTGGCGTATATTCCTTTTTGCTAATGTGTATGCTAACCTGCGACGCAATGTGTGTGTAGGCAAGGAGTGAGTTCCCCCCTCTCAATAAGGAATGGAGGCGAAGGGAGCATTTTTGCGAACTCGAATACATCGACTATTGTCATTTTACCAGTGAAAATAATGTTGTAAACATATTTTCAGATTATATTATAATTTGTAGGCCACTTAACACTTATCATGATATGTAGGGCACTTGAGAACTCTAAACTTATCCTTTTACTCTGCTCCGAAAATATTGAGTAATCCAAATACGAACAATACGTTTAATTTTCTACTAACCAAAAATATTTCCAGTAATTAATATCATTTCCTGCACTAATCATGGACTTCTGTTACTGTCGGTGGTTTTGAATTCTCTGACACAGACTTAATATAACACTTGAATTTCGGCTTTACAAAATGCCAACTATAAGAATAGCTTTGTCATTAAATATTAAGTAAAACTGTAAACGTTGGATAGGTATAAAAGTGCGGGTTGCTAAGAATGCTTTTTTGGCATTTGCAACAAAATAAAATTTATAAAAGAGATTTATTATCAACTCTTCTCCCCCTTTTTTGTCCCTGAGAAGTGAGGTGTAGGCTACAGCCTTTTTGCCTATATGGAAGATACGCCACTGCGGCAACATGTAAGATTTGAACATTTCCCGCGCTAATACATGAATAAAGTAATACTTTTCAATGAAGAGGTAATGTGCGTACACTTTATTTTCAAAATAGTAAATATCTATAGTTCTAATGGCAAAAATAACAAGGACAAAAATGTTTCCATGACATTAATTCAATCATGGAATTTAACAGCAGATATATTAATAGCTATCTATCCCTCTATCTAAGAAGTTAATATACACTGTTGAAGGTTATATCTTTGAGGCTAGACGCTTTATGAATTATTAGTGATCGACAAAATGCTACTTACTCAGGATGCATGCACCAGTTACTCCTCGAAGAAATAGTGGTTTCTTGCCAAGAGTAACACAACAGAGCTAGAAAAGTCAGTATTAAGGACGTTGCCATCTTTACGCTGACATGTTCTTTTGGTGTATATTTTGTGTGCTTTTATGTAAGCATCCGTCGATCGGAAAATGTTTTTCGAGAGGATACTAAATAAATACAGTTATAAACCTAATCAAAAATAGCATTCTTAACTTGATTGTTGAATACAATTTTATTTCCTTATTGTTATATATACATGTATATATACATACATATATTTTAATTGCTATTAGTCGAAATACGTGAACTAAGTTCATGCTGTACCATTATATCAATATAATCTATTGATACCGGATGCAAATTAAATAAAGATTAAATACAGAATACTCTGGATTTTTCATTAACTGCCAATCTGTTGATAAATAATATCAATGTAGGAAAATTTTCCTTTTAAAACACAGAACGAGCAAATGATTCCTGTATGATATTTCAATATTTCCATGCTGGGGAGGGGGGGGGGGGGTCTGACGGGCAAAATATAAATAAACAATGAAACCCTCTAAACTCAGAAAAAAAGGACTAGGATACTGAACTAATTTCACAGAATTTTTTTTAACCATGGCAACATCGCTCGTATACATGTACAACAAAAACTAATAAAGAGAATTATGTATCTTGGTGTAGTCTACTTTAAATGTGTACCAAAATTTATGGAAATCGGACCAATAGTCTTAGGATGAATTGTTTACAATCAGACAACTAGACAAATGGACGGACAAGTAACCATGGCATAGAACCTTTTTGTCTTCTACAGTCGAGCTAAAATTCATAAATCGAGCGTTTATTAAAGAGATATAGGTGGACACTACTTAATGTATTTGTGTACAGTCAAGTCTCGTTAAATCGAACACCAATAATCCGGACGCTTTGCCTTTCGAACGAACATAGTTTACATTTCTATATCTACCAATTATAAAAGATATATTTCATTAATCCGGACCCTTCATCATTCCGAACGATTTGCTCGGGAACACAAGCATCCGAGTTAACGAGGCTCCACTAAATATATAATACACAATTTGGGGAAAGTTTAAAATAAAAAAAAAAACTTACAAAACAAACAATAAAATTTATGATTTTTCCTCTGCATTGTAAATTTACAAGTCAATTCTGTAAGGATACATATTATATTAATTCATAATCTTAATTTAAGAAATGTAAATTTTATATATATATATATATATATATATATATATATATATATATATATATATATATATATATATATATATATATATATATATATATATATATATATATATATATATATATATATATATATATATATAGAGGATATTCAATGTTTTGTAGATGAATATGGAATTTATTTCACGAGTGGGACAGGATTTTTTTTATATTTTCACGAGTGCGAAGCACGAGTGAAAATATCAAAAAACCCTGTCTCACGAGTGAAATAAATTCCATATTCATCTACAAAACATTGAATTTTCTGTTTATTACATTTTCTTTGATTTTCCCTTTGCCTCTGTCTTATCTTAACACAGTGTCATAGGCTTGACGTCATAGTTGAGCGGTTGAGACGTCATAGTTTAGCAGTTGTGTGATTGAAAACATTACATAGTGCGGATTTTAGCAACATATTTATGAAGAAATTTGCAGTTTTAGCTCTATCAAGATGCTTAGGTACTATCTCTATCTTATGACAGGCCAGAAATTATTTTTTACTTACTTTGATATCCTTTCACACTGTGAGAGAATATCATTTTGGTATCCTTTCACACTGTGAGAGAATATCACTTTTATTCAATAAATAAATCACAGTATTTCACTGTTGAAAATGTAATAAATATATATATAAGGAATCACTGTCTAGTTAGTAGAGTATGCCAGGGCATCAACGATAGTTGGAAACGTGGGATAAGGAGATGGGTGAACATGACGTGCGATAAGCCTATAGTGTGACAAACATGAAGATGAAAAATTAAATCTCAATTATATCAAAATTTTCCTTGATATTTCGTCTAACATTAAAATATACTTTATGTAAAATCTCTACAATTTGCAAAAATCCCTCAAAGATTGAAATTATTTGCCTGTGAAATATTAGACACACACTAAAGCGGGCAAAAAGAGTCGTTTTCTAATACTATAACACTATTTTTCGATATGAGTGGGTCTTCGCTCCACCTTTTTGAAAGTTAATCCTCAAAGTTTGCATGAAAATATACATTTTTTGGTTACCAAAAATATGGAGCAATGACCCACTATACCTTAAAAATATACTTTTATGACATAACATTCGCATCTTTTCGAGAAATACTTAAGTCCATTAAGTCAAGGATCATATCACAAACATGATTTAAATGCCACCCTTAATCAGTACTTGTGTAGTCTAGTGGTTAGCGTGCTAGTCTCGAAAGAAAATGATACTCAGGATTTTTATTGCTAGGGTTCGAACCCCACGAATACCACATTTATTTTTTTTAATAAAAGAATAAATTTTGCCGAGAAAGTTTTCCTCAGAAAAGTTTTGTTTATCATAATTTCATAAATTTCAATAATGAGAACTTTACTCTAAATACTAAATGCACAAACTGAACATGATTTTTATATATCTGAAGCTATAGGCTTTCTGCACGCTATGTTCGCCCATCTCCTTTGCATAACGGGCGAAGCCCGTTATGCACAAATTATCCCACGTTTCCAACTATCGTTGATGTCCCTGGCATACTCTACTAACTAGACAGTGATTCCTTATATTTCCATTTCATTTTGAAATAAAATTGTAAATTTAGATTTTAAAAATGTAGACTAATAGATTTAAATTACCCTCACATGTCAATTTCAATAGTCCCCGCCCACTGACGTCAAACATAACATATAGTGTATATTAGAATATAAAAATAGGAAAAAGGTGCCTCGACCCAAGATTTAAAAAGGAAAAAAAATGTAAAAGGGGGGGGGGGATCCATACCCCAAGTGCCTGTGATAATAGCTATTGAACTAAGGGGGGGATACTTGTTTCATGATAACATTCATAGGTGTAAATTAAAGATTTTATTACTTATATCTATCCATTTTATCATTCATTTAGATAGAAATTTTAAAAGTAGAATTTTTCTTTCAAAACTTTGATGTTGCTTTATATATTCTTTCTTTCAAAATTTTGATGTTGCTTTATCTAATCAAATCGGAATTCACTGCATATGTATTAATTGACAAATGCAGGTGTTCTGGTCAAACAAATTATTGCTCGATTGTAGAATTACTCGTTTTTCTGTCATGAAGTGTTTTATTTGAAAAAAAAACAGCAAACATAAAAATATCACATCAAGCATTTTTAATATAACAGTAACAATCATCTATTTATATGAAGTATTATTCAATATAGTCAAAATCATCTGGAATTCCAAACTGTTTATCAATCACACTTTCTTCAAACTGGAATTTGTTTTTAATCCAAGACTTAATGGAGAAAACATTATCTGCAAGAGAGAGTACAGAATGTGAGCAATTATATTTCACAGAAATTTAAACTTTCAGCAAGTGTCCTTCTCCCCTTCATTTTGACTAAAATTAACTTAATGATCATAGTAAGCAATGTTTTCACCAACTAAACTCGGTGAAATTTCCTCTGCTAATGCTTGTTCTTGTATGAAATATACAGCCTATCTCACTGTTTGACTGTTCAGTGTGATGTAAATATAAGCACGTCACTGCCTTTTTAAGCCCAAGGTATTGATCGAATTTGATTAGAATTGATAGAATAATAATTTGACTTTGATGTTTTTTCTTCATCAAAATTTTTTCCCCTTATATCCTGTGAAGATTTTATAATTCTGTTGGGCCCTAGCCTCAACCCACAGGCTTGGACTTGGATTTTTTAAGTAAATTTAAGTCTCCATAACATGCATTCATAACTTCCTATCCATTAGTGTAAGAGAATCTTTTTAACTTTTTATGTCATACCTGTCCAGCGATTAGCTGCCTCTTTAGCCTCGCCAGTTTGTTTGATTACTGCTTCTAACACCTCAGGATCACATTCCCGATATTTTTCAATTTCCTTCTGTAAAGAGGCTTTTTCCTGTTTTTTCTCCTCCAACTCTGAGAGTATTTCAGATCTTTTATCCTATAATATATAAAGTAATTTACATTAATGGCTGCTACAAAATTAATTATCCCTACATGTATAAAGTCACAAATCATGACCAACTATACTGAAACATGCATAATGACAAAATAAACTTGAGAAAAACTCACAGAATCTTCTTTGCCAACTTTGGCTTTCTTTACACTGTCCTCCAAAAACTGCTTTCTTTCATCCAATTCTTTAATCTTATTTGTTAAATCATCAAGTTTTCGTTTTCGCTAGGAAAAAAATACATAAACAACATGAAAGGTATTGCTTGCACTACTGAGAAAATGACTCTCAATTGTGACACTGAAACTTTTGGTTGCAATAAAAGGAACCTTGTCACCTAGGAACATATTATCATAAAAAGTTAAAACATTATAAACATTATGCTTAAATGCAATTTGCTTCTGCAAATATTTCAGTTAGGCATGTTTAACTTAACATTTGCATCATCAGCAAAGTGGATAAAACATCACCAATTGTGTTCCAGAATTCAGTGACCTCCAAATTCAATCTGGAAATAACAGACTTAAACTGAGGTTTCTTAGCTGGAAACTGCTACCTATATTTAATATACTACCCATTAACAACCCCATAATAAAAATGTGTATAAAAAAAAAAAAAAAAAAAAAAAAAAAAAAAAATCCATCCACCCAAAAAAGTTTTTTTTTTCAAGTGTCAGCAAAATAACTTTCTTTTGACATTTACAGTTGTCTTTGTATCATATTTTACCTTTCTTAAAAAAACTGTACAAAAGAATGTCATTTCCTTCAATATGGAATAATGTATAATTCTGATCTGGCCATCAAACTGAGGCATTTACAAGAAGGAATACTGAAGTGAATTTTCATTTGGACATGCAAATTTTACATAAATTAAGGTTTAAAATGTTTGTGGTGAAACCTAGTCAATAACAAAAGAAATACAATGTCTTGGAAATTATTTCATTCATATAATTTTGCTACTATACTAACTCTACTAATGACATTTGGAGGAAGTTACATTTTCATCTACATTGCCTATCCGTCTGTCCTCCTGCTATTCTGTACACAAGAAATAACTTGGATTTCAATTTAATTCATTTCTTTTTTTTCTTTTTTTTTTGTTTGAAAAGGTGCATTCTGGAGCAAGGTAGAATAAATTAAATCTAAATTTATTTCAATCTGCCAAATGTTCATGGTGTTTGACATTAAGAAATATGAAATGAAGCTTTTTAAAGGGTGTCTTTAGGAAAGAATGGTAAAACAATTTAAAATTCATGTATTTATAGATTTGCAAATCCCAATAAAAGTGTAATAGATTCTTCCATTCTATGAATATTTTACAAGAATGGGCTGAACTTAAAATTTCACCAAAAAAAAAAAACCCTTTAATAACTTAAAATTTTCAGAGGATATGTCTCTAAAAAGACAAATTGAGAGAAGTATGCTATAAGTGCTATCTAGTTGAACGGAATATAAGTACACATGGATATAAATTTTATCTAACTAGATTTTCAATGATATAAGATCTTCCTTGTATAATATATTGAGAACTTCCTTCCCTGGACACGTAGAATTCATGTCACAAGGAATTAAATAAGCAGTACAATAATACCAGTTAAAACTATGAAATTAAAGCTGCATTATAAAAACTCCACTTTTAAACTGTTCATTAAAAAAAGGATCCACGCACAAACTTTCTTTCAGATCATTTCAAAAAACATATCATTTACATTTTAACTTGGTGTACTGGGGTTGGCCCAGAAATACACTGATATTATAATTTTTTTTTGTGTCAACCAAAACTTAAATTTTGACTCCCTTTACTGGTAAAGGCCCAGAAATACACAGATTTTCCAATTTTATCTGTGTCAACCAAAACTTACATTTTGATTTGCTTTACTGAGGCAAGCCCAGAAATACACAGATGTTACAATTTTACCTGTGTCAACCAAAACTTACATTTTGACTCCCTTTACTGGGAAAGGCTCAGAAATACACAGATTTTCCAATTTTATCTGTGTCAACCAAAACTTACATTTTGATTTGCTTTACTGAGGCAAGCTCAGAAATACACAGATGTTACAATTTTACCTGTGTCAACCAAAACTTACATTTTGACTCGCTTTACTGGGAAAGGCCCAGAAATACACAGATGTTCCTATTTTATCTGTGTCAACCATTCCATCATCAACTAGGCTGGTGAGAATTTCTTTGACAGACATTGAAGTGATCCCCTTCTCTTTTTGACATAGTCTCTCCAATTCCTTAAGTTGGAAAAAGTCCTTCTATAAAGATATATTTAGATTAAGAGATTATAGATTTGTTTAATATTGCTTAATACTTTGGAATCATCATTTTTCATGGAGGCCCAATGTTCATGGATTTTATGAGTCAATCACCCTTAAACATAAACTTACTTTCACCTGAACATTCAGTATATCGATTTACTGGATTCATGGATTTTATGGGTCAATCACTGTTAAACATAAATTTACTTTCCCCTGAACATTCAGTGTATCAATTCACTGAATCTTCTGTATAAGCAAGTTATCAATGAAATTGCTTCTCCATCAAATCAATAAAATTTTGGTGTTTACGTTGACCCCCATGAGTTTAAATGATTCCAGAGTACAGTAAATAATCATATTTATTTTATTAGTATTAGTACCGGTAGTATTAGTAGTCTGAAAACTTAGTTACTACCCAGTACTTTTTAAAAAGTTTGATGAGACTGCATGTAGATATACGAGTGAAGACTTGATACTTTTGTGTGCATTATGCACTATCAGCCATCTCATTTAATTTAGATTTATAAACAGTTTTATTTTTTAGTGTATTATGGCAGAACCTTCAATAACCAGAAGTTTGTACTTATATTAGTAAAAGAGAAGAGTTACACCATTCTACAATAAGAATAAAACCAATGTATATGTATCAAAACAAGACATAAAGAGCTAGGTTCACTTTATGCATAAAATGGCCCTGTCCTTATATCAATTAATTTACTATCACCCTCTGTCCCATTTCATATATCAAAATAAAGTAGAGTCTTAATGCTTTCATTTCCTATAAAAAAATTTTTTTTTTTGAGAATCCAGGTATTGGAAAACAGGCTTTGAGAAAATGCAATGTTCTTGAATTTTGAAGAAAACATGCGTATTTGACTACCACCAGCAAAGAATTAAAATATGAGCACAGCCCACGATCCAAAAATTAAAACATGTTTTGTGATCTTAAGAAACAGATCTTTCATTATTTAATTGCATATTTTGGATCAGAGGTTGTGCTGTATATGAAATATTGAAAAAATACCTCAACCTTTGGCCATTTTAAAGGGAATTTAGAGGAAATGGGGAAAATGACGCATTTTATGATGTCATAATGCATTGACTAGAGAGAAAATTACGTCATGTTCAATAGATACAAAGTCACCAAGGGTCCAAGTTATAAATACTGCATTTTCAACCAAAACTGAGCAGTTTCGATTTTTCAGAAATTCTCAGGGCCAAAAAAGGCCCTAAGTGGCTCTTGCTCTTTATGTGTCATCTAACAACAAAGTTTGGGGGATAGAGAAATAGGGGTCTGTTGCACACTATGACAGAATACCATTTTGATATCCTTTCACACTGTGAGAGAACATCACTTTTATTCAATACTAAGTAAATACATCACAGTATTTCACTGTTGAAAATATAATAAAAGGTTTTTCTATTACAATACAGAGAAGGTTTAAACTTACTTTTTAATATACATAATAAGTACCCATGACATGGTATAGCCAATACATATTATGACATCATTGTCCTTTACAACTATTCAAAGAAATAAATAGTATCAACTAAACAACTTCCATGCAAGAGCATAGTATATTTCATTTGAGGAAAATAAGATTTATAATGATAAGCAGAATATTCCAAAGGAACCATGATGTTGAAAATTTTTGTCCTCCTTTGCCCAAAGATGCTCTATACCAAAATTGGTTGAAATTGGTTCAGCAGTATAAAAGAAGCAGAAAATGTTCAAAGTTTACAACCGACGTATGATGCACGTTGACGGACAAAAACACATTGCAATAGATCACCTGAGTGACTCAGGTGACCTAATATAAACAGCATAAGTAAATAAAGAAAATCACTTTTATTAGGTTAAATTAAAAATAAATAGCATAATTTGCTTAAAATTTATATATTCTGAAACATAGGTATACAATTTTTATACTGTGATACAGTGCAGTAATTTGGGGCATTGTGGTAAGCAGTTACATGTATATCAATCATTACACCCCTACTATCTAATAGATATATTTCACATTCATAGAGATATCTCCTGTTGTCGGCATAACACTCATTTTTCTCACTATATCCTTTGCAAATTACCTGTAAATATTTTTTAACTTTAAACTGTATCAAACAATTTTGATCCATTCTATGGAGGATAATCGTGTTCAAATATCCAGACTAATCCAAACTTGCAATCGTATCAGTTTCATAGGTTACATTTGTAAGTAGACAATATTCCAACATCCAAGCATGTAGTTTTGAAAATACAACTTTGTTGACTTTCAGTTTATCAGTGATGATTCTGTGAACTGGCCAAAATATCTCAAATTGGTTGCAGGTCTAGGAGCTGACAAAATATGGGCTTTAGCAAGCCAAAAATAGGTTTAAATGAGTGTTAAGAATTGAGGTGTGACAGTTTGTTCAACTGCTTTTGCATCCTGACCTGGCTATAAATGCATATAGTAAATAGATAAGGCCATCATCAAAAATATCTTTGTTTCCCCTAACCCGACCCTAAATTCTCAAGTTGGGTAGGTAAATATTTTTTTCTCACAGCAACTTTGAATGAGGACGTAAAAACTTAGGTCTAGTGTCACAGTAGATGCTGGCACGAAAAAGATCCCTCACTGCTCAGTGGTATATGTAAATATTGCCAAGTACAAGTCTAAGTTTGGAGCCCTTCAAAAATTTAACGCAGTTTAAAGAAGCAGCAAATCTTCAAGAGCCAAACACTTGACGTCTGCTCACCAGAGTGGCGCACTGGTTAGAGCGTCTGCTCAAGAGTCGAGAAATAAGGAGCTGATCCTTACGTCTCGGGTTTGAATCCACTGCGGGACATGGAGACTGGTCCTTCGGATGAGACCATATAAACCGAGGCTCCATATTCGTATCCAATTGCAGGACGTTGAGACTGGTAAACCGAGGTCCCATGTCGCAGTAGGTGTTGGCACGAAAAAGATCCCTTACTGCTCAGTCGCCCTGCATGCCAAGTATAGATATAAATTTGCAGCCCCTAGCTTGTCTGCTAGTGAGACAGACTTTACCATGCTTACTCTGTACCGTAATTTTAAAAGACAAGTTTGTAAATACCACCGAAACACTTTTAATTAGCCATGGTATATTTTCTTAACGAAATGTTTTAAGAGTGTCAGATTCTAATAAGCTAAAGGCATAAGGCTGATACGTTGCTGTTGTTTTATAACAAAACTACTCTGTGATCACATGTGGAAGCCACTTTGTTTCCAACAAATACTTGAAAAATCACACCAGAACAAAATCAGCCTTTCTGATAAAAACAGATTTTGATGAAATTGCATTTTATAAAAGTTGATATAAATATTAAAAAAATATGTGAATAATCTTAGCAAAAAAACTTTTCAGTCTGCGAAATTTAATCGGGTCAGTCGCGTTAGGGGAAACAAAGGTATTATTTTTATTTTAGCATAAAAGCAAAATAGAAAGTACTGAAATATCACAAAACACTCCTAACTATCGGATTCTTGGACTCAAATTAGTGGAACCGCTAAACTGTTTTTTTAACATCAGAACAGAATCATCACTGGCCATGATTTATACTATTAATGTGTGTATTTTTTATATTGTAAACTTTGTTTTCCGGAATCTGTATCACCGCGCTCTAAATGAAATACAAAGACAATTCACAAGTCTACAAATGTAAAGTTTGCACATTTAATTGTCGAATTTCGATTTACACACATTCATTGTATAAACTCAAAGTTAACACAGTTGTATTTTCAAAACTACATGCTTGGATGTTGGAATATTATATACTATAAATGTAATCTATGAAACTGATACAATATTGCAACTTTGGATTTACAAACTTACAAGTCTGGATTGTTGAAAACAATTACCCTCCATACCATTCTTGTATTGCCATAGTATGGAGCAACATAAAAAAAATAATGAACAAATTCATTTATAAGACATTGCCCCGTAAAATTGGTAATGTTACAGAGGGAAAACAGTGTCTTTACACCGGTTGATCCCAGATTGACCCCGCAAAGGGAAATAACTTTAGTAAATGTGAAAGTCGTCTATAGCTCCCCCTCTAAAGCAAAATCCTGGATCCACACCTGTTTATGCCAAATTTGAGAATAAGAATTCACATATTTATTGCTACCTAGAAGATTATAATGCAAGCTTTTAAAGATGAATTTTTTTTAATGATGTTTATTTCTACAGGGCACAACTGACTTACTTTTTCATAAAAGAAATCCATCATTCTGCTTCTTTTCTCTTCCACACTTAATCCACGCTTCTTAGACTAAAATAAAAACAATGGGAGTAAATGGTACTTGATTTATTAAAGATCTCATGCAGAGTTTTGAGAGGAATGTTTTGATATTCTCAATTGCTCAAACAGTAACTTATAACCTGTTAATTTTTATCTGTCTAAAATGAAAAAAAAAATCTGCGAATTTCTGTAAGTTTTTGCAATTCGCACAGACAGTTTAAACTCTGTTTATATTGCAGGGAATAACTTCATCATTGTTACCATCATACCATATTTTAATTGATCAGAACTTCTTCGAATTTGGCGCTATTCTTCCTCGTCTACTTTCATTTTTAAAAATGCCGTTCCCGATTTAAAAAATAAATATTGAAAATAAGTCTACATATCAGCGTTTCATATGCTCGGATAGCACTAGGTTCACAATGTGTATATTTAAAACATTAAATTTTTATAAAATATTTCTGCATTTTTGAAGTACTTTTAATGTTTCCTTTAAATGACACCAGATTGTGTCGGGCTCGAAATCAACAGCATCATAATGAGCGGCATGGATCGAAAGTCCCAGTACAAAAATAGAGCTAAGAATGTGGCTAATATAAGACAGAGACATAAAGCAGAAGAATTAGGTAAGATAATTAATAAGTAAGTGTTTTGGAGACTTAAAATATAGGGGTGACACATACGCTTTCTCCCTTCAAATTACCCTGCAGGTGGTGTTTATATTCTATGACTAGATCTAAACCTAGGGCAGAAATAAACAACTGAACAGGTCCGACACAATCTCTTGATTTAGCTATATAGCTTTATTTAGCTATTCAAGCTATTCATTCAGTTCATCAAATTGATTGATGCATGGTTGTGTTCTTGTATTTCAGCCCTTCGAAAGGACAGAAAAGAGAAACTTCTTAGTTCAAAACGATTTCGCTATGTTGATGGTGATGAACTGACAGATGAAATCTCACATGATGATGTAAGTTTGTGTGTAAAGTTTTAATTGGTTAAAATAATCTGTGTCTTGGTACAAGCCCTCACATCAGTTAGAATACATCCTATATAGTTGCAGTGTAGCAAAGCGTAGCAGTACAGGTGGATCCAGAGTTCTTGAAAAGGGCCTGGGGGCCAACCAGTTTGGGACTTGGGGTGGGGATACAAGGGGGAATCCTCTAGAAGCTCTCAGGTGTTTTGGGGAACAGTTTTATTTGACTTATTTTAGCTATATTTTACGTATAATTATTGCAATATCCCACCAAAAAATGGATTTATTAATCTAATGTATATTTTTGTGTAAAAGGGGGGAGGGAGGCTGCCCCTCCCCCCTTCTAAATCCACCAGTGCATGGTTGATTCCTTCTATGTAAAATTTCCCAAACTGTCAGAATTTCCCATTGAAATTAAATCATCATATTGTGCTAAAAGCATCATGCAGCTATTACATTAGACACTGACACCAGAAATTTCTGAAACCATCCCATAAAGTAGCTTGATCAGCAAACTATTCCCAATATCCCAATATGTTGACGATAGGTCACAGGGTAGCTTTTAAAAGTGGTGTGGAAAACACTAGTATGATAATATTGCTGTTTTGATGAGCAGTTTATATTCCAATTCAACATTACAGGTCACAAAGGCAACAAAAAGTCTGCAGAAACCAGGAGCTCATAGACTAGAAAACCTGAAGACACTTCGACAAGCATTTTCCCAGGGATCAGCTTTTATTGATACATTTTTCAAGTAAATTCAGTTGTAGCTTTAGTACTGGTAACTATTGTTACATACATGCCAACTTTCCCGATTTTTTCGGGAGTCTACCGATTTTTAACCCCATCTACCGCTTGTCTACCGATTTATTTTTTAATCCCATTTCTACCGATTTTTAGGAATTCCGGATTTTTTACCGATCCGCTTTGAATAATACCGCATTTCCTTGTGAAAAAAGATGGCAGTTCGAATGTTTATCGGTAGATATCTGTTTATTGCCGCTGATAACAGGTAATCAACAAGGTGTCAACTGTGCTACCAGTCATTACTGTGGCTTTAATTGCTCACGATTCTCATTAACAGTGTATATTAACCTAGACAATCATGCCAGATGTGGAAATTTTAGAAATACACACGACAGGATACAAACTTGTGACGAGTTCACACTTCACAGCAAAATTTGACAATATACATATAAGCTGTTAATAAAAGGTTTTCAAGTTTAGGAAATACGGCATTGCGCACTATAATTACAACTACGTCATTGATCATGGAAAAGACACTGCCAAAATCCAACTTGAAAAGATGCGTCTGCAAGTACAAACCGTTAGTTTCTTAGCAGAATTCCAGGAGTGGTTTACAAAAAGTAATGAAGGCCTTTTACAGACTTTGTATGAAAAACATTAAAAGTGACTTCTTCTTAGTATTCCCTTTGATTAAAAAAAAATACAAATTGTGTGTCTGTGATGACTTAGTAGCTTTATAAAATGTGTAATTTACCGATAGACAAAGACAGTTACTGCATGAACTCTTTTAGTAACTTGCTCTAGCTTATTTGTAATTAAGTTTAACATCCCTATCCATGTAATAATCTGTATGTGTATGACATTGCATAGGGCAGGGGGATAATGTTGATCTTTATATTAACATATTAAATAATTTTGATTAAAATTTTCCTTTTTTAAATTCCAAATAATAGTGTGTTTTTGTTGAAGTTGATAGAGAAAAAAAACTTTTTGAAGTAGTGATAATATATGATACAAGGTATTAGACTAATATTAAAAAAAAAACCCAACAAATACTTATTTTCACGACAAAATGCCGCGAATTTAGACCTTTGAAAAATGTCGTTACGTGCAATCTCCCCCAAGGAGATTTTAAAAAGTTGGCATGTATGTTGTTAAGCTTAAAATAAAGATTCTTCAAGACTGTCAAATGTCTATAATTGCATGGGGCCATTCAAAGGACCCATTCCAAATTCAGAAAGGTACCCTTTTTCCGACTTGAATGTGTTATTTTTCCAATAATCATTTCTCCTAATAATTATAATAGAGAGTATGTACATGATATAGATGGATTATACTATATTAACCAAGCTTCTTACTCATATTCCTCTCTATTGCAAAATAAAGCTCATAACAAAAGCAAGAACCCTAAGAGTTAGAAAAATGAGATTGCCTCGGAATGTCAAATACATGTACATTAAGAGTGAAACGGTTCACCGCGGTATCGATTCACTGCGGTATTTTTTCTCAGTTTGATACACAGTGCAAATTAAATCTCCACTTTCAGTTCAGTTCATTTTTTGGTCAGGATCGTTATTCAGTCAGTTTAGCATAGGTAAAAACATGTTACTTGGCATAATTAAGTATTATAAGCGTAAATTTTTGAGGACTGATGGTTTGTAAATTAATCTTTAACAGTCAAATCATTTTAATCAGTTTCTTGTAGTCAATTTGCAAGTAAATTATGTGACTAGATTTCGTGATTGAAAACATAAAACTACATTGAATTTGTTTCCTATTATCAAAATATATCGTATTGAAAATAACTGTACCAAGACAAAATTATTGAGTATGTATCATATAGTGAATGAGGCGTACCTTTCACCCCTAATGTACATTCAACATTGCTTTAAAATTTTGCTTTAAAACTTAACATCTATGACTGATATTGCACGCAAGTGCTAGCAAAGGATTAAGGTTTGTTTTATTATTCACAAGGGGGGAGTGCTCACTATTCTGAAGAACACACATAAGCTGTTTATTGAACTTTAAAACTTTAAACTGGATCAGGTTTTAACTACATTGTATAATTTTATACTAGAAAATAAGATTTTAACCTTTTTAGGATGTTTTCTGTGTTATTTCCATAATTATGATCCTTTTCTGAAAGGGTTGAAAATGCCTTGGACACTCTTGTTGGTATTTACACTGGAAAGGACTCTGAACAACAACTTGAGGCAGCTTGGTGTATTACGAACATCTCTGGAGGAACTGCGGAACATGAAATGGCCATCTGCAAACATGTGGCGCCATACCTGATTACCTATCTAAGCAGTGGTGTCCATCAGTTACAGGTTAATTGTGAAACATTCATTGCTAAAATAGTACTTAATACAATTTTTTGATTAATGTTTGGTATCTAATGCTAAATGATAATTTAAACATATTTAAAGTTTTAATAAAGTTGATGATTTATGAGTACATTTTCCTTTGTGAAGGACCAAAGTGCCTGGGCTCTGGGGAATTTAGCAGGGGATAGTGCGGAATGTAGAGAGATTTTACAGAAACAAGGAGTCATACCACCACTAGTACAACTCCTACAGGTAAGTGGTGCTGAAACTGTATTAATATCTACATTGTATTACATGTAAATTATTTTAATTTTTATAAGCTAACTGTCATTCATTTAGGTAGGGCTAAATTTTTTTTTACATTATTTTTTTTCTATGTATAATAGTAAATATGTAAGCGTATACAAATCCCTCCTAGAAAAAATTCTTTGTCATAAAAAAAGGATATGAGAAGATGCAGATAAAGACTGTGAATAATATGTAAGACTATCGTTATAAATTGGATGGTAGATCTTTATTAGTAGGTTGAATATTGCTCTGATCCTGCATGATGAGGGTTTGTTGTGCTCAAGAAAAATCTTGTTACTCTCAAGCACATTTGGTATTAAACCTTTTTGGTTTTAATGTTACAGAAATTTGGGGTTTTCCATATGAAAACATGGACATGCCATTCTTTCTACAAAATTGGGGAGGGGGGAACTTTCACAGAATCTTTATTTCTTGGTGCCATTGTGCTTCTCATGTTTTACATTTCGATTGGACAGAAATTTGGGGGTTCCTACAGCAAACAAGAGGCCCATGGGCCACATCTCTCACCTGAACACATTGGCTAGGAATGTGGGAGTAAGGGGTATCATTTTGTGAGTGCGGTGCTCACACTACCGCTAGTTTATTTCAGATTATGTCATTTACTGTAGATTTCGATTTAATCCATTTTACATCAGAGGGCGATCACTCAAATCACATAAAATTACATGTACCATAGAATTAAAACTCTTCAGTGTTTAGAGCTTCCTTGATGTTTTTTTTTCTTTTTTCACACAGAGTCCACATTCATCAGTTGTTCAGTCTGCAGCATTTGCTCTATCAAATCTGGCAAAAGAATCAGTGGAAGACTGCAAGTAAGTCACTCTCCAAAATCTCTTAAGTTTGTAAAATAAAACCCTATCAGAATACATTAGACTGAATGATTTATTTCTGTACATTTTCTGTGATATCTGTATTTAGGGAGATGGTTCAGGCCTCCGTCATTCCTAATCTTCTTCGACATTTCTCCTACTCACCAGAAAATCTAGATGTTTTGGCAGAGGTATCATGGGTCTTCACTTATCTTGCAACTAGGTAAGACATCAGTAACTTAAAAATGTGGTTGTTTAAAAGTGTTATCTTACTATATTGCCTCATCCCATATACACATGTACATGTATTTATTTGCAAAAGAATGATCTGTGTTTGACCTTCTTCTCACAGATTTTCTAACTTAAAATATAAAAATTAAGGTCAAATTGAGATTCATTTAAATGATGGACATGAACTGCATGTTTTACAAAGGATTTTTTTTTTTATTTTTAAGTGGACTCTTCTTGGAGGAAATGTCATCAAATGGTGTAATAACTAAAACTGTTAGTTTATTGGTGACATTGTCAGACATAATGCCTCATAAAGCTCAGGTATGATAAACACAGAAGCTGGGACACTTGTATGCAGTTTAATGAAGTTAACATGAAATGTTATTTAATTAATTCTAACAATGTTAAGAATCAAAAATAGTAATGAATGTGTACATATGTGTATATACATAAAACAATGTTATATTATTATATAATATAAAGGTAGGATGGGGAAGAAAGTTCATTGAGCCTGCTTCTCTTGCATTAAAACTTTAGGTTTTGTATAATTTGCAAAGATACTATGTTAGAATGTAGCAGGGGTTACTTCAGTATGAATACATTGATGTAGAACCATTGATGAAAATGATGATTGGCTATGATCATCAGTGTGTTCAATTGTCAGTATCATAAAAAGGTAGATCATTGAGGTTTTTCACTCAAGAGATTATTATAATGAAGAAATTGAAAAACTCGGTAATTTAATATTAATGTACCACATTTACAATATTAGTTTCTTTATGGCTGCTCTTTAAATTCAAAGTTGACCTTAGGGTAGAAATTGAAAATCAAAATTTGAATTCATTGTAATACATGCTGGGACACATCATCTTTTACATTCATTTTTTTGATATCTATTAGAAAAAGAAAAGATCTCATTTTCATAAAAACATAAAAATATTTGGTCATCAGGTCGTGACCCCTTTGCTTCGCTGTCTTGGAAACATATGCAGTGGACCAGATCAGTACACTGTTGAGGCCAAACAGAATGCTGAGTTGCTACCAAGTCTCTGTAAATACATGACCTCTGACCTTCGACATGTTCGCAAAGAAACCTTGTGGGTTCTCTCCAACATGACAGGTAAACCTATATTGTTAAGATATAATTGTGTACTGGATATGACAAAATTGCAAATCTCTGTTATAAATTGTAAACTTGAAAACAATGGAAGTCATACATGTAAATTGCATAAATGTCATATACATTAACATATTCACTGTAGTTAAAGTGAAAATGTGGAATATATGTTTGTATACTGTGGATCCTTTTAGTCACGAGTTTGTTTCTGCATTTATCGCAATTGATAAATTTTAAACAAAAATTTTTATTGATAAATAATTGTATACAAACAGAATCTTGGTGTGGATAGGAATCTCCATGTCTGTCTGTCCCACTTCATGTCTAGGTATAGTTTTATAAATGGGGAACATTAGAAGATCATACTTACTTAGGGTACCGTGATTCTAGATCAAGATGAATTGATCAGGTCAAGGTCACATGATTTGGAAGTGTAAATTCTATTTGTACATAGAGAAGGAATGTCATCCTTGACCACTGAATGCCCTTGTCTAGATGGTCTGTGTTGACTAAAAGTCACTGTCATTTGGACAATATATGGGATTTAGATTAGAAGAATTAATTTTTCTAACTTTGAAATACTCATTAGAACATTTCTATTTACCTTGTTATCAGGTGATCTTGGAGTGTGTAAGGAAGTTGCATTTGGCCCAATCCTACCCCATGTCCTGGAGCAGGTGCCTGCAGCATTTGACATCAAAACAGAGGTAAGGGAATTAAATAAAATTTCTTTGACTTAAGTAATAAAACATTTATAATTTTGGAATCTAGTGATCTTTTTTGATTAACGATGTACATGTTAATGGGAATACAATGCACATTTTTAAAATTTTTTAGTTTTTTAGCTCTACTGGTCAGAGACCAGAAGAGCTTATGTGATAGAAATGTGTCCGTCGTCCGTCCGTCTGTCTGTCCGTCCGTCTGTAAACAATTTTTCAAAATGCTACTCCTCCTACAGTTTTGGTCTGATTTCAATATAATACATAATTCTGTGTATCGGTTTTTGATTTCGATGAACGGTGTTGCCATGGTTACTAAAAATAGAAATTTCTGTGAAAAACATTCAAAATGCTACACCTCCTACAGTTTTAGTCTGATTTCAATATAACTTGGCACACAAGTAGACTATACTAAGATGCATAATTCTGTTTATCGGTTTTTGATTTCGATGAACGGTGTTGCCATGGTTACTAAAAATAGAAATTTCTGTGAAATACTTTCAAAATGCTACTCCTCCTACAGTTTTGATCTGATTTCAATATAACTTGGCACACAAGTAGACTACACTAAGATGCATAATTCTCTTTATCGGTTTTTGATTTCGATGAACGGTGTTGCCATGGTTACTAAAAATAGAAATTTCTGTGAAAAACATTCAAAATGCTACTCCTCTTACAGTTTTGATCTGATTTCAATATAACTTGGCACACAAGTAGACTATACTAAGATACATAATTCTTTATATCGGTTTTTGATTTCGATGAACGGTGTTGCCATGGTTACTAAAAATAGAAATTTCTGTGAAAAACATTCAAAATGCTACTCCTCCTACAGTTTTGATCTGATTTCAATATAACTTGTCTCACAAGTAGACTATACTAAGATGCATAATTCTGTATATCGGTTTTTGATTTCGATGAACGGTGTTGCCATGGTTACTAAAAATAGAAATTTCTGTGAAATACTTTCAAAATGCTACTCCTCTTACAGTTTTGGTCTGATTTCAATATAACTTGGCACACAAGTAGACTACACTAAGATACATAATTCTGTTTATCGGTTTTTGATTTCAATGAACGGTGTTGCCATGGTTACTAAAAATAGAAATTTCTGTGAAATACTTTCAAAATGCTACTCCTCTTACAGTTTTGGTCTGATTTCAATATAACTTGGCAAACAAGTAGACTACACTAAGATACATAATTCTATGTATCGGTTTTTGATTTCGATGAACATTGTTGCCATGGTTACTAAAAATAGAAATTTCTTTGAAATACCTTCAAAATGCTACCCCTACAGTTTTGGTCTGATTTTAGTATTACTTAGCATACAAGTAAACTACACTAAGATACATAATTCTCTGTACCAGTTTCTGATTTCGATGAACGGTGTTGCCATGGTTACTAAAAATAGAAATTTTCTTGAAATACTTTCAAAACGCTACTCCTCCTACACTTTTTGTCTTATTTCAGTATAATGTGGCATACAAGTAGACTACAGAGATACATAATTGGTGTTATTGTTTTTTGATTTTGTTGAATGATGTTGCCATGGTTACTTAAATCAAAATTTCAGTAAAATTGTTTTAAAAGGCTACTCCTCCTACAGTTTTAGTCTGATATAATAATAAATCTTGCCAAAAAGAGACTAAACCAAGGATCATTATTCTATTTATTGCTGTTGCAAAGTTTCAAGTCCAAGTGCTACTTTTATCTTCCTTTATAAATACAACCAGTAGAGCTACAGTCTCATCAGAGACTTCTGGTTTTATTTTACAATGTACACTGAACCCCTAATATATAAACACATATAGCAAAATGTACCTCCTTTTTAAGAGACCATTTTAAAGGTTTTTTGTTTCAGACAGAAGACCTTAATTTATTGATTGTATTGTTCATTAATATTTTTATTATCCCCCCTTTTTTTGTTGGCAGGATTTCTCAGAGATGATTTTATGGATTTTTTTGAAACCTTCACAGATGATAGAGAATAATATCCCAAGAATTTTTTTTCTATCAAGGGTAGATAATGAAGAAATAGCAAAAATTGGATTTTAAAATCTCCTTCTCAAAAACCTCTGTGCCAGAAAAGTTGAAAATAGTGTGAACATTTCCTAACATTGTGAAGATTAAAATTTGTTGAAATCATTACCCATGGGGGTAGGGAAAACATAGGAAAAATCTTTAAAAATCTTCTTAAAAAAGAGGAAAGCCATGATTAGTCATATTTATATGGAAGTATCCTCAGGTAGTGTTTATTCAGGTTTATTCAAATCACGGTCCCCGGGGGTAAGGTGGGGCTACAATGGGCAATCAAAGTTTTACATTATACTTAGGAAAAATCTTTAAAAATCTTCTCAAGAACAGGAATCCCATGATTAGTCATATTTATATGGAAGTATCCTCAGGTAGTGTTTAATCAGGTTTGTTCAAATCTAGCTGCAGATCTGTAGCTCGCTGGTCTGAAAAAAATTGGGATGGACGACCAGAGAGCTACAGTGCCACCCATTGAAAAAAGTGTATATTTATTGCGCACAAAAAAGTGCGCTGTTTCTCGATTTATTTCTCATTGTGTCCCCTGGGCATGATTTCTCAGAGATTTTTTATTTTATGCATGCTGACATTAAGATTACCAGGTAATAAAAAATTAGCTTTAGAAATCTCACAAGTGAAGTAGACTAGCTGATGAACCTCTCATCATGTAACAGAAAAGCCAAATATGTTCGAATATGTTTCCTCAACAACATTTTAAATCAGGGCCTGAGGGAAACATAGAACAGGTGTAGTGATGAAAATGAGGGCTTTTGAATTTCATTCAGTCATATCCAGTCCCAACAGGAAGTAGTATAATTGAAAGCCTTTTCATTTCTATAATGAGTTCCTTACTTTTTTATTACAATAAATTGATTTCCAATTATTAACTGGACATAGAATAATTAATAAATGAAACAGTGATTTTGGTTGTACTTGGAGGTTGATATTACTGTGTACCATGTAATTATAATCCTGGATCAGGTATATGTATAATGTATTTGTATCTTAGCTATCATCAATCTTCAATTCCTTTTATATTAGATTCTTAGATATATTGTGTCACTATTTTTTTAAGGCTCTGTATGTATTGTGTAATCTTGCCTGCCATGGTGAGGACATCTGTACCCAGCTGGTCAACTCTGGAATGTTACAATGTGTGACTCCTGCACTAAAGTCCCATGATGTAGAAGTCCTAAATTTGGCTCTGACAATGTGTGAAATGACACTGAAAATGATCCCAAAGGTATTTAGATACAACATAGTAAAATTTATCTTACTCAACCCATGATCTGTTAGTCATTATTTTTATAAGAATTTTTAAATACTGCAGGAAATGAGGTTTGTAATATTTTTCCACAGTATCTGTATTCAAATTGTTAATGTCAACTTTCGATTAAAATTTTTTTAATTAGTTTTATGTAGTCTTGTCAAATTGGACAATTTTTAGTAACAGGTTACTCACTTACTTTTCCAAAAGAGTAACTGGTTACTGGGATGGATTTTTTTTAGATCAAATAACATTGTTATACTTTCTATATTTATCTCATCATTTGTATACCGTACATGTATATACATAACACAAATGCACTGCATTACAGCATATGAATTTTATTTATAATTACAAACAACATTTTCTAATTTAATTCGTTCTTGAATACTCGTAATAAATGGTTGTTTTGCGGGATGTCCTTTTCATAACTGGTTTCAAAATAAAATTCATGATCAGTTTGAGGTGGTTTAGCATATTTGTTGTCCCATCCATGTGTTAATTCCATTTCACATATTTTACACAGCACAGACATAATTTCAGTCATTCTTTAAAATATTTCCATGCTTTTTATGCATGTGGCTGATGACAAAATACCAAATATGCCAGAAATTAGCAAATAGGCGTGTGATTTAACTGAAACAGTGATGTATAACATTATAACACTTAGATCACACATGGGGTAATTCCAGATAAAAGATTTTTATATTGTATCAAATACTACCAAGAAGTTGGTATCATGATAAATGTATATATATATTTTTAAAATTTTTTTCTCTTGTATGAGAAGGAGTCATTGACTCCCCCACTAACTTTATAATTATTTTGTTAATTTCTGCAGGCCAAAGAAATATTTGAGAAGGAGTGTGAAGGAATAACCAAGTTAGAGGCACTGGAGTACCACAACAATGATGCCATCAGGACTAGTGCTAACCACATCCTAGATATGTATTACGGAGAAGAGGTAAGAATATGAGGTGTAAAAAAAAGTATGAGTTAAAGACAGATAAGAAGCCTCTTAAACGAGGTCATGATCAAAATAAAATTTATAATTTTATAAACTGTAAATTTCATAATAATATTTTTTTTAAATGTGTTTTTATATATTTTCCTATATAAAATTTACCCCTTTATTCAATGGAAACAGTCATTAATATTTTATATCCCACACTTTGCATTTCAGTACCTCTTAAATTCTAGTATCAAAGCAAATTAAGTATTTTTAAAAAAAAAAATGTTTACATTTGTAAACATTAGAATAAAAGTAAAATTATTTTAATGATATAATTTTTATAATAAATGAAATTATAGAATCAACTTCTTTAAAAAGGGCATTTTGCCTTGATGTCAGTATGCACTACTTTTAGCGATGTAATATTGTTTACATTGTTATACAGCGTAATGCAGCCGACAAGAAAGGGAAAGGGAAAAAAACATCCAAATGTAGGTAAAAATGTGATAAAAGAATCTCTCATTTTCTGTGATTCGATATGCTTTTTATCTAATTCCTGGTGTGTTTTCTGTCCTCACGCCAAAGGCTCTGGGATAAACAACACACATGGTATTAGGTAAAAATCTTTCCCAATTACAAAACGTGAAAGATCCTATATATTTTTATATATATACATTGATTGAATTTCTGAATGTAGATTTAGGTTTTTGATAATTTTAAATTGAATTAAATTCTGCTGGAATATAATGTAGATTTGTAAATGATAGGGATGTGCAGAGTTTGTATATTCTGATTGTAAATTTTTATTGCAGGAGAAAGATTTGAACATGACGTAGAGATGGAATCTGTAAATAAAGCTGTTGTATAATTTGAATCATGTCAAACACATGTACCATTTATAGAATGGACAGAGGATATCAAATAAGGCTCAGTTGTTATGGATGTCTTGTTCTGCATAATTGTACCAGACGGGGTACAGTTCTTAGTGCCATATATATCTGTATATATATAAATATTTGTAGAGAGAGTCAAGTGTCTGATAGCAAAATGACAATTGCAATCTAGTGATGCAATCTCATCTTTTTTAAGGTTTTTCTCAAATTATTTTTTTTTACTCTTGTGAATATTCATTTATGCATTATACTATAAATAAAAAGACAAATACATACAAAATTGTATTCTTATGAATGAAATGGTAACTAAATGCTATTAAGCATAAAAAGATTATGTATCAACTGAAATGATTTTTAGTGAATCATTATTTCCTGGTTTAGAGTCAGTTTTTCATTAGTGTTGAACAATGCTTCATGTTACGTCGCGGGTTCGAGTCCCACTGCGGGACGTCGGATGAGACCGTATAACCCGAGGTCGTATTGCAGTAGGTGCTGGCACGAAAAAGATCACGCACTGCTCAATGGCCTTGAGTGCCGAGTATAGGTAAAAAAAAAATTGCAGCCCTCTAGCGGCAACTGGTGGCATCTCAATATGTGTGAAGCCCTATCGAAAAGGACGATAAACAAACATACAAACAAACATTTTCCATGGCATGTCATGTGGATTCGAGTTTCTTTGAATTATGGACTCTGGGCTTAGAGTGGGACTAAAATATAGTAACAGTTTGTACATAATACACGTGTATACAGGGGAAAATCTTTTTAAAAATCTCCAGAACAGAAATTCCATACTTGTCGTACTGATATTCGGAACCGCCATGTGGGGGGGGGGGGGGGGGGGGGGGGGGATTGAAATTTGGACAAGTCACTACTCGACGCCTGTCATATTATGGAGGCAAAAATTTTCAGGGAAAATCTAAGTTTGTTAAATATAATGAAGGATGGCAGAGCCAAGTTGACTCAGGTGAACGATGTGGTTCCTTTATCACCAGCTGATCACAGTGACTGAATATGTGCAAATTTCAAGCATGTCTTCAGTGTGTATATGATTCACCGTTTCTAGTTTAAGGGTGTTTTAGAGCATCCTAGTACAGCTCAACTCTCAAGTGAATCAAGTCAAGGAAAACCTTTTCATTTTCATTTTCTCTGGAACTACTTGTCTAATTTTTAAAATCATATTGCCACAAAGCTTACTTGGATAATGGTCAAGTGTATACACCGTTTCTTAGCAGGAGATCCATTATGAAATAGGTAGTAAAAACAGGATGATGTCATTTCAAAATCAGATGATGAACCACTGATTCCAAAAAAAGACAAAACTTTAGTAAAACCTTTAATTCTATATTGTATTTTCAAAATATATCCATGTTAGCTGCAATAATGTAGCCCTCTCTACTTTTTTTTTCCTCTCCCAAAAACATCAGATAAACATATTGGAGAGGGCTACATAATTGCAGCTATATCCATGTCTATAGATCGGAAGGATAGGGATTTAAATTTACATAGGAATGTAATGTTAAAATACATTTTAAAATTCAATTGAATAGCAGGGCTATATTTTCAAGTAAACATGCAGTAAAAATCAACTTTTAGATATTCTTTGGGATTAATTGTAGAACTACAGGCCTGTATTAAGAAAGGGAAGGGGCCCTGACCCCTAAGACTTTTAGAAAGAGTCTTTCGCTTTTAATTTTCTTTGAAAATTTTCGGTCAAACGTTGCCCCCCCCCCCCTTCCCTTTAATGTGTATTATTCGTGTCAATTTTTGTACTTTTTTCGGTTGAATATGATTGAACAACCCCCTCCCCATGTGGTATTTAAGTTGTTTAGTCCAACTTTTTTTTATACATGACCCCCCCTTTTTTTTTAAAGCGTTGCCTGATCATATCACTCTGGGCAGAAAATTAATCACGTTCAGAAGATCGTTATATTGTTCTTAATTGAACCACACTGTGTGTAAATTTTACCAGATTTATTTATTGACAGGGTTTGACGGACCCATGAACAAAACTGTTTGCATCAGTTCGGTTAAAAAAAAAGAACCCAGTCAATTAATGTATTGTTGTACTCTTTACTTCTTATTATGATGCAACTTGCGCTGGCTTATCATATCTATCCACGTAACAGTTTGAGAAACAGACTCAAGTATTTGAATGAAAAAAAAAAATAAATCCATGAAAATAATTTAAATATCCTTTTATTATAGTAAACTGTCTCTACGGTTTCAGTTTCCAAACTCTGATATAGTCCACCTGCATGGCCGCCTGCTCGCCGTCATTTTGATCAGGATTCCACGTAGGGTACCAGTCATTTTTGTGGTTCCAGAAGTCACGCGCCGTAAATTCGGACTTGTCTGTCCACGGTTTTGGAGAGGGGGCGTTTCTGAATTTATCTGGAAAGAATCCCACACCTCCAACGGCAACGTTCAATATGATGAAAAACTAAAAAGCAAGAAACACGATTTTTAAGGAACAAAACTGAATTTATGTCAGGAGATTGGTACTGGATACAAATTAAATATATTCTATCCTGCATTTTAGTTACTTTCTATAATGCAACTCCCGAATGTATATACCTAACCAGACGTTCAGTGCTAAAGATGAGGATGTTATTGAAATGAAATGTTCTCATATGTCAGTTTTATAAATATAAAATTTAATCTTACCTCTTGATCAAACGGAGCCATTTTGTTAGTAGTGTATTTATAGGGGTTGTTTATATGAGTCTTCTCCAACTCTCCAAGTTTCCAGAATCCTTCCGGGGGTGGAACTACATTCAATATCTGCTGTCCATCAAATGAAACCCTGTATGCATTGCAAAAATTACAGATTAATGTTGGGCTGATAAAGACGGCCTATATATATATATATATATATATATATATATATATATATATATATATATATATATATACAATGTATATATATATATATATATATATATATATATATATATATATATATATATATATATATATATATATATATATATATATATATATATATATATATATATTTATGACTTTTCCATTTTTTAAACTGCATGTGCATTGTACCGACTTTATAATTGCATTCGTCTTATTTATCGTGAATTGCCTAGAAATCTCAATGCTGTGAAGTATCAGGAACGTTTTAGCAACAAAATGCTAATGAAAACTGTAACGAATTATTTGCTAATAAGCTTTTTTTAAACAAGGAATCATGTAGATAGTGTACGGGAGTGAAAACTACTGTCACCGTGCAACTTACTGGATGTGATCTTCGTCCCATATTAATGTCCATATATGGAAATCGTCATTAAGTGTTCCACTCGAAAGAGTCCTGTAAAATTATATGCACCAAAGTGACCAACCGGAACCAGTTCAGAATAGTTAAAGAATCTGGGGGGATAAGACGAGCCATGTGCCCATGCCCATTTTTCGGCTATGCAAGAACATTTATTGGAAAAAATCTCTCAATTGTTCGAATTTACTTAAGCATTTTAATGTTTACCGTAGTTTTCAAAATGATATTTATATTCTAAACAAGCTAAACAGTTGACTTTCATTTACTGTCACAAATGTCTAACATGGGTAAGGATTTCTATTAATTAATCTGCATATTGAGTGTTTACACTTATTGTGGAGAGATATTATAAAAATGTTAACATCGTATATAATGATAATGGTGATCTAGAAGCGCTTTTATTTAAAATAAATAAAACGGGAATAAAAGTATTCAAATATCTATTATAATTTTTATCCGGCATTTTAAATAATTTACTGTAAATAAGTTCATTACTACATGTATACATTTTATTTCCAGTGAAAAATATGTTATTCCTATAGACATTTTTTATAAAGAAAAACAAAATTAAAACCAAAAAAATCAACAACAAAAAAAAAATAATCAGAGCATGACTCGAACACTTTCCTCGGTAAACATCCCTTTAAAGAGCTCATCGCTAACCACTAGACCACGGAGTCACACTAACAATTCCATTTAAATAGCATACAGTTCTCTATATTTAGCAAGCGTTTTTGGACTCAGAATTTTTTAAGACCACGGTGAAAATTTAAGTAAGTTAACTTAATTTTTTATGTAGAGTGGGTCTTCATACCAAATTTTTGCAAGTGTAAAAAGCAACATCTTTCCATTGCCTTTCATTAATCGTTCTCAAAAAAATGGTACGATGACCCACTCTATTTAAAAAATGTAGTTATATAATCCAATTTACGTCAGTTTCTGTGAAAATTGAGCGTGATGCCATTTTGTTGTGTTAATCAGAATCATTTTCGCTGTTACAGTATTCAGGTTTTGTCAAATTTATATGCAAATGGTAATAAGCATTAAATTAATTCAACAAAAAGTGAAATTTTTGTAAAATGAATTTATTGATTTTTTATCGATCGTTATGTAGGCATATGGCTCGGCTTATCCCCCCAGTTTCTTTAACCTTAATTATAATGAAAAACATGTGCAACATTGAATGTCAGACCCACTTTTCTGCGTGAGCTTTTTCGTAAGGATCATATCCGTACACCGGCCCAAAATGAAGAGTGCTCCCAAAGCTATCCACACCCTGACTGCCACCTTTCTCGTCATGGTAGTTTAAGTTGCCTATTTGAGCAGGATGATTTCAGAAGTAAAGAAAACTTGTAAATAAATGGAGATTCGGGGTGAAAATTGTTTTTAAAAAAGGCGAAACGGAAAAAAAAATCAAGGTACATCTTTCTTTTTTTAAGCATTTTAAAAGATTCAGACACAAATTCATGACAAACATACAACCTTGGCAAATGAATAAAACAGCAGAACGATACATGTTATAATACAGAGGCATATGGAAATTAATCTTTCAAAGGTTTATCAAAGATGAGTCTCTCTCCTCTCTCTCTCTCTCTCTCTCTCTCTCAAAATCCTACCTCTAGATTCTACGATATCAATTTCACCGGAAGCTGGCCATCCTCCGTAGGCATTTCTGTGTGGAAGCAGCCAGATTGCTATTGGAAAAAAAGTAAAACCACAGCATAAAAAAGGTAAGAAGTCAACATAAATACTTGAATCTTCAATCATCACGACATGTAGTTTACAAACCAGGCCAAATCCAGTCTCCCTTTGGCATTTTTGCCCTAACTTCCATTTTGCCGTACTTGAAGTTAAAGGATTTGTCACTTCGGAGTCTAGCGGACTGAATGGGATTAATGATATGTTCAGGAGTTCCTTGTCGACTACATCCATAAAACTGATTACTAGTGCACATGGAATTAGGTTCCGCTCCTAAGATTTGGAAAAATTACTTTGAAAAAAAAATCTGCTTTCGTTTGTTTTACAAATTCAGAAACACCATACAGTATTATTGATTATTAAGGAAAATATCAATAATTGTGAATTAAAGTCTTACCCCATAGATCGAGGGTGCCCGATGACAGGAATCTCTCTCCATAATTATCTGCTGTTAGGGTCTATGTAGGAAAAAAAACCTAAAGAATATCTATAGGATATATCCTCGTTTCGTAGCATTTTACTGTAGAATCATATAATGTACTTACAGGTTTGATAAATAGTTTCCCGTCTTTTGTATAGCTGTTTGTTCGGTTATTTGTATAGTACTCGAACTCCCAGTTCTGAAATTTATTAATAGTTTCCAAATCAAATCAAACTTTCCACGTTTTGTCACAATATGCTTAATTAAACATTCGAAAGTTTTACGACAAATATAAATGACCCTTTATGATAGACCACCAGTGAAACTCTTTTTAGTTAAGGACTGGCTTGTGTCTCCCTCCCAAAATTCTCATAATATATACGAACCCCGCCTCCACTGGCTGTAATTTCATGTGTCCAGGTTTCAAAGTTCAAGAAGTCAAAGTTGTCCTCAAATATAAGACAGGGATACGACGCGCACGTCTGCTGGGACGGCCCGTGTTGTGTGTATCCCGTACCGGAGTAGACTGTATTAAACAGTGTAATATTTTTTCCTGGCCCATGAATCATAATTTGCGATAAATACAAAAAAAGTTTCGTATTCGATATAAGTTATAAGAAAAAAAAATACCTTGCTGAGATCCTGCAGATGAACCTCCAGAGCTACCACTATGAGACTGTCCCCCTGATGTTCCTCCCTGGGTGTCAATCATGGTCTGTGTTAAAATCCCTCCCATTGCTGAATGACCAGAATTGTGGCCATGACCTCCGCCAGAGGGAGCAGCAGTGGTGGTAGAGGTCACCACTGGTCTGACCTTTGTGGTGGTTGTAGTTGATGTAGTGGTCGTTGTCATATCTTCAACAAGAGTTGACAGTCAATAGTTTCCTAACCATTTCTAACCATAGACCACTAGCAATTTTCAGATTTGACTTTAAAGCTTTCAATATCTCGTACTCTATCGCATCGTCTCAAGCCACGGTCCGGAGTCCGCATATGGAATCGGAGAGGATCGTACATTTCGGCCGTGGTTTGCGACGATGACTCTATCGTTACTTAACTGAGAAGAGTTGGGACGTTATATATATCCCTGAGAATAGGATCAAATTGAAGGAAAGTTATAATATCAATAATTATGTTCCATGTATTAAAGGCATGCTTATCGTAAGAGTCCTAGCTATTTAACAAAAAAAGCGCTAATTCGATGTGCATAGATCAATATACTAGTCTACGTTTAAAAAAAAAAAAGAAGACTAGATTCTGAGGAAAACAAGAGATGTTACCTTGGGATATTTACCTCCAATTACAGCAGACTGTCCCAGTAACTCACTCGGTGCCCCACCCTTTTGAGCATGTAACCAATAGTAAACCGTGTCTCCTTTATGAACTTGGATACCAGGCAGATCATTGGTGTGGACGAACGAAGATCCTACAATTTTATTATCAGTGTATATTCAGTTATTACTTGAAAATATCTTTTTCCCTTAATTGTATTTAATATTTTAGATTTTTTTTTTTTTGAGTGAGTGAGTGAAGAAGTAATAAAAATTTTATTACAACGTTACTCACTCACTCAAAAAAAATTATTATTTATAAAATACTTGTGGAAGTTGTTTTTCTGTCATATGACATATAAACTTCGGCAAACTGGTTGGGATTCGCCCTTCTTATTATCATCCGTCACAGCTAAATTATCTTTATCCTTTGTTTTATCTCAGATACTGGAGAATATTGTGTTGAAATTTCACCATGTATTCAGAATATCATAAAAATGCCAGTAATACCTTCTTTGTTGTGAACGTCATAGCCCCACTGGCCAGCTCCTACGCCGGCGATGGGTTGATTGATGGAATAGTGAACTGCGACAAAGTCGTAGTTACCATCATCTTCAAGAAAAAAAATATACATGAATTGGTTTCCAAGATAAAACTTCCTTCTATCATATTATTATATAAGTAGATGTTATACAGTAAATGCAGAACTAGACGTAAATCTATATCCTGAAGTGTAAATTTAGGAGTATCATAAGTGTGCAAAGACTGCCCGAAACACCCCAACCAACCTGGAATTGAGAATTTGATTCCGTGGCCATTGTACAGTTCTACTGTTGCTGGCTGTATGGCAAATACGGATCTCGATACTAACGAGGTTATCCCCAAAACCAGTAACCACATCTGCAACCATTTAAGAGGAAGAAGTTGGAAAATGGTAAAAGTAAGGTACTAATACAATTTCATTTCTTTTTTATTTTCTATGTAACACTGTGTAAGACAACGCAATATGATGACAATCTTCAATAATCCAAAACAACATGAAATGAGGGGAGAAAACTTTACCTTATTCTAAAAAATCAGTTTTCTGAAGAACTTTCATCTATATTAAGGGGGGGTCTTCTCATATTTATTGAATTTGAAATTTACTTAAAAATCATAGATTCGAGGCGACAATTTCACTAAGTGATGATATCAGTTACATTGAAATTTGACCGTCTTGTTTCAGAAGCAAGGACAGGTCAAGGTCATTTTCTTTTCATTGATATTTAGGACAAAACAATGACTGTTGCTGATTATGTGATGCCTACTTCTATTTGAAATCATTAAATGTTTTTCGATATCCATAGAGAGAGGATGTCATGCACATAAGTTCTATCAGATAACATTACCAAATTGAGATAAATAATTTAAGTAAAATAGATACATATGTATTGACTAGCCCGATATCCTCTAATTTTCTTCAAATTTTAAGGAATATTAGTCATTTTTCTATGCTTCTTTATTCATATTTGTCTTATTTCACAAATGTTGGAGTAATTGCATAAGCTAAGAGAGAACATCGTTTACTGATTTTTTTTTAGCACAAATCTAGATAAATATACATATAAAAGCTAAAAAGACTGAAGTTGTTTATTAACTGTACAAGTTTTCTAAAAACATAAATTCTAATGATATTTTTTTTTTTACTTCAGAAAATTAATTAAACTTTTGATTGTTTTAAATTGTGAACTAAATTCATTATTTTGTTGAAGATTTGAAAAACAGAACGTTATATTTTTCTAAGTTGCTATTTCACCAAAAATACATATATTCCTCTTAGATTTTACACTCTGTTAACCATTTCTATTTGTGACAATGAAAGAAAAACATGATCCTTTGAATTTCTAATATCTCAATATGAAACACAATGCGTCTTTCTCGGTGCAAGTTAAAAATAAACGCAAATACTAGATTGTTGAAAAGCTGCGGAGTATACAAGCATGGCCCTAGGATAATACACTATAGAAAACATAACTACTTTATGCTGCCCCCCCCCCCCCCTCAATAATTACGTCTGGGTTTTTTCTGGTAGTGCCCCCCCCCCCCAACTGAAAATGTTTGGTTGTGCCCAACCCATCCCCCCAACTGAAATTGATTCTTGCGGGCCATACGCTGTATATTGTAAGTTAACTTACCTTGATTTTTTCAGAGCGACGTCAAGGGGGAATACTGAACAAGGTATTTGGACATCTTTATATAGACGTTTACAAGTGAGTTCATTCCATTCTTGCTTGGAGATGAAACTTTGTGGAAGTAAAGACGAGCGTGATCTAGACCTGACTGCCACTGAACTTTTACATGTTATCTTTTTTTATATAACCTATTTATCTGACAAAATAATTATTAGCAAAAGTATTTCTGTTGCGTTTTTATTACATTAAAAGTAATTTATTGCATTAACGGCAAAATATAATACGAATTTAGCATATTAAAAGGAACCTAATACTGTGTAGTAACCGCTATAATATCAAAGTCACTGATGATAAAATTCACTTGTGTTTAAAACTCACTATTCAATCTCTGGAAAATTTCAATGATTTTAATCATAACATATATAAATAAAAGTTGAGATATGTGCATTTTACATCTAGCAATATTGTGAGTTAAAGACCTGCGCATTTTTCTTTAAAGATAAACTAAATAGTAAATGTTCGTCACGCATTTTCCATTTTTAATATACATTATAATGTTCTGCAATCTTTGAAATACTTACTTTATTTTGGTAACTTCAAGGGAAATTGTTGAATGTTGCCCCCCCCCCCCCCTTTATTCATTAATTATGAACTAGCATATATTTCTCCATTTTTAGTCTGCATGGTAGCAGATTTTTAGTTGGCAAAGTAAACTTTGAAAGAAAAACAGAACGATAAACTCTTTTACGATGGTTTTTTTGTTGGATTGATCATTACATTGTGTTTGGCTACAGTGATTATTTGTTAACCTTAAAAAAAAATCTGAAAAGAAAAGACACGCTACCAAATTATTTCATAGAGAAATCACATTTTCTATATATCTATCAGTTTCGTTTTAAAGCTTGTGAGAAGATATCAAGGAGCAAGAGCTGTAATCTTGAGTTTTGGAGAACAGACTTTAGTAGGGCGGCTGTCAGTTTGTGGAATGAACTTCCAACACGTGAAAATTACACAAAATGTTGATGTTTTATAACATTGCATTTCCTGAGTTTTAAACCCCTCTGATTCTTAGGTCACCTAAGTCACTCAGGTGAACTATTGCTATCTGTTTTCGTCCGTCGTCGTGCGGGTGTGCGTCGTGCGTAAACTTTTTCACATTTTCGATTTCTTCTCAGGAACCACTGGGCCAATTTCCACCAAACTTGCCACAAAGTATCCTTAGGTAATGGTGATTCAAGTTTGTTCAAATGAAGGGCCAAGCCTTCTTTCAAGGGGAGATAATTAAGAATTAGTGAAAAATAAATGGTATCTTTAAAAATCTTCTTATCAAGAACCACTGGACCAGGTAATATGAAACTTATATGGAAACATCCTCAAGTAGTGTAGACTCAAGTTTGTTAAAATCATAACACCCAGGGGTAGGATGGGGCTACAATGGACGATCAAAGTTTTAAATAGAAATACACAGGAAAAAACCTTTAAAATCTTCTTCTCCAGAACCACTGGGCCAAGAAAGATTAAACTTATGTGGAAACATCCTCGGATAGTGTAGATTCAAGTTTGTTCAAATCATGACCCCCAGGGGTAGGGCGGGGCCACAATGGTTTTACATGGGAAAACATTGGAAAAACCTTCTCCAGAGCCACTGGGCCAAGAAAGATGAAACTTATGTGGAAACATCTTCTGGTAGTGAAGATTCAAGTTTATTAGAATCATGATCCCAGGGGGTAGGGTGGGGCCACAATGGACAATGAAAGTTCTACATTGGAATACATAGAAAAAAATCGTGAAATTTTTTTTTCTCAAGAACAGCAAAGCCATGATTGGTTATATTCACATGGGGACATCCTCAGGTAGTATAGATGCAAGTTTGTTCAAATAATGACTCTGAGGATAGGGTGTGGTCACAATGGACGATCAAAGATTTACAAAAGCTTCTTCTATCAGTTCATTTTATACTCTATGGATCCTCTATGGATTGTTGTTTTATACTCAGGTGACCGTTAAGGCCCTTGAGCATCTTGGTTTTTTTTTTAATTTCTCAACTACTGTTTTTGTTTTTTATCAATTCATAAAGTTAACTCGTTTGTATTTTTTTCTTTAATGTTAATACTTGAGCATTTTTCTGTAATATAACTGTTTTATCATTTTTTATATCATTTTAATTCGGTGTGTGTGTGAGTATATAATATAATATAATATAATATAATATAATATATATATATATATATATATATATATATATATATATATATATATATATATATATATATATATATATATATATATTTATATATATATATAGATATAGATATATATATATTAGGGATGGCAACGAATATTCGAACATTCGAATATTCATTCGATGAGTTGATATTCGAATATGAATTTAAGATTCGAATATACTGTGTTTTTTAGATTTCATAAAAAGAAGTACTGTGATTAATAAATTTTGATTAGAACAGTGCTGGAATTATCTCTGTTTAATTTACAAGCCATCAATTTCGATCGCCTAATTTCTTTTACTACTTTCTTATCTTATAAATCTACTAAATTACATGTATTTTGTTTTGAGTAAGGTGTTAAAGAATTGTACAATAATGCTTTATGTATAATACAAAACGTACTTTCATAGTTTTTATTAGTTAGATACGATCGGATCTAGAATCGAGGACAACAAATGAAATCTAAGAATGTCCAAAAGGCGTGAAGAGTAACTATACTTATAAAAAAAAAAATTAATTGAACATTGAATGAATGTCCGATAGAATTAATCTGTAATTAATACTGTAAAGGGCTTAATTTCAGAACAATGTGTAAATTACTTTATTATCTCGGGTTGTACATAATCCTGAATTTTATATTCATTATTGGGAAATTAGTTAATTACCTACGAAAATTGTCTATGGAAATATCTGTTTACAATGTGTCAAAGATTATAATCATATCTCTTATATTAGGCAGATAATTGTAATTTATTACGACACGTATTGAAATCTGAACAGTATACCGTTACGACTATCTTGCCTTTTGTAAGACGACTGGTTCCTCAGTTGGAGCTACTAAAAATACACATTTAATTTGTTAAAATTATACTTTTCTACATTTAAATCAATTATTTATTTCAAACATTGACAAATATCAAATGGAATTTCTTATTGTACACCTACAAAAGTCTTCATACAATTTTACTTCCAATATAAGTATACCTAGGCTAACCCTCTCATGAGAGTAGGATGATGCATATTTAAAATAAAACAGATTTTATTTATTTTATCGCATATTCGAATATATTCGAATACTTTCATTGAATATTCGAATATGAATTATTGACAAAATTGACATCCCTAATATATATATTTCACCGTTGAAAAATGTAATAAATTACTTTATAAGAAAGATTGTCCATTTCTAGTGTAGTGTGGAGTAAGTATTAGATTAAACAGAATATAATTTATTTGATTGTTACAAATATGAGATAAATAGGAGTGTATTTCTCTCTGACTGGAATTCAAAATTATTGTCATGATTAAAATCGGGGCAAAAAAAATCATATTTTCTTCGATTTCTTTTCTAATTTAAGAAGGTTTAAATCGCCATAATCCCTGAGTTTTCCGATGATCTACCTTTGGGACCTACTAAGGCCCTCAGGGCGGCTCCCAAGAAGCTTTTAAGAATATGCATTTCAGTTCGTTCCTACCTACCAGGCCCGTTGAACGCGGGAGGGGTCAATTTTTCGGAGTATAGTATTTAGTATTTTGCTATAGTAAATTTTCCTATAGATGCTGGTTGCCCCCCCCCCCCCCCCCAATATTTGTTGCTGTAAGGTCGAGCACTGACAAATTCCAGGATTTAGACAGTTACATGTAATTTGAAACCGTTGCTACGGATCTGTCTACCCTCAAATAAGCAGTGCGTGCAAGAGTGTGGGGAGTTGGGGGGTTAAAAATCTGTGCGTGCTGTGTATTAAGTTGAACAATAAAATGCTTTCTTTGGTTGTTAGTATGGGAAATAATATAACAGCTGTTGCAGAAGAAAATATACATAACCGCATAAACGGGGTATGTAAATATTTTCTTCTGCAATCGCTGCAAGTATTAATAATTTAAGGATAGTGGTTTTCACAATAAGAAATTCAGTGGATCCGATGTAAATATAAAGATTTTCTTTATTTTTTGTCTTATTTGACAAAACCAAAGAACTACAATGTAGGTCTTCTTCGTCCTGGATAATAACAATCGAATACATTACAATACATTTGTCCATAACTTGTCGATGAAAGAAGATCAACTCTTTTTTTACAATTCATTCAAAAAGTTCACACAAAAATCACAATTGTTTATCCAACCACTGATTTGGGTGGTGGTGGCGACCGAGTGTGGTGGTTTACTTTGGTAGTTGTGGGCGTTGTTGGGCCTTTCGTTGTACCTGGGTGAGGTGGTGTCTGTGTCGTGTACGGTGGTGGTGAGTTTGTGGTACCTTTAGTTGTGGTAGTTAGTGGTGGGGGTGTATCATAACGCCGTCTTAAAATTTTTGCCAGGTTTGAAACCGGAACTGTTTAGTTGGGAAAAAACGTCAATTCCACATATAAAATTTTTCTACATGTATATAAGCAGCAACAGCATCTCAAAAACTTGTTTTAAAATTTATGTACGCAGCGATTCATTCCGTAATATAGAAGTCTTTCCAGACATGGTCTGACGCCAAATTACAGTAGAAAACAAGCTTATTTACGGTTGCATGTGCCCCCTAAATGATAATATTCTTTGTCAGGTGTTTTTGCTTGTCAAGGACTTTGTTCGAATTTGCCCCCACCCCAACCCTTTCCAACTGATTTCTTTTTACAGGTTTCTATTTTGTTGTTCAAATCGTAGCACAACATACTAAGACTTTTGGTATACGGGGTTCGTAGATTCATTCTGTACATGCATTTCACAATAAATACGAATACGCAAATATAAGCTCTTCGTTTATACCACATTAGCAGACAACTGATTACCTTTGGCAAAAGGAAATCTGGCCTCACACAAGTTGCGACAATCAAAGTATCCATTCTCCGTGCACGTGCACCATATGCAACGGGTTGCGTCAGTGAAGCCTTGCGTCCCCCCTGTACGTGCACATTTCCATAGGGATCCCGCAGCCGCTGTGCTCACCAACAAAAGCGTCAACAATGTCAACTTAAGAATCATCTAGGAAAAAGAGATTGCGTAATTCTGTGTACATTGTCTTATCATAGCAAACACATGACATTCTTAGGTGACTAGTCGCACCTTAATCATGATCTGTCGTCTGGTCACGTTAAGTTGTTGGTCACCTCTGTAGTATGAAGGAAATAATAATTCAAGGCCGGTCAGTTTCATTTTCCAATAGAATTTTGACAATGCAAATCTTAAGTAATTTTTAGAGTTCTCTCACCTGGCATTTGGGGAGGGGAGGGGATATGCATTTTTCAGATTTAAAGGGACACAGAATTTCATGTTTACAAGATATTTTATTGACCAATCAACAGTGATCAAGGACGCCCGGAAGGCATTGTAACACAAAAGTACAATTTACACATTATCACGACAGAAGACAATAATATATCTTTCAAACTTTTCGGTGGAATTTCATGACTAACATGTTGCGAGAGCGTTTCAGACCACTTCTTTTATCTGAAAATTATCAAAATTAGGACTTTCAGATGTATTCGATCAAGGAAATGTTAGAAAGCAAAACCAAAATACCAGTGTCAGTTCGTGTTCAATGACGTGTGCTGTGTTACCAAATCGAACACACCCAGTACGTATACAGCGTAAATAATAACAGAGCTCGAGTCAATGTTTGTAATACAGGTGTTTGATGCAAGAATTTTCATGCAATTTTGAATAACTAAACTAATGCTATTTTTCTAGTAATTTCAAAATTGTATTCAAAAAAGGAAATGCAAATTTGTCTATGCCCAAACAAATTTACGAAATGCTTACAAGTAGATATCCCCCCTTTCCCACCTAGTATTTGTAGTCTTTCCATTTGCATGTACGTCTTCATTTGAAAAAATAAACAGCTGAACTGTCAAAAATGCTTAAAAGTATCAGATAACACACTAAATCTAATGTTTTCTTGGGACTATAAAGTTGATCACCTGTAAACTCCGTCTTAAGGTTTCATTAGAATAGAAAAACCTAGTAGAATATTTAGAATTTATCAATACCAGTTGTCAGAAAATTTTTGAGACATACCATGAGTATTGCATTCTCCATCAATTTTGTCAACACAATAGAAAGTAGAACAGTTTTTAAAACTGCACTCGCAACCACTCATGGTGCACTTTTTCACCAGTTATTTACATACACTTAAATAATGACCTTCAGACTTCTTTCTTATCAGTTATACTAAGCCTATCCTCAGTGAAAAGTACAACTGCTTTAGAAGATCAATTCACTTTGTACTTTTATTCAAATGACCAAAAACAAATACATAACAAATAACTAAATTCATTCTTTAAAAAATTGAAGTCATTTTTTCAGCAACATTTTTCTAAAATCATCGTTGCTCATTTTTGTTGCTGTGGCATTGGCCACTGGCTGTCCATTAGATTCTGTGTTTTGTGGGGGAGGGGGTTTACTGTTTTTAGCTGTGGCTGGGGTTCTCTGGATTGACCTTGGCACCAAGGACAGCTGTGTACGAGCTTTTCCTCTCCTAAAAACAAAAAATGGTTACTAAGAATTAATCTGGAGACTTTTGATCAGATAAACTGTTGTATATGTTCCAATATTGTATGTTAAACATTTATATCACATATCAAGTAAGAAAGTAAGTAAGAAGTGGGATGGAGGCAAAGAAAGAAAATGATCCACTAATTTACCAAACCTTGGTTTCACTTGTTAATTTATTTTGTTTTTAATATGATGTTTTACATTTGCAATCTTTACAAATGTTATCAACCAATAAAAACTGTTCAGATCAATTAACACTAAAACAACCAATTTACTCCTTACACTTCTGTCTCTTTCTTTCCCCCTCCCAGTGTTGGGGTGAAGGAGGTTTCATCCCTGCTGCTGAGGGGGGTACCTCTCTGTGGAGGGTTACTGATGGCTACCTCAATCTCATGTTCACCAATCTTCAATCCATCTGTCTTAACCACAGCTTTAGCTGCATCTTGCTAAAACAAAAACAAAAAAAAGTTATCTTTAGGAACTGTGTGTCTGGAGTACATGTTTAGAAAAAAATTTCTGATTTACATGTGTATAATACAGATTTAAAAAAAAAAGACTTTGAAATAAAATTAACTATATAACCCAGTATGACCTTAAAGACAACATAGATTATTTTCCAATCCTATTGCATTTTTGGGAGTTGAAGTATGTTTGATATACATGTATGTTTGATCTCCCTTGGCCATCAAAATTGTTCAAATCATTGGGCGAGCAATTTTTGTATAGGTTGTATAGTACCACTTCTTTGTGAGCTAATCTACTCGTAGGTGTACCCTGACAATCATAGGCATCTACTGTATATGCCTCCGCAATAGAAATTAAATACAGCGTACCACATATCATTAGTTTTCATTTGAAATTTTTTAGAAAATGAGTTGAAAAAGAAAATGTATACTTGAATTCTTACTAAAAGGTTACTTCAGGTTTCATGTTCATGAAGACTGAAATGATCATTTTGACCTGATTATGCCACGCTAGGCACTGGATTGACTGATTCATTGCTGATAAGAGGGGTTAAAAAGTTAATAACCGACTGCATAACATTCATGTCTCTAGAATTTGTTTTTTTCTTTACCCTTAAGTATTAATGTATACCATTTCATGGAGTAAAATAAAACAAATGAATAGCAAGAAAGTATTTATGTAATAATAGCATTATTTGCAGTCCATCTGACTTTCTTTAAACCATGTAATTTTTATAAAAAGAAATAGAAGGATTATTACAATAATTTAAAGATTTTTTTCTTTAAATAATAGAAAATTCAACTCCCAATAGTACATTCTGCACTTCAATTCATTAAACAGCTCAGTGTACATCCAGTTAGCATAGCTAAGGTCCTAGCTGCAACATTATTTTAATGGTCCTCTGCCATAATCACTGGATGTGTACAAGAGGAGCATGTATTCTATTAACTGCAGCTTCTGCCTAGGGTACTATGTACTGTACATGTATAAAAATTCACTTAGGCCACACCAATTTGTAAAATAGTTCTTCGGATTTTCAAAAATAAAAACTGAGGCGAGAGGGCGAAATAATTTTACAAATATTATTTTTTATTTTGGGGTTAAAAATTATGAGGCAATCGAAATACAAGTAATATAATTTTTTTTAATGAATAAAGCATGATTTCAAAGAGCGAGCGCTTAAAAAAATAAAGACTTAAAATTATCAGATATCATTTGTATACCACATGAACTTATGATTTTTAACTTTTTGATATTGTTTTCAATAAAAAAAAGTTTCAGTTTTCAAATACTTTATTTTCATAACAGGTAATGTTTTGCTACATTAAATAAGGTCTTTTTGAAGAATTTCCTCTCCAATCTGTTGCCCATTCTATCAAATCATTAAATAAATTCGGTGGTCTCATTTGCCTGTAATTTTTCCAGGGAGAGAATAATTTTTAGAAGCATTCATAAAACATGAAAACGCGTCTACTTTCTGTTCGTCATGTTTTGAATGAGGTACGTATTACATTGCAATTTACTTTCATTTCTACAAATGTTCTGTTAAGTTCTGTGCAAATTCCTAAGGACATGTCCAGTCTTGAAATCTGAATTACATCGCTCTTAGAATTTTTTTTTATTTTGACAGAGCAAATATCATCAATATTCACCAAACCTTTCGTGGACTTTTTGTGGTCTCAGTAACATCTTACAGCGCTTCAAAAGTTTCCTCGGCTTCTAGTTCGATTGCAGTATAAGGAAAAAATTCACATCCACTGTTTTTAACTATTGACGTATCGTAAATATAGAGAGTAGAAAAACTTCACACATTGTTACACAGTATGATTTACGAAGTATGAACTTTCTCAATCCCGCGCTTGTGTCATTCTTCAACCACGTGTTCCGAAGGCTTTTGTGCGTTTGGTGTAAAAAGTCGAAAAAAATGTACTAGGATATTTTGATAATATTTAATTTGGAATTGTTACAAATAGAAGGGGGGAATCTGACGAACTATATTGCAAATTGGTATGGCCTTAATGATGAAAAAACAAAATTTATTAAACATGCAAATCTACCTCATCCTCAAACTCTACATAGGCTAACCCTTTAGGAGCCCCACTTCTGTACGTCACCATTCGGACCTCGCGTACAGGGCCATGCTGTAAATTACATGTATAAAGATGAATTACTACCATTTATATACAAATGTGAAGAGACAGTAAAACATTTAATTAAATATTAAAACTGATAATTATACCTCACTGAAGATCTGGATCAAGGCCTCCCTGGTGCAAGTAAAAGGAAGATTCTTCACAAAAAGTTTGTTCTTCTCCATTTCAGTAGAAAACTGAAACACAATAACACAGCCTTTCATAAGCTACATCAAGTTAGAAACCACAGGGCATGATGGGTCTTTATTTACAAGTAAATTATTTAAAAAAGAATGATATTAACACATTTTTTAAAGTTTTATTTACATGTATGAGAAAAATAATTTATAAATTGATTTTACATCAATTCTTCTTCAATGATAATACTTAAGGACCCTCTCTACACTCCACCCCTAATTTCAGGGTACTTTTGTGTAGTTAGACTGACCCATCATTTGATATAGAAATAGAATAAATTTTAACCTGCACTGTATGACATAATTTAAAATAAATCCAAGTATTCTAAACATCATATCAGACCCAGATAGAGTAGTTGAAAACTTTATTTGCATGTATTTTCTCCATTTGATTAAGCAAAAGCGAATTTTATTTATAATTACTTCATTATCTTTGAAGATTTTACCTGGATAAAAAAGGCATGCTCCCTATATTAAAAATGAATTAGTTAATTTCAAAACATCCTCCTTTATGCTATATAATTTTCTCAAAGTCAAAAAAACATTTTTCATCAGTGTATAGAGGGTCCTTAAAAGAACACAAAACACACATTACTGATAACAGTGAAACATTTTCCAGCTCCCTCACCTTGAACTGAGCCTTCTTTTGGCTTCTGTCTTCACATTTTGAAACAAAAACTGGTCGACCCTCAACAGGTGTCCTGTCCAACTTTAAAGCTTCTAACATACCCAGCTAAACCAATTCATATAAAACAGAATTTTCATTTTCAGTCACTTTGAACTCTAAAAATCAAGCAGTAGGGGCTTTTCAAACAAAAATAGTTCTTAATGCTTCAAACAATATCTACTCCAAAAAATATTCTCTAATTAATCTGTATATGATGTACATATAATTACCAAAAAAAACAGGTCCTTACCTCATCTTTAAATTCTACATAAGCATATCCTTTAGATTTTCCTCTAATAGTTTTCACGAGTCGGATATCTGTCATTTCCCCACACTACAAAAATTTCTTTTAAATTAAGTCTTTTTCAGTGTATAATGGTATATGAACATTTAATGTTTAAAATATTACACTGCTCCTTCGATGAGACAACAAAAAGCTAAAAATTAACCTTGGCAAAAAGTTGCCCAATGCGATCCTCATCTATGGAGTAATCCAGATTACTGACAAATGCTGTACGTTTGGATTTATTCGGATCTTGCTCAGCTTTCTCCACAAAATCTACTTGAGTGTTTGAGCCATCCCCCTGGCCACCACTGTTGGATGTTTCCTCCTCTAACAGGTAAATATTGAATTCATCAATAAAATGGCATCCATGTTTAATGAATTGATAGTATATAAATAGTGCACGTTTTTGAGGGTAACAGTTGAAATTGACACCCCAAGGAAAACCATTGTCAACCGACGCGTCAGCGGAGGTTGACAATGGTTTTCCGAGGGGTGTCAATTTCAACTGTTACCCTCAAAAACGTGCACTATTTATTTTATTATACTGAATGTCTTATTGATTTCGGATGTCATAAAAAAAAAAATCGGAGATCGTCGTTAAGTTCACGCTTAGAAAGCTTTCAAACTCCCCGCTTCTATTTTTCTCAATAAGAAAGCTTCGGAAAAGATTTACCAACCTCTCTATTGTTTGTTTGCTACTCAAAAAGTCCTTTATCATCTAAAGTTTGCACTCGCAAGGATGTTTCGTCTGTCGTTTGTTGTTTTCAAGTAAGCTACATCGGACGCAAGCTTTTATTGACGTCGTTTATTCGGCTTCTTTCAAACGCACAACCGACGTTTTGAGAATTCTACGGTGAACCGTACGCGCATGATTTGAACGCATGTGATATTTTCGTAATGTTACCCGTTGTCAAGTGTGTTGCTAACGCTGAGGGTAACATTACGGATTGTTAAATGCGTCTAAACCAATCAGATTTTAGTATTTAACATGAAAGTATAATAATACAAAATATTAGACAGGAATCTTTTGTACATGTAATAGAAAAATTTAAAATCGGTAAGTCTCATGAATGAATTTATAATGCAATTCATTGAAGTTAGGGATTCTGTACCTATGCAATATAAAATCTGAATCTACATGTATTACATTAATGCAGAGTTTTATTGTAATCAATCAAAGTATTTATAAGCATCAATAAAGTTAGAGTTACTGTAAACCAACTTTTATTCGCATGCGAGAAACATCCGCAAGTTTCACAACCTACATTTACTTGCGAAAATTAATCACCACGAACCATTTCTTTTGCTTTGTATTTGAAGAGAATGTTTCCTCAGTCGCGAAAATTAATCACGCGAATTGATTACAAAATGATAAATAGCGAATAAAAGATGACGCGAATAATAGTTGGTTTACAGTATTCAAGTCAATGTACCTATTTTTGGCTTCTTGGCTGCATGCTCTCCTCCTTTATACCCTGGAGGGGGTCCTTTATATCCAGGTGGAGGGGGTCCCTTGGACTCAGGTGGAGGTGGCTCCTTGAACCCAGGAGGGGGTGGTCCCTTTGAACTTGGTACTGCAGGTACTTTGAATTCAGCTTGCTCTTCTTCTGACTGAAACATATCCTACACAATTTAAAACTGCTAACAAGCTACCAGTGATTCAGGGAATTTGTATCCCCTGCTTCAGGAATAAAGAAGAGGGTGGAAAACCTAAAAAAAAATGTAAATGGCAAAAGAAAAAAGGTTGACCATGACCTTTCAGCTTTTGGTCTTAAAGTTAATATGGGTCATTTTTAAGGACTCTCTATACACTGATGAAAAATGTTTTTTGGACTTTGAGAAAATTATATAGCATAAAGGAGGATGTTTTGAAATTAACTAATTCATTTTTAATATAGGGAGCGTGCCTTTTTTATCCAGGAAAAATCTTAAAAGATAATGAAGTAATTATAAATAAAATTCGCTTTTGCTTACTCAAATGGAGAAAATACATGCAAATAAAGTTTTCAACTACTCTATCTTGGTCTGATATGATGTTTGGAATACTTGGATTTATTTTAAATTATGTCATACAGTGCAGGTTAAAATTTATTCTATTTCTATATCAAATGATGGCTCAGTCTAACTACACAAAAGTACCCTGAAATTAGGGTGGAGTGTAGAGAGGGTCCTTAAGTTAAAGAAATTCATGACCTTAAGATTCATTGCAGAAAGGTTACAGAGAACTTTAAGTTAATATCAGGAAACATTTTTTGCAATGTATGAATTTCTGATCTTGGTCTTTGACCTTTTGACCTCAAAATCAATAGGAGTCCTTTTTTAGTCATATTGACTGAAGGTATAAAATTTCACTGCAAATCTCAAAGAGAACTAAAGTTATCACCAGGAATCCATTTTAAGCAAGATATTAATATTTGACATTTACCTTTTGACCTAAAAAGTGATAGGGGTCTTCTTTAGGTCATTTGGAGTTATGATATAAAATTTCATTGACAACCTGAATGAAAGGTAAGGTCAAATGTCAGGAAATATCAGGAATATCAGGAAACAATATTTTGTAATTTATAAATGTATGACCTTGACCCTTTGACCTTAAAATCAATAAGGGTCTTCTTTGAGTCACTGAGAGTTATGATATATATTTTCATTGAAAAAGCCCACAGAGAACTAAAGTTATGAACTGGAAATAATTATTTCCAAATATGAATTTCTTAACTTGACCTTTGACCTTAAATCTTTAAGACTTGAGACATTTAGTTATGTAAACAAAAGTGTTAAATGCAGATAGAATGACAGAAGGACAGACCCAAATTAATATCTTCCACTTTCAATGAAAGCAGTGGACAAAATAACATATTTACACATGCAAGTTTTTTGATACCGGTATATTAAAATAATTTGGAAAATACAAAATCCTTATCACATAATTCAGTTAAGTCACCTTTCTTTTCCTGTTTTCAGATTTGTCTGTCTTTTCTTTCTGTGAAGATTTGTCTGCACTTTCTTTTGGTGACGATTTTTTTCTCTCATTACCGTCTTTCTTCCCCTTCTTTCCTTTTTCTTTTGCATCAAATCTTTTCTGTTTCTTTTCTAGTCTTCTATTCTGTCTTTTTTCTTCCAATTCTGACTCCTTGAACACAACATGGTGGCATAAATCAGTAACTGAGTTACATGAAAGCAATCATTTCAGGAAATATCTTCTTTTTTATGATTATTGTTAGATGATCAATTTCTTACCTTTCTCTCTTTATTTATGGCATCCATATGTATCTCACACTTGGTTACAGCTGTGTCATACTGTTCCAAATTCCCTATTTAATACAAATTTAACAACTATACAAGTATATCTCTATTATCATATTAAATCAAAGCTATCATGAACTACAACGCTTGGCTCAACATATCTGACCTTCCTCTCTTTCAAAGTTGATCATAGCTTCGACAATTCCTTCTGGCCAGTCTGTTACCACATTGAGTGCTCTGTTCAGAAGTTTACGGCAGTGTTTATTATCACCGTATGCCCTTCAATAAAATAAGCCAATCAATGGTTAGCATCATATGGAATCATAAACACTAAAAATTGACATTAAAAGCAGATCTGCTTCTTATGAGACACATTGAATTTGGATTAAAAAGCAAATAAATGCATGTTTTTATAACTGGTTAAATACAGCATTTCTCAAAAGATTTTTGATGTTTTCTGGTAGTTTTGTAATGAAAGAGAAAATCTACAGATCCTCACTGTTTCAGCAATATCATCGGAAAATATACAAATACCTTTCTATTTTTAGATAATCCAACCATAAAGCTGCCTCATGATTTCTTCCTGCAGACATGATGTCATTCCAGATCTCTCTAGCCCTTGTCATATTTTTACAAAACTTGCCCTGCAATTTTTAAAAAATTTTCTTTCTTTTTTTTTTTTTTTATATATTTACGAATATATTTCATTAATACAATTTATTCTGAGGGTACATCAAATATTTCAAATATGTAAATGTAAGGATAATTCTTTTTCCCCAATCATAAAGACAAATAAGAAAATGTCTCAATTTCAGGTCACCTTTCATAATGGAAATTTTGTTTCTCTATTGGCTAACAATTTAGAACATATTTTTATGATCTATACATAAACTGTACCTCTATTACTGCCCAGAACTGCTGTAAACTCCCCTTTGGATCTGCCTCCACACCATAATCTGTCATAAAATATTTAGATGATATTTTGAGTATTTCCAATTTCCTACCCAGTCCTGACCTATATGGTATATGATGGTAGGTAGCAATGATAATCACTTTATAAATTCTTATGAAGCATTTGATAACAGTGTATAAATTATTTAGTTTCATACCCCAATTTTTATTTAAATTTCACTCTGAAAAACAGCAACAAATCTTTGTGATTTTTTTTTTTTGGGGGGGGGGGGGGGGGGGGTCCATAGCAAAAGAAAAATTACCAAAAATTAAATTTAAGCCTTATCATAAATTTAAATGCCTTTAGATATTAAGAAAGGAAGGGAAGACTGACAACTACAACAAAGAAAAAGCTAACTTTAATTGATAAAAAATCAACTGCAAAAATAAAACAAATTCACTATCAATATAAGAGTAATTTAAAGCTTACATGATAGAAAGTTAACAGCACTTTCAACAGTTATTCTGAACAACTCCAATTCATCTTCATGTTCTGTGGGATAAAAATGTTCTCACTAGACAATTAATTACAAACGATAAAAATATATATAACATATATTAACACACAAGTAATTAAAAAAAAAAAAAGTTTTCACTTCTGCTTTTGCAAGACCTTAACACATTCGATTCTCAAGAGCAAGCCATTACCAACTTAGAATAAAAGAAGAGGATATTAAAAACTTTCAGTACTATCCTTGTTAACTGGCGAACATGAGAGAGCATAGTGTATGTGTACTTAAAAAAGCGGGCTTTATATTTTAGCGGCTTTGGCGTAGACAAAGATGCACTAATTCATGCATACCGCTAAGAAATCATTTATATATACAATACACGGCATGGACATGTGTAGCACTAATTCATGATTACTCTAACAACTCCATACTCGGTGATTGCACTAAATTTTGAATATGCCAATTTATGTACACGTACAGAATGTATTCAACAGTGTTACACTTGGAACATTACCCTGATCCCACTTAATTCTCCGTCGCAGATAGTCACAGTACGTGCTCCACACCACTAGATAATCAGCTCCAGAGTTAAAGCCACACTGTAATGCTCTGTCCACCAACTCTAAAAGTGTGAAAATTTCATCATGTACAGCATTTATAAAATCCAAGATCTGATTTAATGAACAGAGTAAAGATAATATTTGGTAATACGTTGATAGTAATCATATCATCATAAAGCCATGAATATTTGGACATTTTTTTCATCTAGTTTGTTAAAAGGAAAGTCCACTAGACACTGTACCTTTGATTTCCTTTTGTGATTTATGAAATCTCTCCATAGCTAGTATGTATCTCTGCCATAGCTGTGAGCACCAAGGACAATTTCTGACAGATCTTTCATACATTCCTAGAACCAGGGTTTCCACCTGTAGTCTTTTGTGATCCTGTAAATAGAATATTAGTGGTTCAATGATATCACAAAGTTAGGAGGAAAGACAAATATCAATGCACATAAAATAAGAATAAAAGAAATACCAGATATTTAGCATATTTCAGCCATAACTCTGCATTTAAACAGTTCTCTTGTAAAGCTCGCTCAAATATGTTGTGAATTCTGGCTGGATCATCGTGAGTCATCTCGTAATCAATATAGGACAAGTAAGCATCCAATCTTGGCGGCTCTGCTGAATTCTGCAAGATACATACAGAATACCACTAAATGCTTGTATTTTAAGGACCCTCTATACACTGAAGAAAAATGTTTTTTGGACTTTGAGAAAATTACATAGTGTAAAGGGGGATATTCTAAACTTAACTCACTCATTTTTAATATAGGTAGCATGCCTTTTTTATCCGGGAAAAATCTTCAAAGACAATGGAGTAATGATAAAGAAAAATCGCTTTTGCTTACTCAAGTGGAGAAAATACATACAAATAAAGTTTTCAACTATTCTATCTTGGTCTAATAAATGGTTTAGAATACTTGGATTTATTTTAAATTATGTCACCCAGTGAGGACTACAATTTATTCCATGTTATGTCAAATGGTGGGTCAGTCTAACTACACAAAAGTACCCTGAAATCAGGGTGCAGTGTAGAGAGGGTCCTTAACTGTCAGTGAATTTAATTTTAAAATTATCCTTCTCATCTATTTTTAAACAGAAATTAACATACACATACAAGTATGAAAACCCTTAGAAGACATTTACTTAGTACTTACTAAAGCCTCTTCATATGGTATTAACTTTTCCAGTTTATCCAGAGCTTTACTATAGGCCTCTTTGGTTCCGTCATCAATCTCATCCTCAAAATATTCTTTGAATTCTGCCATGGTTTCCTGCATATCTGTTTCATATTTAACATAATTACTTCTTCAAATAGTATGCGTACAACATTTTATAATTGTGTAGTGCAGAAGAAGTGTAATACAAATTTACCCATTAAAGGGATGGATAGCTGTCTTTTGAAAAGGGAGACTACTCTATCCTGCTGGGTATTGAATTTTTCTTCTTGTTCAGGAGTGGCTACTTGTCCTGGTTGTGGCTAAAACCCAGAAACAAAAGCATTTCAAATGAAATTGCTGAACAAAAAGAATAGTGCACTTACAAGTCAGCAAAGGTTTAAAATAAAATATTGAATATGTAAGAATGATAAGTTTGAACAACTAACTGAACAAAAACAGACTCTATCATCTGCAGCTGGCAAGAAAATTTGTACAAAGTTCTTAAGAGTTATTCCCCTTGTCTGCTTATCTGCAATACGAAAAATCTGTCCTTTTCTTCACCTAAACTCTCCTCCCTGACCCCAAAACAGGTGACAGAGTCAAAATTGGTATTAAAATATGTCTAATTACCTACTGAAACAGTATACAAAATTTCATAAATATGAGATAATCACTGGAAAAAAACATTAGGGAAAAAACATGATATTTGTGAATGGATAGACAGAGTCATTATTGTAAAGCATCTGCAAACTTTGACAGGGCCCTCAAGAGTCACAAAATACCACAATTATGAATAACAATAAAATAAATAATACGAATCTTTTGACAAAATTTTAATGTATTAAATTTTTGTAATTTTTTTTTACCATATAACCACTCATTAGAGCATTCTCAAACTCCCTATAAGCCTCCCAGAGACTAGATCCAGCTGCAACATGAAGGCCAGCTGCTGACAGAGCCCTCTCAAAGACATCCCGAATGTGGGACATTCCATCTATCTGACCCATCCCTCCAATACAGAACTGCACATATTCCAACCACACATCTACAGCTAAAATTAGATATGGATGTTTTATAGTATGTTTCAGTGTAAAAATGGCTAAATATAAATTAATATTGAAACATGCAAGTATGTCTGGCCTGACAAAAATCCTTATTCAAGTAGCATGACAATTTAATGTATGAATGCAAGGAGGTTAGAAACTGTTGTTACATGTATCTGTTACTGTATTTTAAAAGATTAAGATTGCCATCTGGACTTTCACCATTATTTTTTTTTAATTAACATGACTTACACAGATAGTCTTTTACTGCCCTCTCAAACAGGTCATAGACATGCTTCCTCTCACTTTCATCTGTTGCCAAAGGAATCTCATCTCTGAGCCATTCCAACCACAGATCTAAACAATCAGAGAAAAATGAATACCATAAATGTCTGTAACAAAACAACGTCAAACACTATTAAATTTTACTTTAAAAAAATACCAAAAAAACCATTATATTTGCCATCATTTGGCTAAAGTGATAAAAAAATTCAAGATTCTTAAATGATGTATAAATGGTACATGTGCAAGGGGTGATCAAAAAGTTTGCGAACTATCTCTATATCTACAAAACCAAAATTCAGATCAGAATGAAATTTCGCACACATATACATGTAGTCATAAATATGTTCAATAAAGAGCAGATATTGAGTAATGTTTTGCTCTGCATTTATGATGTCATATTGTGAAATATTTAGATGACTTGTGACAAAAAATGGTTGAATCCATTGTACTCAAACAAGGAACGGCTATAAAGTTTAAGTTAAATCTTGGAAATTCCTTTGCAGTTGCATATAATAATCTGTACCAGGTTTATGAAGGCAAATGACTTGCCAGAAGTTTAATTATTAATTTGATTGTTTTAGTGAAGGAAGGGAGATGGTTAAAAATAATGTTCGTTCTGGTGCCTAGTGAAAGTAAGCTTGGAAAGAGATGTGTCCTTAGTTAAGCAATAAGATATCAATTGTAACAGGCTTGGGTTAAAGTTTATGACAAATGTCTGTGGACTATACAACAATTCAATTTTAATTTTTTATTCCATTTCAAACCGGCATTTTTATCAACTGAAGCGGTCAATTTGGCCGGTAGCAGCTCTTAGGGAGAACACTGTATACATATTTATACCTTGGACACTGAGATTTTTAGATCAGAAGTCTTTTAATATTAAAGGTGCTTAGACACAGATTTGAAGTTAATATTTTCTCAAATTTTCTGTATAATATCACGACTTATATATTGCAATAGCATTTCACATGAAAATATAATTAAAAACTTATTTTATCTAGAAATTATTGGAACTACGAATTCCTAGACGAGTTTGATTAACACATCATTGCACTTTCACAAATTTTATCTTTGTCCTTAATATTTAAGAAAAGAAGTGATTTTGTTGTGTATTAATGAAAAACATTACATCTATAATTCAGAAAATTCAGAGTAGAAATGTGCGAAAGCAAACCCTCTCACTAATATCATCAGCCCGTGCTCAGTGTTGTGTACAGAGTTTAACAAATTGAATACACCCGTGAAACGTAAACTGTTTTTGTAAACAGGGCACAAGCTCTGTTATTGTTAATGTTTACGATTCACCGGGTGTGTTCAATTGTTAAAGTCTGCACACACCACTGAGCACGGATTGACAATACTGTGAGTGGGTTTTGCTTTCGAACATTTCTACTCTGAATTTTCTGGATTATAGTTTTAATTTTCATTAATACACAACAAAATTGCCACTTTTCTTAAGTATTAAGAATAAATTTAAAATTTGTGAAAGTGCAAGGATGTGTCAATCAAACATGTCCAGAAATTTGAAGTTTCAATAACTTCGAGATGAAATAAGATTTTTATTTTATTTTAGTATGAAATGCTATAGCAACATATAAGTCATGAAATTATACAGAAAATTTGAGAAAATATTAACTTCAAATCTGTGTCCAAGCACCTTTAATAATCAGAAGTAACTCATGAGATTTCTCTGAATTTGTATGACTTCCCAAAACATCTTTTTTCCCAATTATGGAAAAATCATCATCATAAATAATACATGTTGAGGAAAGTCTAATACTGGACCCATGATGTCATCCTTTTTTTTTTTTTTTGTTTTGTTTTTGGTGATCTAAAAAAGCAATGGCAGAAGACACTGAAGATTGTCTTCCGGTGTCATTATCTTACTGAGTTAAATTGTATTACCTTGAGTTAGGGGAAAGTACTGGCTCATTTTCTCTCTTGCGTCTCTAAGTTTCTCCAGTTCTCCAGTGTTACGGAGAAGTTTTATCATTTCTGTGTGTCCATCATACAAGTACGGATTTTCCTCTATCTGTTTAAAATATATATATCACAATTGAATAAAAAATGATTTCACTGAAATTCAGAAAATCTTTCATCCAAGAAACTAAATTGGGTATACCTTTGATAAAATTGAAATAATTTTATAAATAATAGTTAATTAATGTAATATCGACAATTTGGGTGACAACAATTCTAACAAGAGGCTCATGGGCCACAATACTAACATGAGTCACCTTGGTCCTGTTGTTCATCACATACCTGTCAACATTCCAAATATTTTTGGGGGGAGAAAACACGCGATGACCTTTTTTGATAGTAAAAAGTCATCGCGCGTTCTTTTTGTTCATACTGATAACTAAGAAATAACAAATGATACACTTTAATGTTCTTTAATCTAATTGTAAGCTGCTGATTTAGTCAGCTTTAGAGTGTCCTTAGAAGGTTTCACTTGATGGCATTCCTCTTTACAGTTTATTTTAGCACATAGAAGACTACATAGTGTCTGATTGTCCATGGAAGCTCTTTGTTCTGTCTGTATTTTTCTCACAAGGGAGAACACCCTCTCACAATCTGCATTGCTGTTTGGGATACAGCACATAGACTGAGCAATTTTATTAAGAATTGGGAATCTTGGTGTTCCAGAGACTTTGTTGGTGATTTTCCCCATCTCTCCCCAAAATGAGTCTATTCTTGTCTGCCCCTTCTCAAAGTTTGGAAGGTCACAGTCAGGAGAAACACTGAAATCCAGATACTCCTCTTCCAACTTTGGGAAGTCCTTTTCCTGAACTATGGCAGGGAATCTTCTGGCAATCTCCACTATAGACTGTAAGCTGGTCTCTTCCCTTCTGTGAGGATTCAAGAATCCTAAATTGTTGACAACTGGGTCCTTGAATGGAAAGTGCTTTAGCATTTTCTTTGTGATGGCACAGTAGAACCCCCTTACATTCCTAGAATTAGACAAAAACAAAGAGGTATAATATCAGTATGAGTTTTTGTATATTAATGCAACATTCCTTAATACATGATGAACACTGCATACCACAAATATCTGAAGAAAGTTTTTTTAGCAACTTATTAATTTACTTTCTTTACTTAAACTGAGCTAAGAACTGACAGCTTAAAAAACTTAAAAGGTCAGAATCTAAACTTACTGGAAAAAAATTGCCAAGTCTACTGGTGGAATATCCTCATCATTCTCTGCAATGTAGAACCTGGTAAGAATTCCAACTGCAAGTATGTTATCTTGGAGCTGGTTTTCTGGATTTTGGAAGTCCACACTGATGAGGTCCTTGGAATTCTTGATTATTCCTGCCTTTATAAAACGGCCAAGGAATTTTCTTAGAAGTTTGTGGATTTCTTCTCCAAGATATCCAATCCTTGATTCATCAGCCTACAAAGATAGAAGAAGAAATCAGTACTTAAGTAATATACAGTTCTGTAATTTTGTGATTTATTAAAACAAAATTATCAATATATTAAGATTATAGCTTATATACCTGAAATGTAGTGTTGAACTCATTCAATGGCTCCAACACATAACCTAAGAAGTGGAATGTCATCCTCATCTCATGGCTTCTGAGGAGCTCTGCCACTCTCTTAACTCTTCCAGGCTTCTCTACATCACTGTGTGAGTTGAAATAGCTTGTCAGAGCAGGCCAGTGGTGCAGCAACCTTTTGACACACTTCTCAAGACTTAGCCACCTGGTTGAGCAGTGCTTCAGAAGTTTTGAAGGGTCAACATCACAGAAGTCCAAGTATTCCTTGTATGTTTCCTTACGTAATGCACTGTTAAAAGAAAAGAAGTAAAATCTAAGGTCAAGATAACAGATATAAAGTGTGCAATTTGAAACTATGTAAAACTGAAAACTAAGTTAAATATTACCAGTAGATGTATTTATTAATGTATTTATTAGATAAATGTTTTACCTATGGTGAAAATGATAATAGACGTCAACAAGGAGGTCATCTACAGGAAGGGACAGACTTTTGACACCAGCCATTGTGCAGAGATTGGCCAAATGACAAATGCAGCCAATGTCAAAAACATGTGGCTGCATTTCCTTGATCTTTGTCATCACTGAATTCTTCTTGCCCATCATGACATTACAGTTGTCAGAGGAGAAAGCAATCAAGTTTTCCCAAGGAATGTTGTTGTTTCTACAAAATACATTGATAAATTAAGAACAATTCCCTTATTGAAATCTTTATCTGTAAAAAAAAAAAAAAAGGGGGGTATTCAATATAAAATCTATACACATTGAACTTACATAAAAACTTGTTCAAGGTGGTCAAATATATTCTGGGAAGTTCCCACATTGCAAATTGGCATGTCCAAAAATTGAGTTACTGCCTGATTGTCAAAGTATCTGACAAATATAGCAAGGGTTTTCTCAGAGTTTCTATCATTGCTTTCATCACAGGCTAAGGAAAATGGCTTTGTCCTGCAATTTTGAACTACTTCCTTGTGAAGCTGAGGGGCAAGGGCGTTCTTGACAATCATGGTAGTCTTTGTGCGGCCACAGGCAAATTTTTTTAGCAATCTGGCTGTCAGGAAACATGGACTTGCAGAGTTTCGTGAAATGGTCTGCAACAGCAAATGGGATGTTGTGCTCCGCAATGAAATTTGAAAATAAAAATTCTGCTTTCACCACTCCTGAAATGGAAATTATTTGGTCAAAGATCAACTTAATGTACTTGAAAATATAAACTATAAATATGTAGTTTTTTGCATGTTTAAATATTACAAAATCATTTAACTGCATTCTCCCTCATGACACTATGTCTGTTACATTCATTAAAATTTACATTTTCATTAATTTCAGTACATATTTCACCAATTTCAAACAAGTGCAATTTGCAGTTCTTTAAATTATGATACGTCTTACCTTCATCACTTGAAGTTGTCAAGAAATTTTGTATTGGCATTGTGACGTTCTGTGATTTTTTGCTGCTTTGATGAGCTGCTGATGAAACATGCTTCATAAGATAATTTTTTTTACCGTGGTCAATCTTTATATTTTTCATACACAGTCTGCAGATAAGCATGATCTTCGCCTTTCACACTTTTTGTTAGCCAACCTTGGAATTCTGCTTCTTTTTCCCAAGAATTTAGGTACTTGCAGACGTATCTTTTCTTTTTTGGCTTTGGTGGTGTATTTTCCATGCTTAAAAACTTCGTACGTGATTATAATAAGGAATGCCATATTTCTAAAACTTATTTCCATTTATAAGCCGTTTATTAGTATATTGTCATATTTTGCTGCAGAGTGTCAATTCGACACTAGCTCGTATCCCGTTGTCATTTTTCTAATGTGTATTTCTAAAATTTCCACATCTGGCATGCCTGTCTCTGTTAATAAACTCTGCTAATGAGAATCGGAAGCAATTACAATCCCAGTAATCACTGGTAGCACAGTTGACACCTTGTTGATTACCTGTTATCAGCAGCAATAAACATGTATCTACCGATAAACAATGAACTGCCATCTTCTCTTTCACAGGAAATATGGTATTATTCAAAGCGAAATCGGTAAAAATTCCGGATTTCTTAAAAATCAGTAGAAATTGGGGGTAAAAAATATATCGGTAGACAAGCGGTAGAATGGGTTCAAAATCGGTAGACTCCCGAAAAAATCGGGAGAGTTGACAGGTATGTCATCATTATTTTTACTTTTTTTTTATTTGTTAATTTCTTCTTTAAATATCATGAAAATTCAGAGTACATATTGAGGACCAAAATCTAGCCCAAAGAGAGCTCATATGATTTAATCAAGAATGAATATGTACAATGTTGGGATGTTTCAATATCAATACAATTAGCTGCAGAACTGTAGCGTTATAGTTTAATATTTTAGTCTTTGACCATAACGCTACAGATCACGTCATGCAAATATTGTGCAATTTACAGCGCAAGATTTTCTGCACTTTTTTGGGATCGATGTATTTCGCCACTTTCCAGCATTGTTCAATCAACCTTTCATTCCCTAATTCTAAACATATTCTATGACCAACCTGTATATTTTTTCCACCTCTTAACCCTTTATAATTGTCTCTACAGACCAATAAACTCGCTTGTTGTGAATTTGTTGTTGGATGGCATAAAATTGAATTTATTCAAGACTTAAATATAAAACCAAACCGCTACAGTTCTGCAGCTACAATACAATCAACACGATCCTTGTGTTCTAAGAAGATTTTTTTCTTGTTCATGTCTACACATGCAACATGTAAAATTTAGATGTCTGATTTCGACCCAACCCTAGTGTAGACCAGTCCCAGGGCTCATAATTTAAAAAAAAATTATTCCATGTAACTTAGGTGTGTTTTGCTTTTTAATAAATAAATAAAGCCATTATAAAGGAAAAACTCAGTATATGAAATTGTGGGGTAGCATTTGTATCTATAGATGTTCTAGGGATTTGCATGTGAATCATGTACACTGTTAATCAACCTGCGTCTGAAGTTCCTCAAGCCTCTTTTTGTTTGCTTCCTCGTCGTCATCATCCTCACTCTCTCCGCCGGAATCACTAGAACTGGAGTTGTCAGATTTCATTTCTGCATCCTCTGTTTCTTCTGCATTATTCTCGCTCTCCTCTTGAATAATTTCGAGGGAATCTCCTCTATCCATGCTTTCCGCCATTGAGCGTAATTTTATCGTTTCAGATTTCGGACCTTCTTCACTAAAGAGTTCGTAAAATGGCTGCGCCCATGTTGAAAAACGTTCCCATCAGGTAAGTCTAATCAAATTTTGATATATTTTTGCTTGTTAAGTATGGAACAAAAGTTTTAAGAAAAATTATTTAATAAATAATGAGATTCTACGCATGACACGTTTTTAAAAGTTCAGAAAATATTTCTCTTTAGCCTTTAGCTATGTAACAGAATTAAAAGTGGCTATAATATGCGTTGTATTTAGTGAGGCCACACTCCTACTAGCACTAGCTAGTGGGTTAACCCTTTAGCTTAGTCGGTAGAGCGTCGGATTTTAAATCTGAGGGTTGTAGGTTCGAGCCACAGTGTGGACACTCCTATAGCTAATCGGTCATTGGTGCCCAACTACAAAACCCACATCAGGTGAGTGGTGTTTGTAGAGTCTCGTGTGCGAGATTTCTCAGGGGTAAGAAATCTCAAGAAAAAGAAGGGGGAAGTGTAACAGAATTAAAAGTGGCTATATGTGTTGTATTTAGTGAGGCCATGCTCCTACTAGCACTAGCTATAGTGGGTTAACCCTTTAGCTCAGTTGGTAGAGCGTCAGATTTTAAATCTGAGGGTTGTAGGTTTGAGCCACAGTGTGGACACCCCTAGCTAATTGGTCATAGTTAGAATAATCTAACCCTGTCTTGGGACAAGCCCTCACCACACGTTTAAGTTAAACCGGGTGCGTAGGACAACATCAATTTGACGAAAGAACGTTCTATCTATTTATCCATTAATCTCCTATAGCATTGCTTACATCAAAGGTGCTTGAGGAGCCAAGATTGAGCAGTTGTTATCGATGAATTTGTTTTCACAATCTCTTGAAGAATTTCATGAACTTTGTAAAGGAATATTGCTGATTTTCATAAGCCACATATAAGCTTTATAATATCATTATTTAAACTGTTGAATAAAAGGGAAACAAAAGTCTTCAAATAAAACAAAAAAACAATTGAGTGCACACCTCACTGCTCCACTGACTTTGGATCGCTGTTTTATTCACCATCTCAATGAACACTATATCTTCGTTACAAATTTTTTGTATTTCTTTAACTTTCTCTTCATTTTCAACCTTTATGTTGATGCTGTGGTCACCGTCTCTGCAGTCCCCTTTGTGACACACAATGGCAGGGTCACCATTTTAGAATTTTCATGTTTTTTACATTCTGAATTTCAGTTAGATAGCAACAAAGATAATAATTAATTAATTAATTAATTAATTAATAATAATAAAATTAATTTATCATATTTTGGGTCAAATATTTAATATTTTCAGTCTTTGTGTTATGTCTTGTAGATTTTTCAATTGTTGCTGTAGAAATGCAAGAATTGACAAAAGAACAGTTTCAAATGGTAAGCTATCCTTGAATATTTGAAGATAAAATTGTAAATGGAAAGTTCTCTGTCATTCAAAATAATTTTAAAAATTGCAGAGCTGCCAATATCATAAAATGAAAAATTGGAAGAAGGGGGTCCAGGGGCTGCTGGAGATTTTTTTGTGAATGGACCTTTTCATTATATAGTCAAACCTCATTATCTCAAACTAGATGGGACCGAGAAAAACTTTAAGATATCTGAAGGTTCAAGACATAGAGGGTAAAATACTTAAGAAATACATAGTTAGGACTTCCCAATCACTTCAACATATCCATGGTATTTGAGATATCCATGTTCGAGATACTGAAGTTCAACTGTATTTAGAAATGATTTATATTGCAATTTTGAATAGAAACTAACAACAACAAAACAAGCAATTGCTGGAAGAACTATGACTTTTTCATTATAATAGTGAAAACTGAAGGTGAACAGCTACAAAAAATCTGGTATTTCAAACTTTTGACTGAGAGAAAAAAAGGAAATTGGAAGAATACATAGAAGAATCATAACGAAGGCATATTTTAGGTGCTCAATCTGCACATGTAAGCATTACACCAAAATCATAAGGATTGGCAGTTCTGTGTGCATTATAACAATCATTTTAATACAATTATGTCTAATTGTGTGAGCAAAGAAGTGGAAACAAATTTAATAATACCGTAACTAATTCACCAGTATTACACAATACTGAATGAGTCTTCACTGGATTTCTATACAATTAAAAAATACATTTATAGAGTAGAAAGCTGTTTTTATATTCAATGAATTTAGGTAAAATTAAGATTTATGCTGATGGACCCTCTAGGTTTAATTTCATGATAGATAATGTAAACAACAATATAAGTACACTGCCTGATATTAGAAATAGTGATTAACTGCAGCATTGCAGGGATAACCCTTGACAAGCTAATTCAGGGAATTTTTGTCTCCTTTTTAAGGACAAAATATGAGGATGGAAGACAAAAAAAATGCAGATGGAGAAAGAAAAGAGGGATTGACCTTGACCTTTCACCTTTTGGCCTCAAAATCCTATTAATAGAGATCTTTCTCTTTAGAGAGATTTATTTCCTTAAGTTTCATTGCAAAAACTCAAACAGAACTAAAGTAATCATCTGAAGAAAAAAACTTTACCCACTATATTAATTTTTGACCTTGATCTTTAATCTTTTGACCTCAACATCAATAAGGGTCTTAAAGTCATTAAGAATATGATATAAAAATTTCATTGCAAAAAGTCCTACAAAAAAGTTATTTTCCGGAAATCTTTTAATGCAATATATGAATTTCTGACCTTGACATTTGACCTCAAAATCAAGAGAGGTCTTCTTATTATAATGAATTTCACTGCAAAAGTTCAAAGAGAATTAAAAGATGTTTGTGCTGTATATGAATTTTTGACTTTGACCTTTTAAGTCATCTATTATATAAGATTTCATTGCAAAAGTATAAAGGATTTTTGTGGTGATGTCCGGAAATTAAAGTATTACTCACAGACAGACATATGCATGGACAGACAGATGGGCAAATGGACAGACCCAAATTAATATCCCATATTTGCTTGTAGTGCAAATAGGGGACAAAAATCAGAGGGAGATTTGTTTTATCCCAGTAACGATGCATACCAATACTTTATACATAGTTATGAGTATAAGATAGAGTTTCCAAATGTGTTTGGGTGACAAAAAAACCTCGAATTTAAAGTAGTAATTTTCCTCTTTTGGCTGTTTCTTTTATCTTATGTTTACCTACATTTGTTGTTTTTCGTTGCTCATATCATTATGAATTTTTATTTTATTTTTGTGATGAGTTTGCTGAGTTACTGTAGATTACCAAATTTTCCCGACACCTTTTTTTTTTGCAAGATAGACATTTAATATTCATTAGTGGGACAATTAAAATTTTCATGAATTGTGGTTATTATCGTGTATAATCTACACCAATAAAAATTTTTTGCAAGTTTTCCGTCTAATATAATTGTGCGAAAATAAAGTTCTTGCAAATAAAAAGTGATTTATAGTACATGTACCAGTATATGCACATAAATGTAATGGTTATATTTTTTTTAAATCCAAGCCAAAAATTGGGAAAAAACTGAACCAACTTCCCAAAGGCCCTCTTTATGACTGTCTTAAAATCATAAAATAATTAAAGATGTCCTAGCTAGTTTAGTATTTCATGTGAATATTTAGCATGGTTAACAAAGATTACAGGCAAAGTGCAAGTTTTCTGAAGCATATTAGTGTTATTATTTAATAAAAATTCTAATACTTATGAGAACTTAAGATTAAATTTTATTTCAATTTACCTACTTTTCAGAAAAGTGGGTAAATTGAAATAAAATTTAAATTTCTCAATGAAAGAGTAAAGATGACAAACTGAATACATGTTGTGAAGCTATGCCCTCTGTACTGATTGCTTATGTACTGAGCATAGATTGGACATCTTTAATACAAATTTCTATATTTATGTTGGTCAGGTGTTGTACGACCAAAGAAAAGAAGATTACTCAAGTTTCTGGGTCTGACTGTTGGAGCAAGTGCCACAACAGGGATAATGTTGTATTACCTAGCTAAAAAAAATTACGAACAGCGAACAAAAGAGGGCAACAACACAACTAACACGGTATGATCAAGTAGAATTCTAAGTACATGTACTTTGCTTTTTTTTAATTATTTCTCAGTGACTAAAGAGCATGTTATGTAAATGAAGTATCACTCCACATCGACAGAGTCACATTGTGTTGCACATGTTTTAAAATGGGAAATAACCTGATAACCCACAATTTCATCATCGCTTATTATTGCTTTTTAATATACTCCTTAATTTAAATAAACAATTACAATATATTTGAATTAAAGAAAAATAAAAATAGATATATGAAATGGAAATATTCTATTGACAAAGACTGTTTATCTGTTATTTTTGTTCAGATAAAACATTAAAATCTTCCATTGAACCTAAAACTTGCACAGTATAACCTTGACTTATAGCCAGAAATTCACAAGTCCAACATTGAAACTAAATCATGTGATTTAGGATTTCAGTTACATAGATGCTTAATATGAATAATACTAGTGCATTGTACTGCTGTTTTATTCAAATGTGCTCAAGGGTCAAAAGTATTTCTGCAGTGATAATTTTTAATATAGAATTTATTAAAAATGTCACATTTTAAAAATATTGCTAAAATATTTCTACTACGCTATATCACTATAAAAAAAATTCACAAAAGATGCAACACTGTCTAGATATATAAAGCTGATATTGTTATTTTTTAAGCATGACCATTTTAACATTCTCAGGGATAATCTTTGTGGAAGGGCTTTTTTTGAGGTTCAACTTACATAAATTCCTATTAGTCAAAATTACCAAATTCAACTAAGATTTGAGTCTTATAAAGCTACATGTACATCAAAATACTAGATATAACAGGTAAAATTTTGATACATTCTAAATTTCTTGTGAAAATTTCATAATGATAACAATATTTGTAAAATTTTGGTATTTTAAAATAGAAGGTTTGTAAAGAATCGTATAATTGAATTTAAAAGTGCACTCATTTTGACCCTTGAGTGTATAAAGTTTGAACAATATTTTATTTGTAACAATATCTTTTTTTTCATTATACATGTTTAAAGGTTTTATCTGATTAAAAAAAAAAAACAACACAAAATCTGTTGGCAGACTTTAAAAAATAGCATTCCTAGAAAATATTTATTCTTTAAAAAAAATCATATTTTTGAACAACACAGAAATCACACAAATATCCAATAAAAATTTTTCATCACAGTAAATTACAGATCTTTATTGATATTGAAAAAAAAACACATACACAAACATGTACAATAATCAGCAAAAAATAACTTTCCTGAAAAAGTTTTTGAGCAACAAATTAAGGTTCTCTTTAAAAAGAAAAAAAAAATACACCAGTCTTTCAAGAATCTTTAAAATGAAATCAGTCTCAAACATTAAAAAGTTAAAATATACATAAGTTATATGTTGTTCAGTTGAAGAAAAAAGTCACAAGCAAATTGTAAATAAGAAGCTAAAAGAAGACAAAAAAAATGACTTTGTCTCTGAGGGGTCATCTTAAGTAGTACTAGTACTATATACTATGTACTTCTAATTAAGAAGAATTCTCTTGAATCCAGTCATAGGTGTAAGGCTTTATTATATACAGACGTAAGTTATAATCATAAAATAAATCATTCATAAAATCACATGAAGGATTTCTCCTTGAAGTAAAGGACAATTTTGATTAGATTTTAAGTATGTGTACTGTTATAATTAGCACTTATATGTCATTACATGGTTTGATTGGTCAGTTCAAGGACACAGTGGTATGTGTGTAGTTTAACAAGTCATGGTGATCTTCCCATGTACTCCACTCGGCTCCGCAGATAAGATAGATAGCAGGAGGAAAATTATAGTCATGTTCTAGGTGGATGTTTCATCTTACTCATGAAATAGCCTTTGGAACTTATTGGAAACACTTCTGTAAATATGTATAGATTTTGGTGATTATTGATCACTGTATAAATTCAAAAAATATTGTTACGGTAATTTTCGAGTAGTGAGTAATTAATATTTTAATTATAGAACTAGACACATTTTCCTTAAAAACAATAGTTATATATATATTATGAACTCAGAAATAATACGACATTCTAAAAACTATTAAACAAAGCATGAGGTGATAAACATGTCACCGTTAACCCACCCCCCTCCCCGGAAACACACACTCACACGAGCTCGCTCTCACATATACATCAAAAAATGAAAGGAAAATAAAACTTAACCTATAAATATTTTAAAATTAAAGGACACAAACAAACTTCTACAGATAAATTACACATAGGTGTTTAACCTATTACGTAATGATGTTTTACTAAATTATGGAGGAAATCATTGTTCTTTGGGTTATGTACAATACCTGTGAACCATGCAGTAAAATGAGTGAGATTGATACATAGGTTATACTTATAGAAAGGGTGACATAACTAGTACATGACGAGTTTGATAACACTGATATCTAACTGGGCTGTGAACTTTACACATATTTCCCCCCAATATAAACCATTGATTCAGTGTGCATGGTCACTTTGCGGCCCTTCCCGTTGGGGAAAACTTCGGGTTTTCATATTTTATAAATCTTAGTTCAGTTAATTTTTGCTCAATGTTTCATCGGAGAAGATTTGCGACACATGTTGGAGATTTCTGGATAAACTACCCAACGGAGCTTAAAATTTTTGAGTTAATATAAAAAAAACATTTATTATTATATAATATTTTTTTTTTTACATCTTTAGTTGATTTGTATCAAATCAGAAAAAAACATTGCTTATAGTCACGCGCAAAAGTGAAAAACAACATGATAAATGTTTTGTTTTCACTACCACTTGCTGAAGTGGACTTCGATCGGAGTGTGCTGTACAGTACAATCATTTTAGCAGTACTCTTGACTGGTAAAAATAGATCAGAGAAATTTTTGTTCAAGCTATGGGAAATGACTCGATGGCAGACATGGTCCAAAATGGCACTTAATCGCCACAAAATCATGTTTGATGGTCTTCGTTGGGGAGTTCCATTAAGACAGATTAAGAAACTTCTTTCGATTCACAAAATAGTGCGACGCAAAAGATCCAGCATTCACAAGAAACGAGGACATAAAAATGTTAATCGCACGGTAAGAAGCGCCATGTTTTAATTCAGTTATAAAAGACAGTATTTTAAATGTTGAAACTTCAATTCGAGTTACAAAAGTTCGAGAAATAATGAGCATCGCATCATATTTGGTTGGAAATATTTTAATTTTCTACACAGGTTGTAAGCGCGGGCCTCCAAACCCCAGGGGCTTTGAGACTCGCATCTAAACGGCTATTCCATGCGGGAAGGTGACCCATAGTGGCCCCAAACTATCTAATCTTTTAATCTCTATTTTATGTAAAGTGTCACTGTAAATCTTTATTTTCTAGCAAAATTTTAATTTTAAGATGTAAATTGTGAATTACGTATTTTTTTGCAGAATAATTTGATAAACTAAAAAAATTTTTCGTTGAACGCGAAAAGAAAAAAAATACTTAAAAAAAATACTTAAAAAAAAATAAGTAGATAGCAAAACATTTATATTTAACTGTTAATACTGTTTTGAAAATGAAAAACCTTTTTTTTTTAAAAAAAATGTTCTACCTTTCGAAAACACGAATTTTAATCATGCTTTTATTTTGGTTTTGCTGTCTACCTATCTCTAGTAAATTGTGCTAAAATTGTATCTTTCTAATTATTAAATTATATATTTGCCGCAGTTGTTAGTGATTTTGATGGTGAGCACCACAACTTATTTTACAGATTGAAATGTATCGCATCATGCCACTCAAGGCGATGTCCCGAGCCTGGGGGAAATTTAACCAGCTAGAATTGCCGGTCATTCTAAGGAGACCACTGTTAGGACTGTACGTCTGGATGTTCGACTGCAAGCTGGACGAAGCCATGGAAACGGAACTGAGGAACTATCGCAACCTTGGTGAATTCTTCAGACGTATTCTAAAACCGGACATGCGACTGATCTCAATAAAAGAAGAACTGGTAAATTTTTATGGCAATTTCTTATCCAGGAATATCTTCTGTTTTGTTATATTAGCTTGCTCTTCCGAGTGATTATTAGGTGGCATCCAATGGGTAAAGCGTGTCTGACTGCACTCTAAATTACACTGGTCAAGTCTGTTTTGGTGGCTATGCCTGACCCAGACTTGGTTTGACATAGACCAAACTTGCTTGGATAATGTATATTATAAATGTTTTCCATTCAGTGGTAATTCAAAGGTTATGTATGCATAGTGAGTTACCATCTATACAAGTTAATTTCAGTTACGTGAACTCTACTACCTAAAAGGCCTGAATTGACGGAAGTGTAAGCTATACTAAAAGATAACAATGACATGAAGATCATGAGATATGTATTAAAATAAATTTTCTTTATTATTTTTTTTAACCAGACAAATCCAGCAGATGGAAAGATCCTTCACTTTGGAGAAGTTACAGATGGAATTTTAGAACAAGTGAAAGGAGTAAATTACTCCGTCAAACATTTTTTGGGACCACAGACCTGGATGAACGACTCTAACGCCCCCACACCACCGGCGAACATGACGGACGAAGAGTACTTCCGGGGATTGAAATTAAGACCCGGAAACAAACTTTACCACTGTGTTGTGTACCTGGCTCCTGGGGACTACCACAGGTTTCATTCCGCTGCCAAGTGGGACATTACCTACAGACGCCATTTTCCTGGTAGGGTTTACTTTATTTTCAAATAAAAGAGTAAAAATGAATGAAAATTAATGCCAAAAGTTAAATTGGTTTTAAAAATTTGTATAATCCAACTGATATAAATTCTGTGCTATCTCTTTATTCAAGGAGAACTACTGAGTGTAAATCCAGGTATCGCTCGTTGGATCCACGGTCTGTTTGTCCTTAATGAACGAGTGGCTTACATGGGGGAATGGGAACATGGCTTCTTCTCCTATACTGCAGTAGGCGCCACGAATGTAGGATCCATCAAGATTTACTGTGATCAGGTAGGTCATAAAAGTTTACGTTCCTGTATGAGTTTTTTCTTTAGTTTGTTTTATCAATTCTAGTAGTTGATGCATACTTATGAATATAGATATTACAAGTAAAGTGATTAAATTAAGCTGTATGCTAGATCATTTATGATCGGGCTTCCACAAATTACAAATATGAATGTTATAAAGACTTCAAGTTTAACAAATATACTGTAAATAGTTGTATGAAATTTTGTAAACTATAAATGTAACAGCTATGTTGTTCACTTGTTCAGGAAATGATGACGAACGTAAAACATCACCCAGACACGCGTCTTACCCCTGGTGTGTACTTCGATAAAGACTTCCGACAAAACCCAATCCATGTGGAAAAGGGTGAAATGTTTGGCGAGTTCAATCTGGGATCCACCATTGTGCTGGTATTTGAAGCACCTGAAAATTTCGTCTTCAACGTCATCAACGATCAGAAAGTCCGCATGGGTGAACCAATGGGCACGTGTATACCATAAAGTAACTGACAAACCGGAAGTGGAGAACGCAATATCTGTGATACATTGACCTTATTCATGAGCTGCTCAATTTTGTTCTTTATTGGAGAGATGTAATTGAAAATGACGTCAATATGTCATTGAGTTTTTTCAACTCTGAAAATGCTTTTAAAATGTAACTGTAATGTCGCAACTGGTGTGATAATATGCGTATAATTGTAATAAAATGCGCAGATCATGATAGTAATGTTGGTTTTATTTTAGAACAATCCTATCATTTTAGAGAAATAAAGAAATACATTTTCCCCTTGATGTGAAGTATTCCGTTCCCATGTTCATAAGTATTTTCTTGTTATCAAGGTCAGAGTATAGGCCTAGTTTTTTTTTTTTTTTTTAAATTCGTTTCCCTGGGGTCTATAATCCATGTGCATTTCTTAGAAAGTATAAAATTGTCATATCAAATTGATCTCGGTTCAATTGAATCTGGAGGAAAAAAAATAAATTTTTTGAATGTCGCAATAGGCAAACCAGTGTAACGACAAAAAAGTGACCCCCGTAGAACATTGACCAGGGGGTGTCAAATTTCTACGTAGAAAAATGACCCCCCCTTCCGGTTTATATTCTGCGGCAAGTAGGATCATTTTTTGACCGTAGAAAACCCTTCCAGGCCGGTAATTCTACGACTCCAAACACGTTGAAAAATGCCCCCCCCCTAGAAATCTGACCCCTACTTTTTTACTATATTATATTAAAAAAAAAACCCCTTAGAAATCAGATGTGATACACGTTCATCCCAAGGTTATGGAAGGGTTGGCGAAGATCCAGGGATAACTGCGTTTCCAAATTTTTTTTATATTATCATTTATTAATTTTTTAATCATTATTTTTCCCAATGAGTAAATATATTTTTATTATTGGGGAGTATTAATCTCACACCATCCCTCTCTCTCTTCCTCCCTCTCTGCATTTCTCCACTCCTCCCCATCCCCTACCCCCTCTCATTCTACCCACTATCTCTCTCTCTCTCTCTCTTTCTTTATTTTTTGTCTGTCTGACTCGATTTATCTCTGAACTTTCGAAATAAATTATATATATACATAATTGATAGATGTTTCATAGTTATTTACAATGAAAAATAATGGGAAAAATACTTTTTCTACAATAAAGAGAAAATTCTTATCGTTATTTTAAAAGAAATTATAAAATGTTTATTCTTGATCTTTTTACTTTAAAATGGATTTAGCAGTATTGTTTATTTGTACAAAAAATGAATGTAATTTAAAATTATAAGGGCGATAACTTTACACAACAGAAAAAACTGCTTCCAAGTTCACAATTAGATCATTGCGTTGTTTGCGTATTTAATGAACAGAAGTTTTATATGCTTGAAGATCAATACTTATATGTTTACTAACATGCAAGGAAGATGATATGTCAGCTTGAAATCCCAGTTGAATATTATTTGTTGTACCTTATGCAAAGTGGGTGAGCGGCTGATGCCTTAAATTATCCACATACTGAGGGGAGGTCTATAAGATATTCTTTATTTGACCAAGTATGTAATTAGGGTTTGACATTCACTATCCCTTTCCCTTGTATGCATTCAGTTTACCTAAATTTTACATTTTTATAATTTTTGTCCTGTTGAATGTTAGCCAAAATTCATAATTTGCATCATGACTGCCTCGTTGTTCGACGCATTACCCAGTATGTTATTTTTTTTCTCATTGCATATAGATGTTCGTTTGGTGCTTCATTTGGTACTGTTAATTATAAATAAACGTACAATTAACCTTTACTTGTTGCATGGTTCTCCTCTTACCACAGATTCCCACTTAACATTTTTGAATGGATAGTGTTAAATGATTAACCGTTGGGCCATCAGTGTTTGAGTAAATGTTCACCTTATAACAGGTCTTAGCCATGCTTCTGGGAAAATTACAATCATTCAATTATTAAGCAGTAGAACCATTCAATAAAGAATAGAGTCATGTAAAGTATGTGCTTAGAAATTGTTACAAGGTTGTCTCTGTCGCGCATACCGCCTGAGTTTGTAAATCGTAAAACATTTAAAACAGAATTCATTTCTTAATAATTTAAGTAATGAAAAGGACCAGGTGAGGGTGTAGGGGGAGCGAACATGTTAGAAATTCGAAATTTCTTGAGAAGCCAAAAAAAAAAATAATGCCCTCAGACCTTATTTATATATATGACAGGAGCAAAAATAGGAAGAACCATACTGCAGTGCAGTATGGAGTGCAGTGCAATGCAATGGAGACAAGCCAATCTTATTTACAATAAAGTATCAATCCTGGGCTCAATGTGTAAAATAATAGGATGATCACATCATACTCAGGACAAAGATATGTGAATTAGACTGAGAAGCTTTTTCGTAATGCAATAATGCAACATTCGTTTTTTTCTATTGGTAAAACTTTTACACTGCCGTGTATAGGCTTGTGTCAATTCTTGGTATACCAAACACCTCTTTTTTTAATCAATTGATTTTTTTATATAAAAAGCCTCATTTTGTTAAGGAATTTGTTGACACTAGCAAACGACAAAAGATATTGGTAAAGTTTTATAGCTAATCACTAATATGCTCCCGATATCGAAGGTCAGATGCATATTGATTTAGTTCTACGTGTTATTTTTTCACATATTCAATCTTCCCTATATTTTTATGAGAAGAAGTTTGAGACTCTATTCATAGAAAATCAAATATATTTACGAGATCGAATTTCCTTATCAATCTTGCATTTTTTTTTCACACAAATTTATTTGGGTAGTATGGAATTCCATATACGACAGCCAACTGCTTACTGCCAACTGCTCACTGGTTACTGCCAACTGCCAGCTGCTTACTGCCAACTGCTAACTGCTTACTGCCAATTGCCACTGTTTAACATTTTTTTTTATTTATCTTAATATCTTTAATTCACATGCTTGAATAAATCTTATAAATCTTCTGATAGCAAGAAATGAATGGCGAACGATAGTATAGTTCTGCTAACTACCTCCCATTCAATTTTCATAAATTAACAATTTGTAAAACTTGTGTTTTTCACTATAGAAATCAACTGAAAACAGAAATTTATTTTCAAAACACCCCCACCCCCACCGTGAAACAATAATTCCTTTTAACAGGTATTATGAATTGTTATTTCAGAAATTCATACCAAAGGTTTTGCTGTTTCACCGGGGAGGGGGGGGGGGCATATGTTTACAGACTAAAAACTAGAAGATAGTCATTTTATTACCAATTTCAAATTAAAAATTCCTGAATCCGCCAATTTTTGTTATTATTGTAATATTCTTGCATAGGGTTTATTCAAGCATGCGTATTAAAGATATTAAAGATAACAAAACAGGCAATATCATCTCTAATAGCCACAGAACGTCATTATAGCCTGTAAGGTTTTCCTTTAATGGGGATAAAACATCTTGTATTAATAAAGTATAGTATATAACCTTTCAATTTCGTCATTTTTACTTTAAAGCTTTTAGAAATGAACACTTCATATCATAAGGCTGTGTGATTTAACCCCTATGTATTTGCCTAACAAGAATTTTTCTACCAAAACCATGCAGTTTTTTTTAATAAAAAAATGACACAGGGTCATTTTTCTACAGGGTCATTTTTCTACGTAGAAAAATAATCCCCGGTCAATATTCTACGGGGGTCACTTTTCGTCGTTACACTGGCCGATATATACATGTAAGAGTTGTCATAGAACGAAAAATTATGATTACTTCAGTGCCCCCCCCCCCCCCCCCAAAACCCACAAGAAAATGATTAAAGTACGGAAGCCCGTTGAGGCCTACGGAAGCCCGTTGAGGCCAATTCAGAGAGAGAAATATTTTTTATTGCGATTAAACGCAATAATTATTGCGTTTAATCGCAAAACATTGCGTTTAATCGCAATAATCATTGCGTTTAAACGCAAAAGATTGCGTTTAATCGCAATGTATATTGCGTTTAAACGCAAAACACTTTGCGTTTAATCGCAAAAGATTGCGATTAAACGCAATCTTTTGCGTTTAAACGCAATACTTTTGCGATTAAACGCAATAATTTTTGCGTTTAATCGCAATGATATTTTTGCGTTTAAACGCAATAATTTTTGCGTTTAAACGCAATACTTTTTGCGTTTAAACGCAATAATCTTTGAGTTCAATGGCAATAATCTTTGTGTTTAAAGGCAGTCATTTGTATCAAACCTTGCAGAGAACAATGGACCCACGCATACTTATATCTTTTATTTCTTTCTCTTTTTACTTATTAGGAAATTGTGTGTTGTCTATATAGAATCAGATTTCTCCGAGCAAACACTCTCTGAAAGGTAAATCACTAATAAGAATTTTTAGAGGAGAAAAAAATGTCGGGTTGTAAAAACAAAGGAATCCTAAGAACGAGACATGTCTTAAGCTTATTCTTTACATTTTTAATGAAGTTTCGGTCAGTTGTTCTGATGAAAAAAACTGTCCCATACGTTGCAGTCACAAGTTTAAATCATGTATAAAGGGATTTTTGGAAAGGACTGAGGAAATGTTGGAATTACGTACAACATGATGAAGTATTTAGACTTCAATGTACATTCATAACCCTTCCTATGGTTGCATACAGTAAACACAAGAACATATGTGATGGATTTATATGAGGTCAAAATCAAAATCAAATGAAAACAGATTGATCGATGTGTACTACATGTATCAAATTGAAAAGTGCTATTAATACCACTGAAACTTTCTCTATAAGTTATGATACACGTAAGCAATTGATCAGAGACTTCATTAAGAGTTTTGGGTTCTAATACATTTAAGACATTCAGGTTGTTAAGATGCCATTGTTTTATTACAATTTTCAAAAACTGGAAAATTTTGCAAAAAGACACAGAACAAATCGGATCTTCTTAAAGTTGAAGTGTCGGGTCCTAGTACATGTAATTATAAGCTTTGACTAATTCATGTTTGATTTTGAAACTACAGTATCATTGTGTTTAAATGCAAAGCAAATCCTTATAAGGAAGGATTATTGCGTTTAAACGCAAAGATTATTGCGTTTAATTGCAAAATTATTGCGTTTAATCGCAATACTATTGCGTTTAATCGCAAAAGTATTGCGTTTAATCGCAAAAGTATTGCGTTTAAACGCAAAAGATTGCGTTTAATTGCAATCTTTTGCGTTTAAACGCAAAGTGTTTTGCGTTTAAACGCAATATACATTGCGATTAATTGCAATCTTTTGCGTTTAAACGCAATAATAATTGCGATTAAACGCAATGTTTTGCGTTTAAACGCAATAATTATTGCGTTTAAACGCAATAAAAAATATTTCTTTCTCTGAACTGGCCTCAACGGGCTTCCGTATTAAAGCATTTTCTAGTTGTTTTTTTTTTCTTAATGTAAGTGAGCTTATTTCCTATGACATGTTTCTTCCGGATGTGCGCACTTAGCGAGAGTAATATGTTTTTGGTCTGACTGGTATGGAAGATCGTGACCACCACGGACATCACTTTACCAACTTCTACGTCACTACGACCGTACAGTCCAGACGAAATTTTAGAATCATCATGGAAGCTTTCACAGTTTACTTTTTGTCCATGGAAATTGTCATCCTTACGCACCGTCAAATAACAAATCAGAATAATTTTGCTCATGGTAAGCCCAGGGCTTTTCTTTTTAAAATACTGGATAAATTGAGAAAAAAATAAATCAAGAGTATTTTTTTTAAGTTTGTGTCGAAACAGATTTTGACCGAAATGTCAAAAACCCAAGTGAAGATACATTTTCGGCTATTTCAGATTATGCTTTCGAAATCATCATATCAGCTTTTGGGTTAGGTATCATAATGCAGATAATTTTGTTATTAAAAGACTTCCCAACAGGGGTGATATATGAATGCATGAACGAGTGGCACAAACTTCAACTCTTTTTGCATTTTGGAGGATGTAAGTAAACGTTTAACTCTTCACAATATTCTAATACATGTAAATCCGATTTAAAAAATGATATCATACAACAGTAGATGTATATTGGACCAAAGGACGTGTATAAAATCCACAACCCTAATATAAATCCCTCAACTATTGGAATCTTTTCCCCATACATACTAGTATATATTTTTAAAGACATACCTTCATGAAAAATAGGGGGGAAATAAATTTTTTTCATATTAAATAATTTAACCCCCCCCCCATCTTATAAACACACACCCTTACCCTCACACTACACCTTTAACGCAAAGAACGAGGTAATTTCTACATTTTGATCTCAATATATAATTGACTTAAATCAAGAGTTTTTTGTTTTAGTCTGCTCTCTTTCATTAGTTGTACTAAGTTTTCCACCATTGTATGTTTCGCTAGCGTTTAACAAAACTAATATCATTGTCCTTCCTTCGTATAGATTTTGAAACAGAAAAAAGTTAAAATGTCTTTATTATTTCTCTCATATTCAATCATCAATTTTAAAAATGAACTGCCACTTTGTAAGTCGATACATGTAAAAAGCTATACAAAAAAAATCCATTGAACGTGTTCCAGTTGCTAGTAACTTTCTTTAAGATCTGTCTAATGCATTTGATCTTCAAAACTGTCTGTCCTTCTTGAATCCATATATATATAACTGATTATATGTTTACTTTCTTTCCTTTTTTCTTTATATACTTGTCTATTTTTTGACCCTTGACTGTAATTTTTGTTTGTATACATGTGTATATGTTCCTCTTGTACCAGTGATCTGGTTTTTAGTGAAAAAAGAATTGAAATTGATTAAAATCTACCTTAGAAATTATATGCAATTTACACTTATAGTTTTAAAATATTTTTTTAAACATTTTTCTCTCTCTCAGTTTTTTCAACAGCAATGGGCATCATCGCTATGGCAGTTTCAGAAACTACTGTTGAAGAACATGAATTCACAGTTACAGTGGCTGCTTTAGTGACGTCAATAATTAACGCAACTTGGTACACCATTTCCAAAATCTACGAAAAAGCCGTGAATTTGTCTATTCCTGCCATAACCGTAACCGACACTGGCAAAGAAGAGACTATAGTGCTAGAAGGGCCATTTGGTGTCAGATCATGGCTACAAACTCCGAGACATAGACGGCAAGACGGACATTTCCTGGTGGCCCCGGATATTTCGGGCTCCCAGCCCATTCACAAGGAAGGCAGTCGGTTTATGAGAGTACCATCAGAAATGTTGTTAGAACAAGCCTTGAATCGGGAGAGGTATCAAGAAGAGATGTCAAGCCTTGGGCGAAATTTGTCTGCGGGATATCAAAAGAATAATGAAAACCTTGAAGTCCTTTAGAGAAGTCGTGAAACATGTTGCACGATAATGGACTGGTTCATAGCGCTTGATGACATGGTTGCAAATGCATCGCTTTATGCATGGTAAACAAAATTACATGAACAATGATTCTTTCATATTGCTTTAATGTTAAGAATATTTTATATACTCATAATCATTGCAAAATGTATGTCTTTTTCAAGGCTGTGACAATCGGTCATATATCTAGAAAAAGAAAATATATAGCATCACTACAAGATGTACATACTTTTTAACTCTCGTCAGATTATATAGTGCATCTTAATATATTATTTTCATACTTACAAAAAGGAGTAAACCATCAAACTCATTCTTTTCAATAAGGTTATCCTCTGTAAATAAATTAAAAAACGTAACTTGCAGACATCTTGATGATAGATTGTTCACAGACACTGAATGGGTTCATCTCTTCAAACACTCTTGGCGCCTACTTTCAAAAAGTTTACATTCCCATATTTAATCTGTCGTCTGTGTTTTCTTGCTCTTATTGCTGTGCATGTTATTTAAAACTTAAACATAACTCACTATTATGGTCTGCGGCGGTGAACAATTCCTGGATGTCATTGTGACAAACAGCACCACTGTGGTCCATGTCAAAGTGCTGGAATACATGTACCGACGCTTGATGTGTGTCCTGGTAATTATGCTGCCATTGGTGAACAAACTCGTGACTCACGGCGCAACCGCTTCCTAGAAAAAAAAATGAAAATCGTATATATCGTGACCACCTTTTCCAGATCATCAGGTAATGAATCCTGTATATATTCCAACTATGTGGTGAACATATTTTTAGGTGTTTGTTTTTGTCCGTCGTCGTGCGTCATCCGTCGTTCGTAAACTTTTTCAGCTTCTCTGCATAAGCTGCTGAACAAATTGAACCCGATTTTGGTATGTAGCATCTATGGGTAAAGGAGAACATAAATTGTTAATTTATGGCCTATGAGGTCGGAGGGATGGAGTTAAAATCTTCAAAATTAAAGTAATCTCTTTACTCCAGTCAAACTGTATGACTGTAATGAGCATTGAGCCATCTACAACAATTACCGTATGAAATTTATGGCCCCATGGTCAAGATTATAAAATTAAAGGCCCCTAGGTCAGGGGTTTTTGTGTTAGGACAGGGCTCTATTGAACATAATTATAGTGAAAATGATTATTTTTTTGAAAATCTTTGTCATCTACAAAGAAACTAACTGCATGGTTATGATGAGCAAGGGTGCTTCTTCTAAAATTATAGAATTCGGAGCTCCTTGCTCAGAGGTTCTTCTTTTCGGACGGGTCTCTATTGATTATATACTGAAAATACATTAACTCTTTTAAAATTTTCTTACTAGTATCTGCTCTATGTTTAAGCAGATAATCTAAGTGAATGGATATTATGAGCAGTGCCTTTTGAGAAATTTATTGCCCCTGGATTAGGGGTTCTAGTGTTAGAGCGGACTCTATTAAATATATTTTAAAATTCATTAATTCTTTGAAAATCTTTTCGTCTGCCCCTGGGTAGATGAACTAAGTGCATGGTTATGATGAGCAAGGTTTGTAAATTTCATGGCCCCTGAGTCAGGGTGTCTGGTGTTAGGACAGGGCTCTTTAAATTATATAGCGCTGGACAGGGTTCTATTTATCTCGTAGGGAAATTTATACTCTACTCTGAGAGAAGTTATTCCCCTTTGATTGCCAAGGTATGATAATTGATGACATAATGCAATTGATTTGTCGATTAGAATAAAAGAATTAATTTATACAAGAATTTGAGTGTGATATACAAAAAGTAATTTTATAGATTTTATTGTCAAGAGGACTTGTAAATAATAAATAATTAAAAATGCGGTAAAAATACTCCATATTTGTACATAAATGTTATCCAAGACCAATTAAGAGAGAACATGTGGTCTATGTTATACTGTTTTATGTGATCATGCACTATTGTGACAGCGTTGTTTAGTCTGGTGATAGTGACAAATGGGTCTGGAGTGTTTTGGCACTGGCGAGTACAGGCAAGTAAATAGATCTACATTTTTACCTTGAGTTGGTGCTGAATACTAGACTAACTATTTTTGCTGAATTCTGATCGTCCTACTTCTCTTGTTTGGGGGCGAAATATTTTCATCTTATCTGTTAATTTTGTTACTTCTATGGATCCTTCACAGTGTTGTACTTTACTCAGATGACCGCTAAGGCTCTTGGGCCTCTTGTTACTTTTTGCTGAGAAAAATATCATATGTATTGTATTTTGCAGTCATAAGAATTATTGAGTAAACCTTCCGATAAGGTGCCTCTCTAAAAACTGGAGTTTTTAATCTCAAGATTGATAATCTACAAATATATTATGTCCTTACCATCATGATCAAAGTTTGTGACAAATTCTCGCTCTAATTCAGCCAGGGACAAATGACCATCAAGGTCAAGGTCTCCTAGTGCCCAGAGTTTGTCCGTTAATTCCCAGATGGTCAGCTGGCCACCATGGGGATTTCCCCCATGAGGACTATTGCTACAAAATATTATGTCACAAAATTATTTAGATAGATACGATGTTTAGTGATAATAATCAATGGCAATGGAATGGGTTTTATAAGTTCAAAGGAATCTAATCAAATACAACAAATTTGAAGGTCAAACTTCAATAATTCAGCGGTACGTTTATTTTCAAGCTTTTCGTGCTGCACTTGCTCGCTTCTTCGTTTGCACCATTCAGTAAATCTATACTCGTCTGAACTAGTACTATATAGATAAAGATAAAATTATCAAGAACTCTATAAGCGATAATTTATTATAATACTGTTTTTAGATATGAAAAATACGATGAATTTTGAAAGCGCCAATATATTGATGTTTACAATAAAAAAAAGTTCCTGTTTTCATCTGAAACTGCATATTATCAATTTAAGAACTAGCGACAACTTAAACGTTTTAAGTACATAGCAGTAATATTTTAACACTTTCATTTCATTGATCTCATAGGTACCGATTACTTTACAATTGGGGTATATATCTATTAAATTTCTTTTCCAATACGTACGTACCAGATAATTCCCGAGAAGCAAATTGTCAAGAGAATAATCTCTTTCATACTCTTTATCTCGTTTGCAACGATTATTCAGATCACGACAATATATAAGTACAAATACTTATCTTCAATCCACGTCTGGAAATACTTGTGCTATGAAAGACACCTATGTTGAGTGTTTAACGAGTTTAAGTACATAAATAGATAAATGTATCGAACCTCATCTATATATTTTAATTCTATTCAGGCTCTGTAAAGTCTAACAATACATATAAATGGTAACATCAAAGTATACGTCAGATCTTAAATATATTACAACATGTGCGTGTGTGATCAAAAAGTTTTTGATTGGTGTGGCAAAATACCATCAGTGTTTCAAATGTATATCGTTATATACTAATATACGCCATGTGTGCTTTCTTATTTTGCTTGGTCAGATAAGTAATCCCTTCTGACTGATTAGTTATGTTAGCATCTCAGAATCAATTTTAAGAATCATTGGTTGTGATTTGATATTTATTTATCAATCATTGTGGTAATTTTTGGTGATTGATGTAATTCACAGACATATATTTTCATTTTATACAGACTCCTTAGAACACCTGCAGTGTTGTAAGTGCTGTTTGTTTTAGAGCTGTGTTTATTTGTTTCTTTACTAGTTCTTCAATTGTCCTTTAATCATTTCTAAGCAAGTCATCTAAGGGGACCCCGATTTTTGAAGAAGGTGGCCGTGTAATATATTACCTGAACGATGGGCCCTACTTTGAACAGACTTGAATCTAAACTACATAATGTTTTAATATATTTATTGCCTTGTTTTTTCAAATATTTTTGCTTACGCATTCCCTTGAATAATTTTGACATTTCACCCCCTCTCCAAAATATGATCCTTTGCGAGGACATAAAAAAAACTGAAAATTACTCATCAGCTAGAAAATGTTATATAGTTTCTGTATATTGAAAAACAGGGACAAAAGAGTTGCAAAAGGTTTGACGCATGCACGTACGTGTAAATACTAGTACAGACAAGATGTGAAGGGAAGTTGGTGTACAATTTAATTAAATTCCTGTATTTAAAGGCTAGAAATTGACTTCCGAGTTATTTCATCATCAGACATACATTCTATTTCAATTTTAGGAATGAAATGTAATCTTTCAACGGTACTAATTTCAAAGCTTAAAAATTTGATTTAACTGTTTTTTCTTCAAACTGATGGACATTATCTTGTAAATACATACAGGTTTAAGTTTTTCCTTCTACCAGTCAGTGTATAATTAAATAATTAAAAAAAATACATCAGCTGACCTGAACTTCGGCACATGAAAAGTATCTGTCAACTCCAAAAACATTCACGGTCAATCACATTGGTTCAAGCAACTCCTGCTCTTAAAACTTCGGTGACCTTCTCGGTAGTAACGCAACCTTAAACACCTATTTAGTACACTTTCAATAAAAATTTCCCAATTATGCATAAGGGATAATTTTTATACATTTTCTCTTTTCAATCAATGCTCTAAAATCAGCATATTCCACCTATTTTGCATCCAATGAGTTTTTAGAAAACTATTTCTATCTTTAGAATTGAACTTCTTGCATGGTCAATGGATAAGGGGTAAATTATGTGATCTTTTATTTGGACAACTACGAAGAAAGACAAAATGTTTTCTCTAAAACATTTGCTATTTTAGTCTGTGATCAACGATGTCTGAATCCTACGTATGGGTAAATTTATAAAAAAAAATGGCCAAATATATATCTATCAACCTGTACAAAAAAGCAGGCAATGGGAATAAATTTCTATGTCTCAGCATATGTCTTTACATAGTGTCTAAATACCTGCCAAATATCTCATTGATATCTCAATTCACAAAAAAGTTATGCCCCAAAATGATGCTAAAAATATTAGGAGTGCAACACCTTTTTATGACATTTTGAAAATTCAATATTTTTAGCTCACCTGAGCTGAAAGTTCAAGTGAGCTTTTCTGATCACCTGTTGTCCGTCGTCCGTCCGTCTGTCTGTCTGTCCGTCCGTCTATAAACTTTTCAATTTTCAACTTCTTCTCAAGAACCACTTGGCCAATTTTAACCAAAGTTGGTATAGAGCATTCTTGGGTGAAGGGGAGTTTAAATTATTAAAATGAAGGGCCAACCCCCCCTTACAAGGGGAGGTAATCAAGAAAAGACAAAAATAGGGTGGGGTCATTAAAAAATCTTCTTCTCAAGAACCACTGGGCCAGAAAAGTTGAAACTTATGTGGAAGCATCCTTGGGTAATGTAGATTCTAAATTGTTCAAATCATGGCCCCTGAGGATAGGGCGGGGCCACAATAGGGAATAAAAGTTTTACATTGAAATATATAGGCAAAATTTTTTTTAAAAAAAATTTCTTCTCAAGAACTACTGGGTATGATCTACATGTATATAGCCCCACTCTAGCACCAGAACGCCAGGAAAATATACTATAAAATATATTTTATCTTCTAAATATATATTTTAGCTAGTTTTTGACATAAATAAGGAATAATTCAAGATATAAAGCCAAGTTTAAATACTTTAATGTTTTTTTAATTATGAAGTATTGGACTATAAATATTACACAATTTCGTTACCACATGATGTTGCCAACACTTCATAAATTTTAATGTTCTATGGTTTTATTTTTTAATTTTACTGCAGTCAGGAGTGCAACAAAACCGTTTTAAAATATCAATGATCTTCATATATCTTTACTAAAATATAAATTTTTAAAAAATGGTACTATTTGATGTTAAAAACATAATGTTTATCAACTAATTACAGACATTTTACAGTCAATTCAGAGAACAGCTTTTATCACTTAGCATATAATTTTATTAAATTTAGTATTTATTGTAAAAAAAAAATATGGATATCATTTTTGGGGGCATAATTCTCTTATTCTATTAACCTTTCAAATACATTATATACAGTGATTAATTAGTGATTAATTATCAAAAGTGAATGGCAAAGTGGAATAACTTCTCTCAGTAGAATACAAATTAATAGAGCCCTTGCCAGGACCAGAACACTTGACCAAATGGTCCTGATGTTCAAAAATCTGGTAAAAATAGCCTTGCTTATTAAAACTGTTATTCTGTTTGCCTTCGATATGCCAAGGAGCAGAGAAGATTTAAAGAAATAATGCATTTTCACAACAGATTCAACAGAGCCCTGCCCTAACACTAAAACCCATGTCTAGGTCATGAAATTCCCTAATTTAGTAAAGATACCCTCATCATCATATCTATGCACTTAAATGAAGATTTTCAAAGAATTAACAAATGTTCACTATATTATCAATATAGTCCCCCACCAAAGAAACATCAAAACCTGGGACCACAAGTTTTAAAAATTTTGTAGGAAGCACAATTGTTCATCATAACTATGCACTTTGTTTGTCTGTCTAACGATAAGGAGCAGACTGGATTACCCAGGAGCAGAGAGGAAGATTTTCAAAGAATTAATGCATTTTCACTATATAATCAATAGATCCCCGCCCTAACACCAGAATCCCTGACCCTAGGGCCATGAAATTCACAATTTTGAAAAACGCTTCCTTGTGCATCATAACCATACACTTAGTTTGTTTAAATAATACTCAGGAGTAGAGAAGATTTTCAAAGAATTAATGCATTTTCACTATATAATCAATAGAGCCCCGCCCTAACACCAGAACCCCTGACCCAGGGGCCATGGAATTCACAATTTTGGAAAAAGCATCACTGCTCATCATAATCATACACTTAGTTTGTTTAAATAATACCCAAGAGAAGAGAAGAAGATTTTCAAAGAAATAATGCACTTTCACTATATGATCTACATAGCCCCGACCTAGCACTAGAACCCCTGACCCTGGGGCCATGAATTTCACAATTTTTTAGAAGTTCAATGCTTATTACAACCATGCTAACAGTTTGACCGTTTGATGTCAAGGAGTAACGAAGAAGATTTTTAAAGATTACATCAATTTTGGAGGTTTTAGCCCCACCCCTCAGGGACCAGGGAAGCAGGGACCATTATTCCCCTTCATCCAGAGATGCTATATGCCAAAATTAGTTGAAATTGGTATAGCGGTTCTAGAGAAGAAGTAAAAATGTTCAAAAGTTAACGCACGACACACAACGCACGACAGACAAAACGGATAGCAATAGGTCACCTGTGTGACTCAGGTGACAAAAAAATTAATTCTGAAACCTTTTTATCCAATTATTATTATCTATTCTATTGCAACTTCAGGAATTTTAACTAGAATGCATGTACAATATGATGATGTAAGTGAAAAATATGTTATGGGTAGGTGATTTCTTTTAATTCAATTTGGTGGTCATTATTTTTGAATTCACCCAAATGTGGATAAGGAAATGTCATTGCTTTTAATAGAAAAATTAGTAGGAATTAACAACGGAACTGAGGGGGAAAAAACCAAAACTTTGAATCACAGATCATGATTTTGTTGTCGTACTTACCCCTATCCGATATAAAAGGAATTTTCTATTTTATAATTAATAAAAATCTACACTTCCGTGAATTGACATGACTTTGAAAGAAAATCAAACATGAAACATAGAGGAAACACAACTAGGTTATCAGTTTTTTATCCATCCAGGCCAAATTCTATATGAAGCCGTTTTGGTATTTACTCCCATTGAGTGATATCACCTATTTGAATAGTTGATATCACCTATTCAATTGGTGATATCACTTATTCGAGTAGCACCTACAGTGTATTTAATTTGAAATGGTGAAATATGTATCCGTATGGGTGATATCTTCTATTCGAGAAGGTGATATCACCTGTTCATTTTGAATAGGTGATATCATTTATTCGAATAGGTGATCACCTTTTCAAATTATGCATAAAATAACAAATGCTCCCAAAACTATATACATGTACTGCATACATTTACTCTATACAGGAAGTAAACATTTCAGTCTCTTTGCACTTAAATTATATAAATATCAAAAAGCAGAGCAAAACTAAATGCAAGTAAAATATATTATAACTTCACAGAAATTGATATATAGTAATTTAGCCCTAATTTGCTTATGATTAAATGGAAATGGGTTGCTCTATGGACCCTTTTTGTGTACATAAATTATACGAACACCGCCCCCCCCCCCTTGTGCA